AAGATGCTTTTATCTGCTTGCCATTACCAAAAAAGACAGTGAGTCGGAGAAAGTCTTATGACCTCCTTGTTTTAGAGCTTTCTCCGGGTTGGAAGCTTCTTATCGCGTGCTTATTGGCTTGTACGAGCGAAATCCAGCGAGAACAAGTCGAAACGGAGGTTCTCGAGTCGCAAGCCGATTTGAGTTTTCCTGGTGCCTTTTGTGGTGCATTGACTTCTCCGGATGCAGACACTGTTCACTGATGACGAATCAGCCTGAGTTAGATATTCGAAGGAGCGGTTATAGAGCAGCGAAGTGTTAAGAAGGTTAAGAAGCGTCTGTGTTTCATGCTGTCGAGAACATTAATGGTTGTTGGAAGACCTGTTTGGAGGGGATGCTCCGACTATCTCGCGCATGCGACCTCTATGACCTGAACAAGCAGGAAATTCTCAATGATGATCCTTCGCGTATGTATTAGGTTTCGAAGTCTACCCGCATGCGGTATCCGTGCATGATAGCACTGTGTGCATGAGGCCTTGACGAATTCGGCGTTCAGGGGGTGCTTGTCCCTGTCACCGAGGCCCCTTCCGAGTATAAATTGAGTTCTCACCCACACAGTCCATCATCTACACCCATCATCATGAAGTTCGCCACATCCCTCACCGTTCTTGTTATCGCCGTCGCAACTCCCGCTGCCGCGGGTCCGATCGCCTATGCCTTATGTCAAACAGGTACGTATACTTCCTCAATGTGGATCACACTGCCTTGGACTGACGTGCTGTGCGTACTGCAGGGTGTAACACGGTCGCAGCGGCCTGTTACTCTGCCGCCGGGTTCCAGTTCGGGACCGTCGTTGCTAGCCTTTTGGCACCCGCGACGATCCTGGCCTGCAACACCGCGTTGGGGACGTGCTCCGCGACTTGCGCTACGGTGGCGCTCTTTGCGCCTACCCCTTGAATGATGCCCGTGCGGTACTGTAGTACGCTGTCGAAGTGGGTATGGTATACTTGCTTGGTGTATGATTCACTTCTGATGGTTCGCTCTCTCATGCGCGTGCACACGTTCGTATGGGCAGCTGGTTTAGACATCATGAGGATGCTCAAGTTGATCTCGTCGTCGTCGTGTCGTGTCGTGTCTTGCGATCTGGATTCACGTGTTTCTCAGTCATGTTAAAATGTACAACTTGCTGCGCTCATGTACCCTGGACGGTATATAGTGCCGTTTTCATATTCCATTTGCAATCGCGTTTCGGTCCTGTGCGCACCTCGTAAGTGATTTGGCGCAGAGCATGCTGAGCTATACAGAAAGATGCATGCTAGATTGCAATAATGCCCTACGAACAGCGCGACATTTCGCTAAATCGTATTCATGAATATAAGTACAGTAGTTATAGTATTGAACATATTCAAGGGAGCGGTAAGAACGCACGCAGCCTATGCAACATCAATGATGGACCCAGTGTTTTGCGTTGTGAGCTCAGCCGGAGGTGCTGGTCCGAATATGTCTAGGACTGGGTCCTTGTGCGTGTTTTTGTAGCTGAAACTGGAGGATCGTACGTTCATCATGGAGAGGTAGACTAGTCAGCGACAGATGGACTTATTACCAGATTCGTGCGAGCTGGCCGATACCGACCGTACCAACGAAGAAGTTGACCTGCGGGACAATTGTAATATTGAGCAAGACAGTTCGCAGCATATGCGAATGAAGACTGACAGCAGCAAGGCTGTAATTGATCGGCCTGATGACGAGCGAGTAGCGCACCCAGATGAAGCCGGTTGCAGTGAGATATGGGGGCCACAATCAGGAAGGCACGCGTGAAGAGAGGATTGACAGTTGCGATCTCAGCAAGCAAAACTCTGCATGATCTAAAGCCGACGCACCGGGAGCGCTGGAATGGGCGTCGGGGCGGGGATTGGTCCGGAGATGGCACCGGCCCTGGGTATGCCCGCGAGGAGGCCTCGACGCAGCCCACTAAATGACGGCCTAGCAGTAATGTGAGAGGCGGCTTGGAGAACACACTAACTTCCTGAATACCTCAATCGGATGCGACTCGTCAGTACATGCTAGCAAAATAGATAAGAACTCGACTAGACGGGTCGACAATGCCCACCGGGTGCGTAGCACACTGGTTTTGATTGAAAGTGATGCTCTGACATTCCCTGCAGTTCTTGATCGAGCAGGTTGAGAATCGCTTGGTGGAGTCCGTTCGGTATTCAATGCAGTCAATAGCATGTTGTACATAGTCACTCAAGTTGCGGGGCCCCAATGACCGGAACAGACCGGATCACGCATGAACCGCCGGATTTGGCAAACAAGCTTGGTTGCATCGAAGGCGGCGATTCGCACTTGTTTGGCGAACGAACCTTCCATCGCCCGACACGAAATGCGAAGCCCCTGAATGATTCAAAAGGTCTGCGAGTGCACCGATGTGAACACGCCACTTCAAGGTACGTATGGCTCAGGATCGTCGCGAACATTTAGGCCTTTCTGAGGTTGAATGCCGCAAACACTTCCTTCCTGCAAGCGTTTGAACTATGCTTAACCCTTTCTCCACCTCTACACACCCTGCTGCCGGCAGATCGCCGTCTACAGTGACAGACTCCTAACAATTTTTGTTCCCATTACGTTTATGTGATGGCATTTTCTGGTGGGAAGCACGGTGCTCGTCATAGATCAGGAGCGGTATATAAGAAACATCGCACCTGGTCAGACTCATTCACGATACGCCTTCGCGTATTAGGTTTCGAAGTCTGCCCGCATGCGATGTCCGTGCATGATACATGTGTCACTGCGGACACGACAGCAGTGCGGCAGTGTGCATGAGGCCTTGAGGCCTTGACTTGAGTTCGGCGTTCAGGGGTGCTTGCGGCCCGCTGTCACCTGTCACCGAAGCCCCTTCCCTTGAAGTATAAATCGAGTTGTCGCCCATGCAGTCCTTCCTCTACGCCCATCATCATGAAGTTCACCACTACCCTCACCACTCTCGCCCTCGCCCTCGCAACTCCCGCCGCCGCGGGTCCGATTGCCTATGGCTTATGCCAGACAGGTATGTATACGTCCTCAATGTGCGACCACACGTTCTTGGACTGACGTGCTGTGGGTAACGCAGGCTGCAACACGGTCGCAGTGGCCTGTTACGCTGCCGCCGGATTCCAGTTCGGGACCGTCGTTGCTAGCCCCTTGGTACCCGCGACGATCCTGGCCTGTAACGCTGCTTTGGGAACGTGCTCGGCCACTTGCGCTACGGTGGTGCTCCTTGCGCCTATCCCTTGAATGAAGCCCGTGCGGTACTGTACGCTGTCGAAACGGGTATGGTATAATTCCTTTGCGCACGATCCTCTTCTGATGTTTCACTCCTCTCTCATCCGTTAGTGTTTAGACATCATAAGGATGCTCAAGTTGATCTCGTCGTGTCGTGTCGCTCTGGATTCACGTGTTTCTCAGTGATGTCTAATGTACACACGTTGTTGCGCCCGAGTCTCGAAGTAATTCTTGACATGTACTTTGGACGATATATCATAGTCTTTTTTACATTTCACTTCCAATCGCGTTTCGGTCCTGTGCACACCTCCGAGGTGATTTGGCGCAGAGCATGCTGGAGCTGTACAGAAATATGCACGCTAGATTCCAGTTCGGTATCGTGATTGCCAGCCCTCTGGTCCCTGCCACGATTGTCGCTTGCAACACCACCCTTCAGTTGGCACTTGCTCCGCTGCCTAGTACGCGTCCGTCGCACTTATTGCTCCTACCCCTTAAACGTAAGTCAGCGCAAATCGCTGATAGAGCCTGGTGTTGAAGAAAGTAATGAGAAGCTCGCAATTAGAATATGTGCTGCAGTAATGCCAGTTGAATCACCTGTTTTTTCGGTCGCTGCTATCTGCACAGCTGCATGTCATGATTTTCGTCCTTGGCCGCGATTGCTGTCGTTCGCAGAGTGATATGAAGCATGTCGTCTGCTATGTTTTGCGCTCGTTTACTGCTGTCTGTTATGTACTTTTAGAACCCATTAATGCGTGCATTGCCTGAAGCTGTTATTGTTCTGGACGTCACATAGTCTTTACAATAGCCAACATAGTTCCACGGCTCCAACGTTCGGCGTATACTGCCAGTCTATCACGGAGTTTCCTATCATAGCATGTTTTCCCCTCCATTTAGTAGCACAGACTCCGCAACGCCGCCCTGACGACATATAACACTGGACGTACCACATCTTATACAGCTGAGATGTGCATTGTGGCGTAATATCGACTTCTCCGGATGTAGATACTGTTCAACGCTGAAGAACTTTCAGATTAGACATTCGAAGGAGCGGTTATAGAGTAGCTCGGAAGTGTGAAGATGCGTCTATGTTTCATGCTATCCGGCAGAGCGTTGATTATTGCTGGAGGACCTCTTTGCAGGGGATTCTCCGACTATCTCGCGCATGCGACCTCTACGACCTGAACAAGCAGGAAATTCTCATGATGATGGGAGTACGCTTTCGCGTATTAGGTTTCGAAGTCTACCCGCATGCATGCGGTGGCCTCCGTACATGTGTCAAAGGGGTACTAGTTCAGGGGGTGTTTGCCGCTGTTACCTCGGGGGCCTCTTCCACAGTATAAATTGAGGTCTCGCCCATACAGCCCTTCTTCTACATCTACGCCCATCATCATGAAGTTCACCACCACCCTCACCACTATCGCCCTCGCCCTCGCCACTCCCGCCGCCGCGGGTCCGATTGCCTATGGCTTATGCCAGACAGGTACGTATACGTCCTTAACGTGGATCACACGTTACAAGTTGGACTGACGTGCTGTGCGTAATGCAGGCTGCAACGCAGTCGCAGTGGCCTGTTACGCTGCTGCAGGGTTTCAGTTCGGGACCGTCGTTGCTACCCCCTTGGCACCCGCGACGGTCCTGGCCTGTAACGCTGCTTTGGGGACGTGCTCGGCCACTTGCGCTACGGTGGTGCTCTTTGCGCCTATCCCTTGAATGAAGCTCGTGCGGTACTGTTTGCTGTTGAAGCGGGTATGGTAAAATTCCTTTGCGCATGATCCTCTTCTGATGTTTCACTCTCTAATGCGCGTGCACACGTCTGCACGGGCAGCTGGTTTAGGCGTCTTGATGATGCTCAAGTTAATCTCGTCGATTCGCGCTCTGTGTATTTATGCGTTTCTTAGCCATGTTTATGTACAACGTTGCTGCGCTCGAGTCTCGAAGTAATTTTTGACATGTACCCTGGACGGTATATAGTCGGTTTTATATTTCACTTTGAATCGCGTTTCGGTCCTGTGCACACCTCGGAAGTGATTTGGCGCAGAGCATGCTGAGCGATACAGAAAGATGCACGCTAGATTTCAACCATGCCATACAAACAGCGCGGTATTTCGCTAAATCATATTCATGAATATAAGAACAGTAACTACTATAAGAACATAGTTGAGGAAGGATAAGGACGCACGCAGCCTATGCAACATCAGTGATGGGCCCAGGCTTTTGCGTTGTGAACTCAGCCGGAGTTGCTGGTCCAAATATGTCTAGGACTGGGTCTTTGTGTGTGTTGTTGTAGCTGAAGCAGGAGGATGGTACGTTCATCATGGAGAGGTAGACCAGTCAGCAACAGATGGACTTACTACCAGATTCGTGCGAGCTGGCCGACACCAGTCGTACCAACGAAGAAGTTGACCTGTGGGACAATTGTAATATTGAGTAAGAGAGTTCGCAGTATATGCGAATGAATACTGACAGCAGCAAGGCTGTAATTGATCGGCTTGATGACAAGCGAGTAGCGCACCCAGATGAAGCCGGTTGCAGTGAGAGCTGTATTTGCATGGTACGGGGGGCCACAATCAGGAAGGCACGATCACAATAGCCACCACGATGCGTAAAGAGAAGATTGACAGTTATGATCTCAGCAAGCAGAACTCTGCGTGATCCAAAGCCGACGCACCGAGATTCTGCGGAACACTCAGCTTTTCAGCGGGCCGCGAGAGATCCTTGAGGCCCGCCGCAACCAAGCACCATTTCATGAGCGGGGCCCAGAAGAAGACCGTCTTCGGGCCTAGCCACGGCAACCGTTGGGGATTCGGCGGGCAGTTTGGGTCAGCGCGGATCGCGTGCATGCGGGGTGGCAGGCGCACCTGCGGGGTGGTTCATGAACGCCTGGAACCTGGACGTGCCTGCCGCTGTTGCTGCTCCCGACATTGTGGTGTGCTGGCGGGGGAATGAGGGTGAGGGTGGGCAGGCGTTAGCGTTGCGTTAGTCAGTGGGTGGGCCCACCTTGAGAACCACCTTGCGCTGGTCGGAGTGTGGGATGCACGTGATCTTTGCGGTGCGCGAACCGCGCGTTCATAGGCGCGCATGGCCTGACCGCGGCGATCAACGTTAAACAGCATTCCCAACGTCGTTGTCCCTCCTTCCGTCTTGTTACTCCCTTAAACTCGTCACGGTCTTCTGTTGAAGAAGAAAACTGCGATAGCTCGAGCAATCTACTCAGTTCCACGACCATGGACACCGCAGAGGCGGTTTTACCAGCGTTCCTCGACCCTCTCCTGGACTATCTCTACGAGGCTCTCCCGCCGTCCATCTACAATGCAGTACTGCAGATCCTTGCATATGCATTCTCTTTCTTCGCATCCATGTATACTGTGATCAAGGATCTCGCAACATCTCCTCCATCGGAATGGGATGCCCATGTGCTCTTGCCACCGCTCGTCACGCTGCTCGCCGCATACCTCGCACTGCTCAGCATCTACCGCACCACGGGATGGATGTTCCGCACGACGTTTTGGTTCGTGAAATGGGGAGTGGTTATCTCCCTGCTTGCAGCGGGATCGGGGTGGATGCTGGGGAATGCGTATGCGAACGGCGACATCGATATCGCAGGTCTATTTGCGGGCACGGGCGTCTTGCCAGCGCTTGGCGGGATTATCATGCATATGCTCAGCGGGGAAGGGGAGGGAGATGGATCAAAGTCGAGCAGCAGCGCCACCAAATCCTCGCGCTCGCGGCCACGAAAGGAAAGGGGACAGCGGCCAAAGGCATGGGAGTCCTGGGACAAGCAACACGAATGGCAGTACAGCGAGGACGCCGCTGCCCAGGAAGGAGGCGATGAAAACTCAGCAAGCGTGCAAAGCGTAATCGGAAAAATTATTGGGACGGTTGAACGGAATGTCAAGGAGGGGGACTGGTGGGAGGCAGGGAAGCATGCGGCGGACGACTCCGACGAGCGCACGGAAGGAGAAGGAAAAGGCGCGGACGATGACGATGGTTCAAGTACCTCGAGGAGAAGGCGGTCGAAACCTAAGGCTAGAACGGAGGCGAAGGCGGGTTCCCGTTAGTTTGCGTATTCGCAATTCATCATGTGGTATGTCCATGCGACCATCAGTCGTCCCATCTCTGATTCCCTGCTGCAGGAAGCAATGTATTTATATGGAGCTCCCCTAACATATCGCGTTCATTCATCTTTGTCTCGTATACTTTAAAGCGAGTACCAATGAATGTTGCGTTCGTTATGCCGTCTGCGGATCTGTGTCATGAATGTCAAGATCGTTCACGACGCCAAGCTCTCAACATACCCGAGTCGCGAATTTGACAGTATTACGTGAATGTCGACAAGCATTGTGCTGGCCTGTGGTCCTGCCCATGCCGCGCCCCGTCGGCTTCGCAACTGTACGGCAGCGCCTAGACTGCAAAGTGAGCTATACTCTGTTTCATCGTCTTTACTCTGTTGTGGTGGCCATAGGTTTTCCAATTTCCTGACACATGTCAGTATGATCTATCATATATCACTATCTGCGTGGATGTGTGTGGGCTCTCGGCGCCCGCTGTGGTGAAGGTAACGGGTCATCCGTCCCGCCACAATTTGATCGAAGGTGCGTGACAGACACAGAACCATGTCGATGTCATCCCGCGTCACAGCCTCACAAAATTGGAGAGACCCTGACAATCCAAACTCCGTTGAGTGGATTTCTGGGGTGGCAACCCACAGCGGCCAATCAGAGGCTCAGGTTCTGCGTTCCGGTGAACACCGAAACTTTACGTCCCAACTCCGGGAGTGGTACCGATTAATTCTCACGCAAAATAAACAGTCGCAAACAGACGGGATATATCTAACCGGTTCTCTTGTCGAATGTATTCCCTCCTCACTCTTTCCCTGACGCTCAGTCGTCCTGCACTGCCAGTCCTTGTCCCCCCACTGTGCCCTCTTTGCGTGAAACATCTGTTGCAATGGCCCTCAAGCGGAAGATGGACTTTGACGATGCGGTCGACGTGCGCCGGGTCAGTCACGGTCCTGGCTGCATATTTTGTCACTCGTACTGACGCGCTTGGTGTTTGCAGGACGTGAAGCAGCCTAAGCTCGTCCCCTTCCCACAGACCGAGCCTGACAGTGACGTTGCCATGATGGATGCTTCCGACTACCCCCTTGAGCCTCTCTTCCTTTCCATGCAACAGTTCCACACGCGTCTTCCTTCTAACGCGAGCTACTCATCGTCGAGCGCGGGGGACTCGCCCCATCTCTCGCGTGAGTCTGGACGAAGTCCGCATTGACATCTTAGGCGCACGCTGACCCCGTGACTCCCCAGCTATGTACCCATCGTTCGACCTGTATCCCTCCGACGATCAGGGCTACATTGGCGCTCAGAATCCCTTCGACTCGCCGATGTGCAACGCGCCTCGTGCTGTTGGTCTCCTCCAGCCGAAGAATGCCTCGTTCACACATCATGGGTAGGTGTACTTTCCTAGTGGTATTGGTCGGCATTGCCGTACCGTGTCGAAGTGTTGCTGATCGACGATCCCATATTATGTTCTTGCCTGTCGCCATCTGCAGTGCCAGCTGTACGCAAATACCGAAACTCCGTGTTGCTTGCTCTCCAGGACTCAACGGACAAAGGACGATGTGGGCGCACTGCGAGCAATGTGGAGCGATTGAAATGGTCCGGACCGATTAAGACCTTCTGCAAGATGGGAGCCTGCTCTGTTCTCCCACATAACTTCCATCAACATCGTTTCATCCTTCCCCGCATACATTATCACTATTACGTCATCACCTGCACATCGAAGAACCCTTTCCTCCCCTGACTATCTCCCCGCCGACTCTCCCCCGACTAATCATGACTCCATTGCAAATGTTCGCCGGTCCTTCAACCTCAAGAGACAAAAGGTGGTGCCACGTATGCTCTGATCACATGCTCTTAGGCGACTACTCCAATCTTCCCATCCTCTGTCGATGTTCCACTGTTGGTGTCGTTCTAGGGTTGCATGACAACGGTAAGCGACAGCAGGTGCCTTGATGATCAACTTCAGCGATCCGCCATGCACCCTGCCAGCCTGTCGTCTTCGTCTCATTATCCTTCCTTTCCCATCATCTGTCCCCGCTTCCGGCTCTCATATCGACTCTCCGTCTTGCTCTTGTCGTCCTGCTATCTATTGAATTCACCGTCATCGCCGCTGCTAGCTTCCTCTTCGGAGTTGTCTTGCGTGTATCAAGGACTGTTCTGCTGCAGTACCCATTCTCACATAACATACAGTGCTGTTGTGCCTTCGTGTGGCCGTTTGTGTGTAGGATGCAAAAAGCAATCACCGTTATCAGTTGCTTCAGTTTGCGTGCGGTGTGAACGAATGAATTCTGGGCGTGAGCAGAAGTCTCGGCTAGCGGTCTTCGTGGACTTTTCGATTCGCTAATCGAAAAGTTCACGAAAGCGGCGGAATCTGTATTATTCATTTACCTGCATGGCCCGATGAGTGCTGTGTTCAAATTTCCAGTGAGCTGAGAGGCATTCGCATCCTGTATTTGCACTGACGATCTAGCCTGGCCGAGCTTTGTTATGTGAAAGTCAATTGACTGCCTTCTAGGGTTGAGTACTGAGACGGTATCGCATTTGACCCATGGCTCCTCACGGCCGCGTCGAACAATCCAGACGCGCCAGCAGTTTCACGGCTCTATCTCGCCTGATGTTGCATGCACAGCAAGTAAGGGTCGCTTTGTTTCTTGGTGGTGGTGAAGTGGTGGTGGCTCCCAGGCCCAGGCCTTCAGGGACGGGAAAGTCCTGTATACTGAGCTGACTTAATCCATCCTTCAAAATCTATTGGCGTTGAAGCATGGATTCACTTAGCTTAAAGGGGTTCCTCGTGTTCGTGAGGGAATGCTGGCTGATCTTCACAGAAGTTCCTGGCATACTATGCTGGTCTCGGCGACATGCTCTATAGCAGGAGAGGCTGCCTCGCTACAACACAAGTTCACTGTGGGTTTCAGCGTCAACGGGAGTGTGCTGTGGCGGTGGTCGTCTGTAGTTGGGTCAAATCTCCGGCCCGACGGTCTTGTTTCGGAGCGCGACACACATTCCGATGAGTGCGGATGTGGGGAATCGCGCTTTCGGTGCCACCGGGGTGGAGAATGGACGTCGGGAATGGCAAATATAGGCATTTTGGCGCTCTTGGTCTCCGAGGAGCATACCTGTAACCTGAGGAACGGTCTCACGTGGCTTGTTCCGGGATGGTAAGACCAAAGGATGGTGCGAGTTCGTTTATGGCTGATCCGGAGGAGAAAGGGGCGGGCGGGTTGCTATTGTATTCTACCGCTCACGAGGGCTGCGTTATATATGCGGGGCATCATTCAAGTTCAAGAACCCTTGTCAACGAAGGTGATGGCTGGTTGTGTACAGATAGTCCTGAGCAAAGTGCTTGCCTGAGTCGGATATGGGCGTCACAATCACTCCGAATGACGGCAGAGCTTGAGACAAGGCGTCCCGTCGGATCCCGGGCGTGAAGTAGGAACATCGCACATTACGACCACCTTCTCATCTCTCCGTTAAGAGCTGGATCACAAGCTTCCGCTTCCGCGAGAAACCCAAGCTCGGCCTTCGCGCAACACATCAACGCATCCCTTCGACGCCCTCTCACGCTGTCGAGTCTCAATCAAACCTAGCCCGCACGAGGCGAAGAGGGTATTGCAGTCCATGGTTAGCGGCACAACCCATCCTCACCCGAACCCGAGCGGCGACGCAGTGGTCCATCAGAACGTCAGCAATTGCATCAACTTACGGCACAGGCGAAGCGCGCCGGTCAATGGGTGGCGGTTGCCTAATCGCGCCATCAGCTGCGCTGTGCGGGGGTACAGAGCCGCATGCGGATTGCAAGGCAGCGGCAGCTAGCGGCATGGGAAACAAATTCGCGGCCACCCTTCATATCACCATATCACAAGCGAGGCGTGCCACCGCAGTCCGCTCAGATGACCGTCCTGTGCACGCGGCGCGCGCAATGATCAACGATCAGCCCGAACGCGTTTACTGTGCCTCCCAGTTGTGAAGGAGTCCCTGGTTGGAGAATGGAAGAGCCGGGGTTTGCGGGGAGCGAGCGCTGACCGGTGACCGAATAGGCTTTGATGCGACGCCACGGCACCTCGGGCCGGCGCGCCTTGTACCATAACAGGGCCGCGTGCGAGCGGGCGGGCGATGCTCCACTCTTGCAAAACCAGGAGGGACCGGAGCTTGCGCAGTATTTCGTGGTGTTGCTTTAGTATGGTCTGCCAACTGGGACTGAGTAATTTGCACATAACATCGGGTGGAACGAGTTTGATAAAAGCATGGGTGGCCGATCTCGATCATCGCTGTCCCGGAAAGTTTGGAATTTGCATTATGTACAGATTCATCCGGGAGCATTCTACCATACGCTATGCAATGCGTCATAGGCATAAGGTGAAACGTAGCGGGCACATGGATTCAGAAGAAGCCACAGGCCAGTCGCACAATTGTCGTAAGTGCACCGTAAGGGTTCCCAGGAAACGGAGATCTGGTTGATGTCCCTCGCGATGCTGACCGTGCCGGAGTGAGCCGCGCCGCGCTGCCGGACTTGGTCGCCGCAGGCTGCCATTGACATCACGGATCTCCATCTGAGATGCCGGGAGGGCGTATTTCTTGCTGAATGGAGGGGTTGTGCACCATTGGAGGGCGTGCGAAGACACGCTGGTGCTGTGGCCCGCCTCGAGGATAGCAGAAGGAAGCGTAGGGTTGGGAAGGGACGAAGAGTTCGGCAGCGGAGACGCGGGGATGCTCCACACGGGAACTATGGGGTACTCCACAATCCCCTTCGGCTTCTTTTTACGCGCTGGTCTTGTGATTTGTACCCTCGATCATCGCTTCCTCCTTTGCGGGCGCCTCTCTCTTACGCGAGTGGTGTATCGCCTGAAATCCAACGCCATGACAGCCCAATATATAAACCCATCCTCCGCCCCCGCACCCTCCTGCGCCCCTTGCCCCGTCGACGTCCATTAACTTGGCCGCCCACCCGGTCTCGAGCACATTTTCTGTTGCATTTCTTCCTCGCCTCACGCCCCGCCACGACCCGCCATCATGCCGCATGTATCAGAAAAATCCAAGGGCGGATCGATAAAGGCCGACTCCATCTCCTCCGCCGATCAAAAGCAGGAAGTCAGACACATCGACAACGTCGCCAGCAACCCGAATGCGAAGCTCGCTAATCCCCTCGAGGGCATTCCCCAGGACCAGCTCCTCGAGGACGCCGCCGCCTTCGCGAAAGCGTATGGCCTCGGCCATCTCACCGATGAGTTTATGAAAGGGGCTCTCGTCGCACAAGACCCCTCTGCATTCGAGACTCTATATCTCCTTAACGACGAGGACAAAAACGTTCTGCGAAGAGAGGCGACGCACCGATGGGACCAACCTTGGCAGCTCTACTACCTCGTCATCCTGTGCTCTATGGCCGCTGCAGTCCAAGGCGTAAGTCTTCTATTTTCCCCCTCATTGACGATTTGCAGCTTATTCATCGTCCGACGCAGATGGACGAATCCGTCATCAACGGCGCTAACCTGTTCTTCCAATATCAGTTCAACATTTCCACAACCTCGGGAGCGAATCAAAGTCAACACCAGTGGATACTGGGTCTCGTAAATTCCGCACCATACGTCAGTCTTCTTTTTGACTTCGTAATTCCCGCGAATGCGTCATACTGACACTTCATCACAGCTATGCTGCAGCTTGATCGGTTGCTGGGTATCTGCACCCATGAACAGATGGTTTGGTCGTCGCGGCACCATATTCATCAGCGCCTTCGTCTCGTTCGCTACTTGCATTTGGTCAGCAGTCACCGACACATGGTGGCACTTGTTCATTGCCCGGTTCTTCCTCGGATTCGGTATTGGCCCGAAGAGCGCGACGGTCCCCGTCTACTCTGCCGAGTGCGCGCCGCCGGTCATTCGGGGAGCACTGGTGATGATGTGGTAAGTTTTGATTCCTTACGGAGACAAGTACACGGCAACTCACCGTTGTCCAGGCAAATGTGGACGGCCTTCGGCATCATGTTCGGTTATGTTATGGACCTCGCTTTCTACCACGTTCCTAACAAGCCGGGGATCACTGGTCTCAACTGGCGACTGATGCTGGGTAGCGTGAGTTGATTTCTGCTCATTCTGCCGACTTGAACGCTGACATCTCGCACAATAGGCTGGTGTTCCTGCTTTGTTCATCATGGCACAGGTCTACTTGTGCCCGGAATCACCACGTTGGCTCATGTCCAAGGGGCGTTACAACGAGGCGTACGAGTCCCTGCTGCGTCTCCGCAACAGCCCTCTACAAGCTGCTCGTGACCTGTACTGTAAGTCTGACCTGCCCCGTGTCTAGATTACCCAGTCGCTTACTAGGGCGGTTTAGACATCCATGTCCAATTGCAGGCAGAGGCAGAGGCATTTACGGGCCGCAATCGTTTCTTGGAGCTGTTCACTATCCCCCGCAACCGTCGAGCCGCCCTCGGGTCTTTCATCGTCATGTTCATGCAGCAGTTCTGCGGAGTTAACGTCATCGCCTACTACTCGTCGTCCATCTTCACCGAGGCAAAGTTCAGCCAACAGTCTGCACTTATCGCCTCGTGGGGCTTCGGCATGATCAACTGGGTGTTCGCATTTCCCGCTGTGTGGACAATCGACACATTTGGACGGAGGAACCTGTTGCTGACGACGTTCCCGCTGATGGCGATCTTCCTGCTCATGACCGGGTTCGCTTTCTGGATTCCCGCGGGCAACGGCCGTCTGGCCGTCGTCGCGCTTGGCATTTACCTGTACGGGATGGCGTACTCTCCAGGGGAAGGTCCGGTGCCGTTCACGTACTCTGCGGAGGCGTACCCGCTGTACGTCCGTGACGTCGGAATGGGGTTCTCGACGGCCGTCTTGTGGTTCTTGTGAGTCTACCATTGCGCAGCTGTGCTCGAGCTCGACTCATCATGTGTCTTTACAGCAACTTCGTCGTAGCTATCACGTTCCCGCCTCTGCTGGGTGCGTTCAAGCCGCAGGGTGCTTTCGGGTGGTACGCGGCCTGGAACGTCGTCGGCTTCGTCGTGATCCTGCTGTTCGTCCCGGAAACCAAGGCGCTCTCACTCGAAGAGCTCGATCAGGTGTTCTCCGTGCCGACGCGCACGCATGCGGCGTATCAGCTCAAGGCGCTGCCGCACAATATCAAGAAGTACTTCCTCAGGATGGATGTAGAACCGCTGCCCCCGCTGTATGAGCACGAGGGCGAGATTGGCGAGAAGCGCTATGCGCCGGGCGGTGCGGGGCATGCGTAGGCGTGCTCGATGTGTGTCTGCCATTCTTGCCTTTGTTCACCTCTCGTTGGGTCTCGTCGTTAGACTGGACCTTGGGCGATGCTCGCTGAGACGTGTGGCGTGGGGAAACAGTGCACGATATACCTAACCTTATGATGTCCTGTCATGTTTTACGATCTGCTTTACTGTTATTGTATTTTATAGTGTAAAGTTTCATCATCTCAATGGCATGTTTACATGTGCGATCAAGAGGCGGAGTGCCCTGCAGAGTATGCTCGAAATTGCTCACGTGACCTCCACTAACCACTTACCGCGGTCCGTGAGCATCATCGCAGTTAACCACATTGCGACCATCTTCAACGACTCTCATCGTACATTGCATCTGAGCGTTCGCCGGTATTATACACAGCGGGATCCGACCGCTAGTCACCCAACCCTAGCCTGTGACAAGCCTCAAACTGCGCACACATAACCCGTCGACAGCTACTACGATGACCCAGACGACGCTCCTGCAGTACGAGGCGCCTTGTAAGTGTGCCCAGCCGCGATCTGTGCAGTGTGGTGATGTTCATGTAGTGCAAAGGGCCCGTGTACGCTCTGGACTGGTGCAAAACTTCCTCCCCAGGACAGCAGCTGCGACCGCGCTCAGCATTCCGGCTCGCCATCGCCTCGCTGACGGAGGACTCGCGCAACCGCATCGCCATCGTCGGGCTGCAAGATGAGCGCGTGCTCGTGGAGGACGACTATACGGATTATCCGGACTTCGTGACGCTGGCGGAGGCGTCGCATGGGCCGGGGTTCCCTGCGACGGCGCTGCAGTGGCAGCCGGCGTCCGCGGCGAGCTTTGCGTGGAACCAGAAGGCGCAGACTTCGGAGTTGCTGGCAACGACGGGGGATTATTTGCGGATATGGGAGTACTCGAGTGATGTGCCGCCTCCTGCGTCTGCGTACGTCGGCCGGCAGGCGACGTCGAGCGGGCACCGGCTGGTGCTGAAGCATACATTGTCTGGGGTGCGTTTAAACTGCCGCTCGTCATCCCGCGTACGTCGAGCTAACGCACTGAATGACTAGAAAACGCAGACGCCGAACCACGCGACGAACGCGCCGCTGACCAACTTTTCGTGGAACGAGAAGGCGCCGAGCCTCGTCGTCACGTCCTCGATCGACACGACGTGCACGGTGTGGAACCTCGAGACGAACCTGGCGGTCACGCAGCTCATCGCGCACGATAGAGAGGTGTACGACGTCGCGTGGTTGCCGAACTCGACGGACATATTTGTGTCTGTTGGCGCAGACGGCAGCTTGCGTGCGTTTGATCTGCGCAGTTTGGAGCATTCGACGATTCTGTATGAGACCCCGGCGCCGAAGAACGTACCGCCGCCGTCTGCTTCGCCGTCCTCCTCTGCACGACCGCCGACGTCTCCTCTGCTGCGCATCGCGTTCAACCCTGCAGACTCGAATTACATGTCCACTTTCCATATGGATGGTTCGGACGTGCAGATACTGGATATGCGGAGTCCTGGCCAGCCCGTTATGGAACTGAAAGCTCATAGGGCACCAGTAAATGCGCTTGGCTGGAGCTCAACGAGTACTCCGCTCTTGGCGACTGCAGGTACGTTCTGTCGGCCTCTTATGTTGTAGGCCAACCGGAATCCTGACATGATCTGCTTAGGCGATGACTGCCAAGTATTGCTTTGGGACCTCGCTCCCCATACCCAGATACCCTCCTCATCGCCACGGAATGCCAGCTCTGGATTGAGCTCACCACGGCCAGACGTCAAGAAGCGTATCGTCACCGATCCCGTCATGGCTTATACTGGGCCAAGCGAGATGACCAACCTCGCCTGGTCACCGCAGATTTCAGGGATGACGATGAACACCGGGCACTCGACTGCGCCTGGAGAGTGGCTCGCTATCGCGATGGGCAAATCTATCAAGGTGTTGAAGGTGTAGGTGTATATGGAGTCCGACTGCCCGGACTCGGACTTTGCAGGCGCAACGTGATGCGACTTGGTGCTGTGCCTGGGGCTATACGTTACCCGCTTAAGACGAAAATACGGTCTTGGGATGACATGGAGCTCAAATTTGCTAGATGCAGGCACGGCCGTATCACAGCCAGCGGCACGATAAGTACGGCTGGTTCAATATGGTTTGAAAGTGCGGGCGCGCAAGGTCCGCGTGATATACGCCGCTTTCTCAATCGAGTGAAACGCATCACCACCGGCCAAGCTCCCCGCATACCGTGGACACTGACTCTCATCCCAACGTCTTGCCTTTCCTCATATCTAGTGTACCGTACATGTCTCATTGTTGCATGCGGGCCATCAAATTGAATGCAGCTATCTTGCCAGTCAGGAAATTGTTTTGCCTCTATGTCGTGCCGGCAATTGATAACAGGATATGACGCCCGTCGCACAGATAGGCGGAGGAACTGAATGACTTTTTTCTCGATGCACCGCATGGTTCCTCCCGAAGCCGCAGAAAATCGTATATGAAGCTGTGTCCTGGCTTCTTGCGCTTCCTGCGCTCGCGTGCCCTCCGTCTCCTGGCCACCCCGTCCCTTGAACCTGCTTGAACGCTCCCAGTTACTCGCAGCCGCGATTGAGACACAGGACAGCATGGATTCCTCGGCTATCATCTCCGGCGCTGCTGGGAACACTGAGGGAGCGGTCGAGCGCAGGACGTCGCATACAAGCGATTACTCGGTCACCAAAGAGAAGCAGACCGTGCATGATGCTGAGATGCAGGTCATTGAAGATGACGAGGGCCACTCGAGGTCGAGTCTCTTGTACGCTAAGGTTCGGCCTTATCTGCGCCATTGGATCCTCGCTGGCCTTGCGGGAGGAATATTGGGCTGGTGGATTACATCTACTATCCTGCCCGCTACGCGGCATAGATGGTATGTGGTAGTTACTCGACTCTGCACGATGTGATTGTCTTTCTGATATTGGTCAACTATTGTTAGGGTCGTGCAAACGTTCTGGGCGTGGTTCTTCATCACGTATGTGCAGCAGATGTGGCTATATGCGCGTGTTTCGCCGATTTTGAGTACGTTCACGCAGTGTGATCGCATGGCGATATATTCCAAATCGCGTCGTTACCGATCCTGTCGGTGCTATATGGGTACCCTGTGTACAGGACCCGTGGTACAAGCTTTCGAGGAGGCTGCGCCTAACCATCGGCTGGCTCTGCTTGCTGGGCATTGTCTTCGGTTCTGCATTCGGCTTCAAGCTCACCGAGGTATGTTCTCGATCTCTCGATCAACCCGTGATTATGGTTTTCATGAATGAATTTGATATTTATTTCTAGAACGCGACCTACGGCGATCGTGCTATTTCAGTGCTGGGTCTGTTCGTCTTCCAATTCTGCTTGTGGCTTTCGTCGTCGTGCCGTTCGCAAGTCCCATGGTGAGTTCTCGTACATAGGTGCATAAATGTGTCTTGGTGCCCGCGGCTGAGCTTGGTAATTCTTTAGGCCCACGGTGATCGTCGGCCTGTTCATTCAACAGGCCATCGCGATGTTCGTATTGAAGTCAGATGCTGGCTATTCCATCTTCAAATGGATTGCCACTCTGGCGTCAGACTTCCTGTCTCAGTCGAAAGCTGGTGCAGAGTTCTTCTTTGACGCGGCTACAGTCGCGAAGGGCTGGTTCTTCGTTAATACGGTGAACACATAATGCTTATTTGCGTTATCCGAGGCTTTTGAAAGTTGACTCATTGTCCTTAACAGCTCGCAGCGATCATCTTCTTCATTGCGTTTGTCCAGATGATGTACTACTTGGGTGTTATGCAGTGGCTGATCAAGGGATTGTGCGTAAACGACCTGTGATCTCTATTCACCGCTGATGACGCGCCGTATGTAGCGCGTGGGTCTTCTTCAAGCTACTGAATGTGTCGGGTGCAGAGGCTGTCATTGCGTCCGCGTCGCCGTTCATCGGACAGGGCGAATCGGCCTGTCTAGTGAAGCCCTACGTGGACCTTATGACGCCGTCTGAACTTCACCTGACTATGACGTCCGGTATGTTTATTGATTTCCTCGTTGTGGTTTAGCGAACTCATGAGCTCTGAAGGTTTCTCGACCATCTCTGGATCCGTACTGACTGCATACATCAACCTTGGTGTGCCGCCACAGAACCTGATCACTGCTTCTGTCATGAGCATTCCGGCTTCCATCGCCATCAGTAAGATGCGCATGCCGGAGGTGGACGAGCCTGTCACTCGTGGCCAGGTGATTGTCGACCAAGGAGCTGAACGGGAGAAGAACCGGCCCGCGAATGCGCTTCACGCATTCAGTCAAGGCGCTTTGTTTGGTCTCATTGTTGCCGGTCAAATTCTGTCAGTGCTGCTGCCGATCGTAACTATGCTCTCGCTGACGATTCCCTGCTATCAGAACGAACGTGCTGACTGTCGTGTCTCTTGTGTCGACTGTCAATGGCCTGCTCACATGGATCGGCAAAGGCTTCGGCTTTCACGCGCTGACTCTCCAGCTGATCCTGCGCTATGTCTTCTACCCGGTAGCCTTTTTCACTGGCGTGCCGCGCGGTGAGATCCTCCGTGTTGCCGAGCTGCTCGCAACGAAACTCGTCGAGAACGAGTTTGTCGGCTACACCGGTGGGTGGCATCCGCAGTACAGTTAGCTATATGCTATATGCGTGCTAAGCAGTCGCGTAGATCTTCAGGCGATCATGAAAAGCAATAACCCGCTTTCGGAACGCGCCTTCACGATTGCGTCGTATTCTCTGTGTGGCTTCGCCAACCTCTCGTCGCTCGGCATCCAGATCGGCGTGCTCAGTGCTCTTGCGCCAACGCAAGCCAAGGTTATTGCACGTATTGCGCCATCCGCGATGATCTGCGGGTTCATCTCGTACGTCGCTCTCGCGATTAGTGAAGTTGAGAGAGCTGATGATAGTTTTACAGGACGTTGCAAGCAGCCGGCATCGCTGGTATGCTCGTCTAAAGCGATGTATCAGTATTGGATACCGGCAATAGCGTTCGATGTACTATTATCTACTCATGACGTTAGTGCCTGTGGTTGGGTCTCTGCAATCTTAGTATTTACGATATTCTCGCTCGCATTCGCGACATATCGACGATCAACAAGAACATAGACTATGTTTGATTCTCCGTCTACAAAGTTCAATTGCATGAGGCAATCATGCGCAGTCAACAGTTACTTACAACATGCACCGGGTGCATCACGCATCTGCATCAGGCCTCAGGAGGCGATCCTGGTCAAAGCTGCACACTGCAGCGATGATGACGGGAATACGTAGGCACCATGGGTGCAAGCAATAACCTCTTTAGAGTTAAGAATATATGTAGAATTCAACTATAATTCCAAATCTAGATCTAGGGTATCGTGCAGCTTGATTCCATACGTGCTGGATAGTCAATCTGCCTGCATTGCCAGGCTCATTGTGTCCTGTTCGCCTGTCGGCAATCGGACGTGTGCATCGTTCTCCCCGACGTCGTCCATGCCAATATCATGGCTTCCGTTCCGGAGCCCCTTGCTCGGGCTCTGCAATCGTGTTGTAACGCGATCGAAGGCGACTGACGCGGTCGAATATGCTCAGGCTGTTCATGGATTTGCAGCAATAAGAAACGACGCAGTGGCAACCAGACATCTCGTGGACGTCGTCAAATCATCAATGCACCATCATTCGTGCCCGCATGGCATCAAAACAACGTAGGGTACTCCCTCAAGCAAACATTCCAGCATCTGCAAAAAAAGACCAAGAGAGCATCCAACCCAAGCAATACACCCATCGCATGATCAAACAACCAGTGTCCTTGCCCTCCAGGTTACACATGATATCCTCGGGCTGGACTATTGCACCTTCAAAGCTTCACCCGCTCGAGTGGCCGACAAGTTGACAATCAAAACGCCGGAATTATTTTGATCGAGCTCCGCGACGAGTCCTTGCCTGATAATGGAAAAGATCAGCATTGGAGCAAACAGGATGACGCGGTGGCATGCGTTCTGGAGGGAATTGCGCTTACTTCCGCAAGAGCTCCTCGATTGCAGGCTTGAGCTTCGCAACGCCATCTGACGAATGCAGACCCTTGCCTGAGAGAAGATCGGCCTTTTTGGCTAGACGGAGCACAGTAACACGAAGACGTACCCACGATGAGGTGGATTTTGTTGCTTTCGCACCGCCGAGCATCGTTGATGGCTCGCTCTGTGAACGTGATAGCCTCCTTCACGTACAGACCATGCAGGTCGACCTCTCCAGGCTCTCTGTCTTTGTTATTCTCTGTTATGCATTGCAACAGTCGCGTACAAAATACACCACGTCAGCAAGGTCAATATATGTGCGCCCAACCAGTCGCAGCGCGTGCAGCGCACGCACCATTGAATATCCACTCGCTCGCCTGGGCATTTAGCCGCTCCATCTCTCGCAGGTGCGCCTTCGTTCTTCGCGCGCGTGCGGAGATCTTGGTAGTTCTCATTATCATGGTTCTTCTTGCCAGTGTTCTGTCTCGGACGTAGTAAGTTACCTTCGTATGTGCTAGGAACGTCGAGACGCACCACGGGAGGCGACGGTCGGGCTGGCTTGGGAGGGTATTGTGCGGGCCTACTAGGAGGCTGCTCTGTTACATGTTGGTAGGGCTCGTATCCAAGCCGATATTGTTGGGGAGGCTGGTCTGTTATACGTTGGTAGGGCTTGTAAGCAGGCTGAGGCTGTCGAAGAGGCTGCTCTGTTATACGTTGGTAGGGCTTGTAAGCAGGCTGAGGCTGTGGAAGAGGCTGCTCTGTTATACGTTGGTAGGGCTTGTAAGCAGGCTGAGGCTGTCGAAGAGGCTGCTCTGTTATACGTTGGTAGGGCTTGTAAGCAGGCTGAGGCTGTTGAAGAGGCTGCTCTGTTACATATTGGTAGGGCTTGTATGCAGGCTGATATTGTTGGGGAGGCTGCCTTGTTACAGGTTGGTAGGGCTTGTAAGCAGGCTGAGGCTGTTGAAGAGGTTGCTCTGTTACATATTGGTAGGGCTTGTATGCAGGCTGAGATTGTTGGGGAGGCTGCTTTATTACAGGTTGGTAGGGCTTGTATGCAGCGGCCGGCGCATGCAGGCTGAGGTTGTCGGGACGTCCCCGCTGCTCTTCGGAGGAGCCACAGAAGCAGCTGAGCAATGCGTTGCAAAGAGCACCGAAGACCATCTTGACGGTGAGTGACAGGTGGTAGTACAGTCTCGAGCAGTAGGATGACGAGCTAATAGGAACCAGCGGCCTCAGGCGAAGAGGCATTCAGATATATATCCTGACAGAGCATGGCAGGCAAAGGGCATTGCCTCGTGTCTGACACGGGTTGCCCTGCAGGCACGCCAGTAAAGAAGATTACGGCGTAGAAGACATAGCGTAAGATCAGCTTGAGAGTCAGCGCATGAAAGCCGAAACCTTTGCCGATCCATGGGAGCAGGCCGTTGACAGTGGACACAAGAGACACATCAGCCAGCACATTCGTCCTGATAACAAAAATCGTCAGCGAGCGCCGAGAGTACAGTTACGCTCGGCAGCAGCACTGACACCAGGAAAATTTAAGTCGACTTGTGGCTTGTACAAGCGAATAAGTGCACAATAAGAAGCTTTCAACCCAGAAAAGAGTTCAAAAAAAGAAGGTCCTAAGACTTTCTCGAGCTTACTGTCTTTTTGGTGACGGCAAGCGGATAAAAGTGTCCTAAGCCGGATTTGAGTTGTCCTCATGGACAGAACTTGACCAGCAACAATGAGGCTGAACAAAGCGCCCTGATTGAATGCGTGATGCGCATTCGTGGGGCCTGTTCTTCCCCCATTCAGTACCATGGTCAACAATCACCTGTTCGCGAGTGACAAGCTCGTCTCCCTCGGGCATGCGCATCTGACTGATGGCGATGGAGGCCAGGGATGCTCATGACAGAAGCAGTGACCAGGTTCTGCGGCAGCACACCAAGGTTGATGTATGCAGTCAGTACGGATCCAGAGGAGGTCGAGAAAACTTCAAAGCGCATGAGTTTCGGAAGCCGGCCAAAACGACACCAATAGACATACCGGACGCTTGCAACAAAGCTCGTCAAGAACGAATTTGGCTACACCGGTCAGTGGCATTCGTAGGATAAGTGGCTGTATGCGTGTTGACCTATCACGTAAATCTTCAGGCGATCATCTTTCGCAAAGCGCGTTCACGATTGTGTCACATTGTCTGTGTGGCTTCGCCGACCTCTCGTCGCTCCGCATCCAGTTCGGCGTGGTGAGTGCTCTCGCGCCCACACAAGCCAAGATGATTGGACGTATTGCGCCATCGCCGATGATCTGCAGGTTCATCTCGTACGTCGCTCTCGCGCTCGGTGAAGTACAACAAAGCTGATAACAGGTTTCACGGGACCTTGCAACCAGCTGGCATTGCGAATGTGCTCGTGTAAGGCGACGTATCAGTGTTGGATACTGGCAATAGCATTCGATGTAATATTATGCACTCATCACGTAAGTGCCTATGATTGGGGCCTCTGAGATCTTGATAGTTATGATACTCTTGCTTGCATTCACGGCAACTCGACGATTAAGAACAACATAGACTATGTTTGACTATCCGTCTATAAAGTTCGATCATATGAGGTAGTCATCCGCAGCCAACAGGTACTTACAGCCGGGTGCATCATGCATCAGGAGGCGATCCTGGTCAAAGCTGCACATGACAGCGATGATGACCTGAATATGTAGGCGGTATAAGTGGAAGTAATCGACTCCACCGTCCAGCTTGATTCCATACACGCAGGATAGTCGATCTGCCTGCGTTGCCAGGCTCAGCGTCCTGTTCGCCTGACAGCAATCGCACGATATGCATTGGAGGGGGTTGAATGGAATGCGCATCGTTCTCCCCGACGTCGCCTGTGCTAATATCACGGCTTCGCTTCCGGAGCCCCTGGCTCAGGCTCTGCTAACAGGTCCTCGTCGGATTTACTAGATGGTTTGGGCGGTCGCCGGTTGCCCGTCTGCACAGCGTACGGCTGCTGTCGACCCAAGGATTCCAACATCGCCTGACGACGGGTAGAGTATGTCTGCCACACGAAAGCACCGACGCCCTACCCACCGACACAACTCAGCACCCCTGGCATACTGCGATCAACCATCTCTACGCACCAGCACGACCGCCCCGAGCATCATTCCGTCTTTCCACCGATCGTCCCACCCCACATCGAGCTCTGCCCTCTTCCGCTGTCGAGCCCGCCACATTGCCCTGCTCAGATTGTGGTAGTCGGGCTTCAAGCCCTCGCCGGTGCTGGCTGACTCGGCGTCGGCCATGCGCTGCACCTTCCCGGTCAGGACAGCATAGGCGGCGCTGATGGCTTGAAATCGCGAGTGAGCGGTCTCGGGTGGGACGGCGCGGCTGATTGGGGAGTCGGGGTGATATATGCGAACGAGGTCGTAGTCTAGCGTGGAGGGAAGACATAAATGAACGATGTGCACACTAAGGAAGGAGAGGGGTGGGGACGAGGGGACATACGTACAGCGTGCCTTCACCTGGTCGCGCGTCGCAGTGGGCTGGAGGTGGAAGATCTGGTAGGGTGTCGGGTTGGCGTTGTTAGGGAATGGGTAGGGATTTGCGCTGCTGGAGACATGTCTCGATATGAGAGGACGAGAGCACAACGATGTCCGAGCCCGGCGAATGGAGGCGCTCTTCCACATTCTTCCGTGTATGCAATATCTTACAACGACATGGCGTAAGGAACCGTCAATGGCGTTCAAGTGCGGTGTACGTACTGCAGGAGCTTACAAGAATGACTGAGCGTTCCGCAACGTCGTGATAGAATATGCGAGAGCTACGAAGGGCCGGGAATTCGGAATTGCTGTCCGAGATGTCCTTGCTCATCATTCCGGCCAGCCTGCAGCCCCGGATAACATCACTACACAATCTATGTCTTGCTCATCGTGTTGTGACGCGGTCGAAGGTGGTAAACCCGGTCAAAGATGTTCAGGCTGCTCATGGATTTGCAGCAATAAGAAGCGACGCCATGTGAACACGGCGATCAGGCATCTCGTGAACGTCGTAAATTCATCATCATCATTCCTGCCTGCATGGTACCGACACAATGTAGGGTATATCCACAAGCAAACATTCCAGCATCTGCAAAAAGGCCGAGAGAGCATCCGGTCCAAGCAACACACCCTTCACATAATCAAACAACCAGTGCCCTTGCCCTCCAGGCTACGCGTGATATCCTCGGGCTGGACTATAGCGCCTTCACCGCTCGGGTGGCCGTCCAGGTTGACAATCAAGACGCCGGAGTTATTTTGGTCGAGCTCTGCGATGAGTCCTTGCCTGATGATGAAGAAGGTCAGCATTGGAGCGAACAGGACGACTTGGGGGGGGGCGTGCATTCTGGAGGAAATTGCGCTTACTTCTGCATGAGTTCCCCGATGGCGGGCTTGAGCTTCGCAACGCCGTTTGACGAGTGCAAACCTTTGCCTGAACGAAGGTCGGCCTTTTCGACTACACAGAGCACGGCGACACGAAGACGTACCAACAATGAGGTGAATCTTGTTGGTTCCGCGCCGCCGAGCGTCGTTGATAGCTCGTTCCGTGAACGTGAGAGCCTCCTTCACGAACAGACCATGCAGATCGACCTCTCCAGGCTCCCTGTCCTTGTTGTTCTCTGTTATGCGTTGGAACAGTCGCGTGGAACATACACCATGCCAGCAAGGTCAATATATGCACGTCCTACGAGCCGCAGCGCGTGCAGCGCACGCACCATTAAATATCCACTCGCTCGCCTGCGCGTTCAGCCGCTCCATCTCGCGCTGGTGCGCCTTGCCCTCGATGGAGAGCTCCTTCGCGCGCGCGCCGTCCTTGCGCGCATAAGCAGCGTGGCTCTCCTCGAAGCAGCGCGCCATCTCTGCGCCCTCGCTCTTCGCGCGCGTGCGGAGATCCTGGTAGTGCTCGTTGTCATGGTTCTTCTCGGCAGCGTTCTGTCTCGGACGCGGTAAGGTGCCTTCGTATGTGTAAAGGTGTGTCGAGACGCACCACAGGAGGCGAGGGCCGGGCTGGCTTGGAAGGGCGCTGTGCGGGCCTACTAGGAGGCTGCACTACTACAGGCAGGAAGGGCTTGTGTTCAGGCCGATTTTGTTGGGGAGGCTGCTGCGCAGGCCGCTGCTCCGCAGAGGGGCCACAGAAGCAGTTGAGCAACGCCTGGAAGAAAGCACCGAAGCCCATCTTGATGTTGAGCGACAGGTAGTTGTACAGTCTCTAGCAGTAGGATGACGAGGTAATAGGGATCAATGGCCTCAGGCCAGGAGGCATTTAGATATATGTCCTAACAGAGGCTGGCAGGGCAAAGGCGTCTGCGGTTGACAGCAACCATTGTATTTGGCTGAGCAGAAGTAGTACCGCCTTCAAAGGGCGTACTGCCTCGTGCTCGACACGGGTTCATCGCATTAGATCTAAAGGCTTGGTAGGCGACCGGTAGATATGATGGCCAGCCGCGCAACGTTGTCGCTTATTCCAGGCCGTCCATGAGTGGCATTATCTGCTCTTGTGCATCCTTGAAGATGCTTTCATCCTAATCTTAAGGGAGATAGCACAGCGATACATTAGGTTGACAACAAGTACATCATGCAAGCGGAGAATTGTAACATGCGCGGTTGCCAGTGAGAAAGATGAACGATTGAGGATCAAGGCGGCGGAGATGGGGTAGAACAAATAATGATAGGTCATGACCGGTCGTGAATATCCAACCTCAGGTCTCAAGTTATCCATAGTCAGCGATAGCACCAATGGTCCGGGTCGAAGTCGTCATTATAGACTCGGGGATTATCGTATTCGGTCTGAACTTCAGTAAGAGGTAGCCAACGTATGCATCGGCGAACAAGTACTTACCTGATAAGCAGCAGCATCTGCTGTTGTTCTTGCTTTGCCGAATAAATTAGAAAAAGGGAGCGATGACGACGTGCTATCTGCACTTGGCGTAGTGGGATAGCATTAAAGCATCATTCACAGAATGTAGGCTGGCCATACTCACCAAACGTCATGCACAGGCGCGTTTGCTTATACACAAGCCCACCTCATCCCGCCCATATTTTCTGTGCCCCGATCCAACTCCCAGTCCATGATCTGTCGAGGAAATGGCGTCTTGCTAAAAGATGTGCGATGCCCTTCCGACAAGCCACGGTCAACGTCTAGGAGCGCATGGTATGCTGACCGAACTCCTAAGACTCCTTGAGTATATGCGCACCACATACTCACACGCGAGGACAAGGCGTACCTCACGGAGTCTGTAGGATGGTAAGGCGGCGGCGGATTATTATACGAAGGAATAGATGCCATTGACCGACTCGAGTCGTACGAAAGGGGTGGCGACCGAGGTATTTGGCGCGTCACGGCATTGCGGAGCAGCACCGGCGGCACATATACGTCGTCCTGCCTCGGCCTCTGTCGGGTATCGATGTTGGGCACAGCTGCATCGTGAGTGTCCTCAAGCAGCGAATCCTGACATAGACAGCAGAAACCCATGGCACGGGCAAAGGCATGGTGAAAACCCATCAAGATAGGAGCTCGGATGCGATTGTGGAGCAGTCAGCGATCGAGTATATGATGATGGCATGAAGCCTCTGACGATATATCGCACGCTGCGTCGAGGCAATCATCAATGCACCGAAAAGAAGCTGATCGCGTAGCGGCCGAGTCACCGGCTTTTTATCCAACCGACCTCGTGATCCCGCGAGAAGGCATTATAGTCATCGGCCTCCTCCCGCCGACTGGACTCTGCCTCCCGGGGCGCCGTTTTGGCGTTCTGAGGCGAGCGCGTCAACCGTGAGCCTATAGCCACTGACAGCCGCATGCGTGTTCGAAACGCACTAGCCGTGCTTCCCAGGCTTGTATCTCCATGCTTCCGCCGTATTTGACAATGTGCGATAGCAATATGGACCGCGTCGATGTGCTTCCATGCGCCGAAGGAAACATCGCATACGCCCAGCCGACCATCGTGCTTTCCACGCCTTAGGAGGACCCGCAAGTCCAGGCTGTGACAACTGCTTGGCTGGCTAAGCAGACCCGTCAGCCTCCCCAAAGACAGAACTACCGCCTCCACGCGCCCGCGGGTCGCTACAAGCGTCTATCCCGGCGTACTTCACGTCGAACGATGGCTGCTATCAGCTACGCGCGCGGCACTATGACGCATAGCACGCACCTCCTGACCTCTTACCCGGGTCCAAGGGTTGCGGAAGCAGCACTGGGAGATTAAAAACCGCCGCGGGATGGGGAAGGAAGTGCCATAGAGGATATAGGCCCCGACTGCTCCATAGGATCGTGGGTCTCTGGGGCATGGTGGGCACGTACGGACGGTGATGGATTGGGTCTTTCAGGCTCCCGATTCCGTTCTTTCTCGCTCGCGCTCTGGTTACAGGCTTCGGGCAGTCGACCTGTCGACTTAAACATGAAGTAAGCACACAACGCAGCACGTACACGAGCCGCCATTTTCCGCACGAGAGAAGGTCAAATTACCAGGTCTAAGAATAGGTCTCCTGACATTCTAGTCGATTGCAACGTTGAGCGAGCATTTCGAAAGTGAACTCGGCTCTACGCGCATTCTGTCAGTGGTGGGACACCCACCTAGGCGATTCGATGTTACGGCATGTGAAGGAGTAGATAATCAAATGGCTGGAAAAGGGGGCGCATGATCTGAGCACCAGACATTTGGAGCTGGGGGCCCACTCACCAAGCACCTTTGATTGCTGGACTCTGTGCGACTTGCAACCAGCCAATCCCAGCATTGCATCAACACTATTCTACCAAACGAACAAGGTAGAAGAAAAAATGAATGATCTCATTGCTCAAGCTCTCCCGACATCCACTAGATACAGAGGAGCGGGAACATACAGCTGTCCATTATAGAAGCTCTCGCTCTCAATCCGCCGCCATGGCCCGACTCAAATCTCCAATCCCACGAGAACGTAGGCAGGGTCAACCTGGAAGGGTGGTTTAGTGACAACGGATCCTCCGACGTACATCAAAGAATGAAGCAAGTCGCCAAGGAATGGAGACGACTTCTCCAATGCAATGACCAGAGCCGAACACTGCAGACTCTCATCCGCCAGATCCAGCAGCGCAACAATGCTAACCGCCAGCAACATCAATTTCTAAAACGAGACAATTGTGTAACCCGAAGACTCACCTCTCTCTCAAGTTGACGTTTGCTGCGCTTTTTCCGTCGACATAAAGCGTTTTTGGTTTGCCCGGTAACTCGAGCACAACGCCGTCGAAGGCGGCACCCAAGTTCGGACCAGAGATGGACACACTCTTCGCATGCGGCAATGCGCCCAATGCGTTCATCGGGAAGAGCGTTGAAAGGAACTCGAGCGCCGTATCTTGCTGCTTCGCACTGATGGCTGCGAGGCTGCCCCCGCCTTCCTCCGCGTCGTCAGGCGTCAGCGGAGGAGTAGCGATGTCGGGGAGGGGTGCATGTGCGCCCTTGCCCGCAATCGCACGGGGCGCGCTCGGCTGGCCATGGGTAAAGTCAGGAGGCGGAGTGGGAGGATAATCGATTGGCTTGGAGTAAAGGCTGTCTGCCCTGAGAGACGATGATAGCGTGGAGGAAGTATCGGAAGGGGAAGAGGAAGGGGAAGCAATGGCTGGCGCCAGACTGTCTGTCACCCAGTCTGACGACCCTCTGTCGGGAGGGCATTTTACTTTGGGGGTGTCAAAACCGCCACTGCAACGAGAGTTCAGTCTGCACCTGATTACACGTTTTTGAGAGTCTTGCGAGTACTCACCCCGGGCCCGCCAGAGAACGTAGTAGAGTAATAGTACATGGAGTCGTTTCCCTCCATGTGGCACACTGCCAGCACGCTAGGAGTTATGTCGGTGTAGAAAGCCCCATCTCCAACAGCCTGACGGCCGTTGCTGATTATCGAAGGAAAGAAATGAGCCGAAATGAAGCCAGCAGTCTACCGATATTAAAACTTACGTGGGGCAAATACTAGATGACTGTTTTGTATAATTCATCATATTTATTATCGACATGAGGTGCCAATTTGTTCGCGAACGGCTTAAAGAGTTGTTTCTGGTGTGGTTGTGGAAGAGAGCCAGTCAAATCGGGTGGGACGAATGAGGTAGCGCGTTCACAAAAGCAGATGCGAGCGAGTTAGTGCGAGCGCTGTGAGCAAGTCAGCAATGCGGTGCAGTGAAGAGGGGTCCACGCCAGGGCCACTCTTTATCGGTCTTTGTTATCTGGGACCCCGGATACCGCCACGTGGTCAATTGTGGCCCGCTACGGCGCTACGGCCTGCTAGTTGCCGTTCGCTGATCGAGGTCTTTCCTTCGTCATTTCGCGATTTTTCACACACGTGCGGCTCATTGCACATCATTAATTGCAACCAAGCACGCAACGAACATGGTGCGAACACAGTGAAAAGCTACACGAGTGGTATGCAAGGCAGCGGCAAGGCTCCCGGTGGCACCGGGATGCTGCTTGCAATTGAGTTCCCCCATTCAAACACCGCACACATGACCTTACATCTCCACCCATCTCCTCCGAGAGTTATGCCCATATCAGCGAGTCCTGCCTGCTTCTGTGTGCGAAGTACATGGGTCCAGACGCTGCAAGGCGATAGAGTTCGACGAACGATAAGAGAACCAGCTCCGATACGCCCGACAGCCTAACATTCGTGATATAATCATCAGTTGACGCATCAAGTGTCCAGGCAAGCTGCAATGGTGCGATCCCGACCACGAAGTAGTGGCTTTTGCAGGAGCGTTCTAGCGCAGAAGTCCGGCGATGCCGAATTGTGCAACGCGACCTCAAAGGCCGCCGTCACGTTTCATACTTTAGGCCGAAGCCCGTGGCACCTCTACGCGGACTATTATACCAGAGTGAACGCATCCGGTAGAATCGACCGAGCTGCTTGCGAGCGATCTTTCATGACACGTTGGTCGCGCATCATGACACATGGTCATATTGAGGAATGGCTGACGTACTGCGAGCACGTCGGACAGGCTCTGGTCTTCGCGACCTCCTCCCAAGCATTCCTTCAATCTCTTCGAATAGATCAAAGGAGAGAGACATGAGAGCTGTCTGAGAATCTGTGCCTGAGGAAGACGCCAGACCGCTATGGTGGTTCGTCAGAGATTGGGCTGCCGTGGAGTGCATGTTCAGCAGAGGAGAGGTTTCGACTACCCTGGACATCGGAAGTCTAGGAACCTGCGAACCAAAGACCAGGGTTACAGGTCATCGGACAGCCTCCGAAGCACAGCTTATAAGGACACGCACCACATGTCTGATCGGCTCGATCGCATTCAACTCTGCGTGTCTCGCCGCGACAGTAACAGCGCTTCTCATGGCGGAAGATTCGCTTGCCCTTGCGACGTCGGTGGGTATCGGTGTAGCAACCTTCACAACGACCATGTTCTCCTTCGTGACTTTTAGGGCAGTCACCGCAGCTGGAGCGCGAATACCGTATGCTTCTTCCATGCTCATTCTCGCCGTCGAAGGCATTTTCTGCACCTTGATGGTATTCAAATGGAATTCTGATGGCAAAGGTCGATATGCTTGAAATGCATGAGAAGGCACGGAAACATCATGCCGACCAGATGGAGACGAGTACTCAGAGATGGAGTTTTGTAGTGGCGCACGCCGAATTGACGGAGATCTGAAGGAAGAAGTACCGATATCCAAACTGATTGGGATGGACGTGTCTGATACGTCCCGGATCGAGCGTGCTTGCATCTGAGTAGCGGAGGCTTGGGCGGCCTCTTCGCCGAACGACCTATCCACGTCCAACGCGAACGCTTCCACACTGAGATCGGTGTTACAGGGCGAGTTTGAGCTTCCCCTAGACGACGACCTGGAGGAGTCTGAGTGTATGCTGCCAGCTCCAGCTTGAGGCGAGTGTATAACGTCAGTAATTGAAGCAGCGACTACCCGTGTTGGTAGCTTGCGAGACGGCAGAAGAGACGTGACGTCGTAAACAGAGGCATTGCAGTTTGTGACATCGTTCTACAGTTGATGGTTCGGCCAAGGGAATACCTTTAGACCCAAATATTGTAGTGCTCACCTCGTTTCGCCGGTCGGCATTTGACGCGTAGCGCTCTGCTACAGGCCCGAAGCATGCGCTCGCAGAGAGCTCTGTGTGGCGGACATCGCTGGAGTAGGATCGAGCCGCATGAGACTGCAGGGAGTTCGGGTACACAGTGATTCTTGGTCGACGCGGAAGCGGGATGAATGAGTCGAAATCAATATCTACGGAGCCAAGTGGTTGCTGCATCCTGCCCGCTCGACGTCGCTCTATTCAAGACACAACAATGCCTGAGGAGATGAAGCAGGAGGGGGGAGGGGAACCTGCGGTGCGCTGCATGTGGAGGAGGAGCGTTTTGTACACTGTCGATAGATGCGCATTGCACGCAGATCTGTAGCTCCACTACGTTCTTCGTCTGTCAGTTTTGAAAAGCTCGTTGCGCGACGTCGACGATCCTATACGTCTACGTCGTACATTTGATTAACCTAGGCCAGATCCTGGGGTCGCCTTGAGCAACGCTCCACAACAAGCTGCATTGAGTCGGAAGAGCCCATCGCCGCGACATACAGAGTCCTACTTTTTCAAAGCACAACGCGAGCGAGTCCAGAGTTCAGGTAGTTTGAATGTATCACATTCGAGAGCGGGATTGTCGGCAATCATCTGCAAGCATACTTGTGTGCACAGTTCGATATGTAGACTTGCACATTGCGCAGACTCCAGAGCCCAGCATTGCGAGATAGATGGATTCATACCGGAAAGTGGGCCGGACCCCGGTGACCAGGGTCCTGCCGTCAGGGCAGGGCGTTCAGCCACATCTCTAGTAATCGACGCCCAAGGCAAGCGGCAACCCATCGGCGAGCTCGACCTACCTCAAGACGTGAGTGTTTCTATGCTAGTGTGATGCTCCGAATGCGCAGGAAATGCTGGGTTGGATGCTCAACCGAAATATCAGGCCAAAATGCGCCCATTTACATGATGGATGGACGGCCTCTTTAGTGGATGCACCTTGATTCAACCTTCAGTGTTCAAGCTGCTTACGCTCTTCTTTCTGACTGCAGTCATCACCTCGGCAACAAAAAATGGCTGACGCTGGACGTGGACGCGGTGGATTCGGGCGTGGACGTGGTGACAGAGGACGTGGCCGTCGGGGCCCTCGCCGTGGAGGCCGCAAGGACGAGGAGAAGGAGTGGTGAGTCCCAGATTCCGCCGACGTCGCGAACGATTGCCAAATGTAGCGCGAATGTAGGGTGCCTGTCACGAAGCTCGGTCGTCTCGTGAAGGACGGCAAGATCAAGTCCATGGAGGAGATCTATCTCTTCTCGCTGCCTGTGAAGGAGTTCCAGATCGTCGACTTCTTCCTGCCGAAACTCAAGGATGAAGTGATGAAGATTATGCCCGTTCAGAAACAGACCCGTGCCGGACAGCGTACGCGTTTCAAGGCATTCGTCGCGGTCGGTGACTCTGATGGCCATGTCGGTCTCGGTGTCAAGTGCGCGAAGGAAGTCGCGACCGCTATTCGCGGAGCCATCGTCCTCGCCAAGCTCTCCGTTGTTCCCGTCCGACGGGGGTATTGGGGTGCTGCGCTCGGTGAGCCGCACACTGTGCCCTCGAAGGTCAGCGGGAAGGTCGGTTCTGTCATGTGCCGGCTCATCCCCGCACCAAGAGGTACTGGTCTCGTCGCCGCCCCCGCATCGAAGCGACTGCTGCAGATGGCCGGTGTCGAGGATTGCTACACGCAATCAAAGGGTTCAACAGCAACGATGGGTAACTTCTTGAAGGCAACCTTCGCTGCGGTGCGTATTCATGTTGTCGACTCTTGTATTGTATAACTAATCGATCTTGCAGATCACAAAGACATACTCATTCCTCACGCCCGACCTCTGGCGCGAGATCCCTCTGTCGAAGTACCCATACGACGAACACAGCATGCACCTACAGCTTGCCCAGGCCAAGAAGGCGTATTAGACGGCTTTCCATCCCTGTACCATATCGCATGCTGTCAAAATCTTCGGGACGCGAAGTCCGTCATGCTAGACTTGCTCCATGCATGTAATCCACGATATTTTCTTATTCCATGACATACATAGCGGAGGGATCGTCAGCAGAGCAGCAGTATATGATCTGGCTTGAAGCCTGCGGGTGGATAGTATGATTGTCATCCGTTCATTATTATTTGAGGTGCAATATCTCATTCAGCCTAGCTAGCTAAGCTCAACGTGGCAATATCGCTTACCTCGTGAGCATGCCGGTGTTCACGGCATACAATTAATTAGACTATTGACTAGCGAATCATCTCTGGGTAAGAAGTTAACAGCCGTTAAATCCATGCATCGTGCCGAGGAGACGTGAGAGGCCTTGTGCCTCGTACGCAGATTACGTAGGAAGTAGATAATGCGACAGCTGAGCATCAGAGAAACTCAAATCCGCCTTAAGATGCCTTCAAAAGACAGTAAGTCTCAACACCTCCTTGTTCGGAATTTTCTCCGGGTTGGGAGCTTCCTTTCATGCGTAACTAGCGAGAACAAGTCGATTTGAGTTTCAATGATGCATGGGAGCTTCCCTGTGATCGATATCCCCCAACTCAAAAAAGGAGATTTATAGGTCTGCCTAGGGGAGACAAATAGGAGCTGCCTTCACCTTCAAGGGTCTGCGTCAGGAGGCATCCGGGCGTAAAGCCTGCACCCGACTCATCTAGGAAAAGAAGTGCCTTGTCGCACATCGCTTTTTCATCTTACTTCCATCGCCTTGCGGCGCACTGGGACCATGTTGCGGAAATGAACGGCACTGGGTACCAGCATAGGTATCGATTATTCATCATGTCGCATTTTCCAGTCTGTATCATGCATGTTCACCTCCACTCGAGAAACATTGAAGAGTGGCTCTGGCATGCTTACGTTTGGTCAAAAGCGGCACTTGCGGCAGCTTCATAATCTGCAAGTGAATGGGTACACCGTCACGGTTCATTCATCATAAAGCCTACATCAGGATTTTCAAGAAACAAAATAGGACCGGTGAGCACTATGTGTCTACGGAAATGCGCCCAGGGTGCGCGACCGACGATCAACCACGGATGACATACCAAGGTAAGTGTTAGTCTGCTCTTCTGTGGACCTGTCATGCTTGCCGATGCCAGACTGGACTGGGTAAATAAGAGGTGCGGTGTGCAGCCGTCTGACCTGTTCTCTCCTCTCGCTCCTCCGTGCATCAGACCAAGTTCACCACTGATATTCCTGTTATCGAAATTTTATCGCGGGATGGCTCTGGATCTGGTGCAAGTACGTGTGTCGTCACCTCATTCATTGTCTATCTCATAGACTCGCTTTACACACAGGTCAGCGATCCCAGCATAGCGTACATTGTGCTGGGAGGATTCGTTGTCTTAGTGAGTGTTTTGTTTCATTTCGCACTTCTCCAGGGGTATGCGATGTTTTGGTGTACATGAAGACCTCGGAGAGTTCGCAACTTCTTATCACCAAAGTCTACCACTGGCGCATAGTTTTCTTACCGAGAGTGCTGATTTTTTGCCTCTCATAGTTTAGTATCGTGTCGTTGCTTGTGAAGGATAAGGTGATCATGAAACAATTGTCGCTTGAAGTCGGCTTATAGACCAAATCTAGTTCTACATTAGTGAGGTCGTGCTCGGGACTGTTTTCGGTATCATTATCGGTCCATCCTGCGCCAACGTCTTCGATCCTCGATCATGGGGTAGCCATTCAAATATCATCACACTGGAAGTCATGCGCATCGTTCTGGCGACTGGTCTGTTCGCTATCGGCGTCCAGCTGCCGCGGTCATACATGGCAGACCATGTCAAGGGGCTCCTGGTAATGGTTGTGCCTACGATGGCGTTCGGATGGGTGGTGGTTGCAGGCATGTGCGTTTCTCCTAGCCTACCGGTTTGTCTGATATCGGTTGCGTTTCCAGCTGTCATCTATGGTTTGTTCTCGCAGTACAACTACATCTCAGCGCTCGTAGTGGCCGCGTGTCTGACGCCGACAGACCCAATTATCAGTGCGGCGATTATCGGTACGGATTTTGTATCGTGACTGCGTCTCCATTGGTTAACACGTTTATAATGCCAGGCGGGAAATTTGCAATGAAGCATGTACCTCCGAACCTGCGTAATGTCCTGTCTGCGGAGTCTGCCGCCAACGACGGCCTGGCGTACCCTTTCCTGAGCATCTCAATCTATCTCACAGTCGAGAGCACCCGTCGGGAGGCTATTGGCAAATGGTTTTTAGTAGGCTGGTTGTGTAGGTCTCACAAGTGTTCTCCTGCTGCATGCACTGAGTGTTGGCTGTTTCTTTCTCTCAGACCAAGTCATACTGGGCACTGTGCTCGGCGCAGTCTTAGGCAAGTGCAATCCGGATGATTCTTTGCGATGCGCTGACCTCGTAGCTCACAGGGCTCGCGTTTTGTCGCCTGATGAAAATCTCATACCGCAAGGGGTTTATTGACCGCGAATCACACCTGGCCCAATACCTCGCCTTCACGCTTTTTACCATTGGCATAGTAAGTACTCTGGGTAGCGACGACCTGTTGGCAGCCTTCGCTGCAGGCTAGTACTTATTCATTCGTTTCAACGATACAAACACATGCTCACAACCATCCAGGCACTGCCATCAATTGGGATGGGCACTTCAACGACCAGATAGAGAACGAAAGTTTCTCATCAGTCCTTGAACTGCTGCTGAACTGTGGTTGCTTCATCTATATTGGCGCATGGCTGCCCTTCGACAAGTACAATTCACCGGAACTTGGCATCACGCCGTGGCGCCTGGTCGTACTCTTCATCGCGATCCTGTTTCTCCGACGGATTCCTCCTTTGCTCCTCCTGTACCGGTGGGTGCCGGAGATATTCAACTGGCGGGAGGCTTTATTCTCTGGACATTTTGGTGCGTCCACTGTCGAATGATCATTCTCTTTCTGACCAACACACTGTTTCATTTTACAGGACCCGTGAGTATCGGTTATGAGTTAACCCTCGCCTTCACTAAACTTGTGTCCCAAGATGGGCGTTGGGGCAGTATTCGTCTCTACCCTGGCCACTACTAGACTTCCCACGCCTCACGATCCTCCGCAAGACCAAGCCGAGCTGCTCGCTGCCACTGTGCAAATCATCGTATCTTTCATCGTTCTATGCTCCATCATCACCCGTAAGCGCATAGAAATCTCACTCAAACGCCATCTTATGCTCTCCCAGATGGCCTTTCTATTTCAGTGTTCTCCTTCGGCAAGAATGTCTGCTCCCATACGGTCTCCATGTCGCACACCTGGAGATCCCGCAACGTAGCCGCCGAAGAATGGCTCATGTGGAGGCGCCTCACGGGCCAGGTGTTGCACCTACCCGCCCTCCCCAGCTTCTCTCTCAAGCAGGCCAAACCGGCCGAATTAACCACGGCGGAGGAGGGGCTGGAGAACGCAGGGCCGGTTGTGTCGCCTGCTGGAAGTATGCGATCCTCCAAGGCAGGCGAGATGAAGTCCAAGACAGGCGAAATGGTCCGCCCGCGCACTTCGTTGCGGGACGTGCTGCGCAATTTACTGTCCGCGCCTGGCCATAACATTACGGTTTGTGCTCTTGCCACATGGTGTCGTGTTTTTTTCCAATGCTATAGCCAGGTCCGTCTGGACGGCGACGTAAACGTCCTGCATGAGCCGGTCTAGCGTGCAGACCCCGAAGTCCGTGTACGTCTCGCCAGATCAGCTGAGCCTCGTGGAGAACGACCCGCAGGCGCGGTCGTCCGGCATGAGCGAGCACCCCTAGCCGACACATAGTCAAAGATGGTGTATCCAATAACATAAGCTTGTGGCTCCGAAGAGTTACAATGGTTTCGAATCGCGGTCGGAGGTAGAATGCGTGCGAAGAATGAGACATAGGTCGATAGAAAATTGTATAACTCGTGCACACCCTTGCATTTCCTTGGACAATCAATTCATCGGGATCATTGGTTCACCTGGTCGATTGTGCATCTATCCGCTGCTTCGTAAGAGGGAGGGACTGAAGACTAGCAAGCAATAGACATGATTCGCGAGCCAACATTTGTGCTACCCATTGCCAGCCGCTACTGACTGATCGTTCACGGGAGGTGAGACTAAATCATTATTTTCTCTGCAGCGACTCGATGAGGAACGAGGCTCTTCCCGTCCACTTTCGTGTATCGCTCGGCGCGTTGGGACGGCGTAGCCAGCCGAGTTGGCCACTATCATTCAACGGGCCACTTGTGCAATCGAAGTCGATCCGTATCGTTTGAGGCTCAGTGAAGGAGGCTCCTACTATCACTCAGCTGCCCTGATGCCAATGATCCCAGAATTTTCTGGGTCTCTCACGAATGTATCCGACAACACCTGGTTTTCGCGTTTGCCCTCGCTCGATCTTTTTATTGTTATAAAATAGTACACGTCCGTTGACGTCTTACAGCTTGAGACTAACTGTGCCGGCACGACGTGCGGTGATCCGAGGGCCCACCACTGAAACATCTGGTCTGCATTTGTAATCTATAAGAACGAAACCGCACAGTAAAGACATAGGTCCAGATCAAGCGAGGCGAGTGAAAGACACACGTTAATCCTATCTTTCGTGCAGTAGTTACATCCGGCACTGAGAGCACAAACGTGGAATAGAAGCCGCTGAACGTTCGAAAATATATCAGCGATGTGAGGTGAGCGTCAAGAGGATTTCTGCGAAGACGGTGATTACGGGGGTAGGGGGGGAGGTGTAATTGTGGTTGCGACAAGGTATGATGCGGGTACGCCATAGGCCATTATGAACGTGGCAACGACATGCCGTATCGAGCTTGCTCGTTGGCCAGTTGTTTCGCCTTCAATGTCCTCTCAGCATCGGATACTGAATCGATGTGAGTTCATTCAGTCAGGTATCCAAGAAGCGAAGATGACGCACGTCAACATGTTCTTATTGTTCAGTTTAGGAAAGCGCACACAGATCTCTGCGCAAACATTGACACGCTGTGAGTCATCCAACGCAGGATCGAATGAAGTATAGTCTATGATCACGGCTTGCAGCTCGGCAGAATGCCCCTCAGCTAAAAGCTCATCAATCTGAATGCAGACCTCCGGATCAAATGCATCAAGCCAGGCATCTGTTTCCCTTTGTGAAAAGTCTACTATGGAGAAACAGATCTTTCTAAGGTCTTTTGACGATATTGTGTTGAGCAGAGGCTGCAGCACACTCCGGACAAACGGTGCAATGTTATTCATTTCTCAAGTGCTGATTCGCAGATCCAGTGCCTGCAGATTGATATTGCTTCAAAGCTGATAGGGTGCACTCCAAAAGTATGAGTCATCCTGTGCATGGAACACTATTTGTTTGCATACTCACAGAGCAAGGGCTGGATGTTGCCACCAGTGTTGTTCTCTAGTGTACTGAAAGTGATTGTTGCCTCCTCGAGCCTCCTGTTGGCTATGTTCAACATGCCTTGAGTAAAAGCAAGAGCGGCCGCGGTGACTTGTGAAGATAGGTTGAGTGTTTGAGGATAGCTCGATCCAGCAGACCGAGTAGAATACGTCCAATGCCTTCGACGCATGACAGGTCATATTCAAGGGAAGTCAATGTCCTCAAAGCATGCGATGGCGTTCAGGCAGTGAAGCCATGGACTTCGTTCGCTCCAGCCCAGAAACATGCAAGAAAGGTGCTGCAGACGAGGAAATGAACAAATGAGCTGAAAGAAGGGGCTCGCCGATGGCAATGTCACATTCTGTAGCGACAGTGATGTGATATGACTGAATTCGCGCAAGCGCCAAAACACTAAATTGTGCATAGAGCACTGCTCGAAGCTGACCCTCTTGAACTCAAGCGAGGCCAGCTTTGGAAGTTTCCCTGGCAGCGTTACGAGAATCGATGCCAACCCCGGGCCTGTCTCGAGGGATCCGCGTCAGTGACCTCGCACAGGCGATCGCCTGTTTCCGAGTGCGGAGCCTGCTCTTCTCGAACAAGACCGCACGGCTCTCGGCGTACCACTCTCGGCAAACGAGGGCGCAGTTCAACAGAGTCCGTCTTTCATTATCATATCTTAATGAATTGAGATGGTCGATGATGCGCTCGCAGATCTCGGGTGGAAGGCGCGGCTGAGGATGATTGACGGGTGGGACTGCATTGGCGTCCGACACCGGGGCGACCATGGCAGGATCGGACTGCTTGCATGTTGTTGTATGAGCAAGTGTCCGAGAACATGGTTGTAGCTGCTCACGAGTGGGTTCAATGTGCGCGAGACATGGCCTGTCAAGATGGAGGATGACAATGATGCAGAGGATGTCGACGAGAGGGAATACGACTTAGTAGTAGGTTGGATGGCCTGTGGCGACTTGGAGGTGTGGAACCTCTTATATATGTAACGAACGCTTCGATACCACAGAACCGCAAACCTTCACGGGTCCGATATGGTCCGCTGATGCTTACACAGCCTCTGTTGATCATTGCATACCTCCATTGTGCAAGGATAGAGGCTGTGGCACTGTCCTAGCATTGGACATATTTGAGCTCCTATGTTCTCTGTCTGTGATCTCAAGATTAGGGACGTACAACACACAGTCGCCGCGGCACCTTTTGAGTTCACAATCACACGTATGATCTGTGAGTGGTTCCTTTCGCGGATGGCACCCGTGCGACTCCTTGAGTCAACGTTCAACGTTGCAACCCTCGGCGTCCACGCCGCTCGCGCTCTTCTTTTTGACTGCATTTATCTCCTCTGCGACGAACAATGGCTGACACTGGACGTGGACGCGGTGGATTCGGGCGTGGACGTGGTGACAGGGGACGTGGCCGTCGGGGCCCTCGCCGCGGAGGCCGCAAGGACGAGGAGAAGGAATGGTAAGCCCTACTGTCTGCCGATGTCGCGAACGATTGCCAAACGTGGCACGAGCGTAGGGTGCCTGTCACGAAGCTCGGTCGTCTCGTGAAGGACGGCAAGATCAAGGAGATTGAGGAGATCTATCTCTTCTCGCTGCCTGTGAAGGAGTACCAGATCGTCGACACTCTCCTGCCGAAACTCAAGGATGAAGTGATGAAGATCATGCCCGTTCAGAAACAAACCCGTGCGGGGCAGCGCACGCGTTTCAAGGCATTCGTCGCGGTCGGTGACTCTGATGGCCATGTCGATCTCGGTGTCAAGTGCGCGAAGGAAGTCGCGACCGCTATTCGCGGAGCCATCGTCCTCGCCAAACTCTCCGTTGTTCCCGTCCGACGGGGGTATTGGGGTGCTGCGCTCGGTGAGCCGCACACTGTGCCCTCGAAGGTCAGCGGGAAGGTCGGTTCTGTCATGTGCCGGCTCATCCCCGCACCAAGAGGTACTGGTCTCGTCGCCGCCCCCGCATCGAAGCGACTGCTGCAGATGGCCGGTGTCGAGGATTGCTACACGCAATCAAAGGGTTCAACAGCAACGATGGGTAACTTCTTGAAGGCAACCTTCGCTGCGGTGCGTATTCATGTCGTCGAGCCTTGTATTGTGTAACGAATCGATCTTGCAGATCACGAAGACATACGCATTCCTCACCCCCGATCTTGCAAAGAGAGAGAATGCTCAGTTGAAGTACCCATACGACGAATACAGCATGCACCTACAGCTTGCACAGGGCAAGAAGGTGTATTAGTAAATTGTCATACGTTTCCCGAACCACGAACATTATTTAAAATACAACATCAGATTTGGCCCTAATTAGTTCAATGAAATTGAATTTCGGCGAAATAGCCGGCCACGTGCTAATCTTTCGTACCGGCGTTATCTGGATAAGGAGGTGCAATGAGCAGTCGTTTGACCTGCTCTGGATCCTCTCGCTCCTCCGTGCAACAGCAACAAGTTCATCACTGATATTTTTGTTGTCAAATCTTGTCGCGAGATGGCTCTGGATCTGCTGCAAGTCCGTGTGCCATCTCACTCATTGTTTCCTTCGCAAACTCGCTGTACACATAGATCAGCGATCCCAGCTTAGCGTACATTGTGCTCGGAGGGTTCGTTGTCTTGGTGAGTGTTTGTTTCATTTCGCACTTCTCCAGGGATATGCGATATCATTGGTGTGCACAAAGACCTCAGAGACCTCGCAGCTCGTTATCGCCGAGTCTACCACTGGCAAATATCCCTCTCAACAAGCCTGCTGATTTTGTTTTGCTCTCACAGTTCAGTATGCTGTCGTTGTTGGTGAAGGAAAAGGTGATCATGAAGCAAATGATGCTTGAAATTGGCTTATAGGTCGGATCTAGCTCTACATTAATGAAGTCGTGCTCGGGACCGCTTTTGGTATCATTATCGGTCCATACTGCGCCAACGCCTTTGATCCTCGATCATGGGGTAGCGATTCGAATGCTGTCACACTGGAAGTCATGCGCATCGTTCTGGCAACAGGTCTGTTCGCTATCGGTGTCGAGCTGCCGCAGTCATACATGGCGGATCATGTCAAAGGGCTCCTTGTGATGGTTGTGCCTACCATGGCATTTGGATGGGTAGTGGTTGCAGGCATGTCCGTTTCTCCCTAGTCTACCGGTTTGTCTGATATCCGTTGCATTTCCAGCTATCATCTATGGTTTGTTCTCTCCGTACAACTACATCTCAGCACTCGTGGTCGCCGCGTGTCTGACGCCGACTGACCCTATCATAAGCGCGGCGATTGTCGGTACGGATTATGTCTCGTGACTGCGTCTCCATTGGTTAATACGTTTATAATGCCAGGCGGGAAATTTGCAATGAAGCATGTACCTCCGAACCTGCGTCGCATCCTGTCTGCGGAGTCTGCCGCCAACGACGGCCTGGCGTACCCTTTCCTGAGCGTCTCAATCTATCTCACAGTCGAGAGCAGCCGTCGGGAGGCTATTGGCAAATGGTTCCTAGTGGGCTGGTTATGTAGGTCTCACAAGTGTTCCCCTGCTGCATGCACTGAGTGTTGGCTTTTTCTTTCTCTCAGACCAAGTCATACTAGGTACTGTTCTCGGTGCAGTCTTGGGCAAGTAGCATTTCTGGGTGATTATTTGCGATACGCTGACCTTGTCGTTAACAGGGCTCGCTTTTTGTCACCTGATGAAGATCTCATACCGCAAGGGGTTTATTGACCGCGAATCATACGTGGCCCAATACCTCGCCCTCGCGCTTTTCACCATTGGCATAGTCAGTACTCTAGGTAGCGATGACCTGCTAGCAGCCTTTGCTGCAGGTTAGTACTTGTCTACATTGCTCTTCAATTATTCAGATCCGTGCTCACAACCATTCAGGTACTGCCATCAGTTGGGACGGGCACTTCAATGACCAGACAGAGAACGAGGTTTTCTCATCGGTCATTGACCTGCTGCTGAACTGTGGTTGCTTCATCTATATTGGCGCATGGCTGCCCTTCGACAAGTACAATTCACCGGAACTGGGCATCACGCCGTGGCGCCTGGTCGTACTCGTCATCGCGATCCTGTTGCTCCGACGGATCCCGCCTTTGCTCGTTTTGTACCGGTGGGTGCCAGAGATATCCAACTGGCGGGAGGCTTTATTCTCTGGACATTTTGGTGCGTCCACTGTTGAGTGGTCATTCTTTTTGGACCAACACACTGATTCATTTCATAGGACCCGTGAGTATCAATCGTGACTCAAATCTCGCTTTTACTGAATACCAGACTTGTGTCCCAAGATGGGCGTCGGGGCAGTATACGTCTCCACCTTAGCCACTACCAAACTTCCCACGCCGCATGATCCACCGCAAGGCCAAGCTGAGCTGCTCGCTGCTACTGTGCAAATCATCGTATCCTTCGTCGTTTTATGCTCCATCGTTACCCGTAAGCAACTGGAACTCTGAACCAAACACCACCTCATGCTCTCCCAGATGGTCTCTCCATCCCATTCTTCTCCTTTGGCAAGAACGTCCGTTCCCGCACGGTATCCATGTCGCGCACCTGGACATCGCGCAACACTGGCGCCCCCGAGTGGCTCTTGTGGACGCGCCGCGCAGGCGAGGTGCCGCATTCGCCCGCCAGCCCGAGCCCCGATCTCGAGCAGGCCGAACCGGCCACGGCGGAGGCGGGGCTGGAGAACGCAGGGCCGGTTGTGTCGCCCACTGGAAGTATGCGATCCTCTAAGGCAGGCGAGACGACCCCCAAGACTGGCGAGACGATCCGCCGGCGCCCTTCCTTGCGGGACGTGCTGCACGATTTGGTGTTCATGCCTGGCGATGAGACCCCGGTATGTGTCCTTGCCATTCGGTGTCGTGTTCTTGCTAATGCTATAGTTAGGTCCGTCTGGGCGGCGACGTGAACGCTCTGCGTGAGCCGGGCCCGGATTATCAGAACGAGCCAGAGCTCCCTTCGGAGTCGGATCTGCGCACCCCGAAGTCGGTTCGGTTTGGCGATGGTAACGAAGAGGAAGGCGAAGAGACTATGCAAGACGAGTCCGTCGGGACGGACAACGACGCGCAGGAGAGCGTATCGCCCGTCTCTATCGTGCAGACCCCGAAGCCCGTGTACGTCTCGCCAGATCAGCTGAGCCGCGCAGAGAACGAGCCGCAGGCAGGGCCGTCTGGCATGAGCGAGCACCCGTCGCCGACGCAGGGTCAGTCAAAGACGGTACACTTCCCCTCCGCCCAATAACATAGGCTTGTGGCTCCAAAGGAGGAGTCACGGTGGTTTGGAATGGGGGTTGGAGGTGGTGTGTGTGCGAAGAGTGGGATGTGGGTTGATAGAATACGTGTAGCTCATGCACACGCTGGCATTGCGTTAGGTGATCAATGGATCAGGATCACTGATTCACATGGTCGATTGTGCATCTGATCCACTATTTAGATGAGTAAGAGGGAGGAGATGATCAAGGACCAAGCAATAGATGTGATTCACGAGCCGACATGTGCGCTGTTCAAGGCTGTCCATTCGACCACCGTCGATCAATCGTCTATGAGGCGATGTTGAACCAGTGCTTTTCTTATTGCGCGTAGCATCCAGTAATGTCGTTCGGCTATGTCTATCGTTCATGAAATTCCGATGACTGAAATCTTTCCTGCGCACCCACAGGAGCAACGAGAACTACCTTGCGCCCGCGTGGAGCAAGTTTTCAGGAGACAGCAGATTGGACCGACTGACGGTCTTTCTGTCAGCGACCTCTTGTTGGCCTGCACTAGTACCTGCACAATCTATCAAGTTAACTTCTATGCTCGCACAGTGCTATTTGTAGAGCGAAACTTTCTGAAAGCAACGCCGGTTCCGCGATATCTGTGTAGACCTGCAGGGACTTGACCATTCCGTAAGCCCGTGCTAATCCGAACTGGTGCACTCCCGTTCCTCTCACTTCATGCAGCGGGCGGCTATATCAGCATATTGCGATCGGCAGCAAAGTATGGTACTGTATCGTATGCTCTAACGCACCTCTATCACCGCTCTATTGGAGCGGTCGCAGTTTCATGGCCTCTTTTTCCCGTGTCAATCCGAATTTAGCATGTACTCATGCCTCCCCAATATTAAGTCGAGATTGCCATCATCGGAGACTTCCCTTCTGATGCAGCTATCGACAATCGCATCTACCAGTGAATGCACAAGGCACCGGGGGTAAACTTGCGCGAGAGGGTCGAAGGAATAAAGTTGGGTTCACCTGACGTGCCGTGGCACTCAGGACGTATTAGAGCCTGCTATGTAGGAGCATATTCGTACCATGTGACGGACAGCTAAAACTGCCATCAGACACCATTTCAATATTATCAAAGCATGTCAGCTTCGCCTTTCTTTCTGCGTGCCAAACTGCAGCAGGATCTGAAAAACAAATCCCGAAGAAGCGGCCCATCTCGCCGCAGGCATGCTCGCTGCCGCAGGGTCATCGGAGCATTTTTGCAAAAATGAGGTCTATCCTCGATGCGGACGCCCCCGTGGTAGCAGAGGAGGTATATCGTCGGCTATTCCGTCCTTGACAGACGATACTCGGAGTATCTGCTTGGAATCCGGCAGCACAAACATACCGTGGCGAGACAAATGAAACATGAGCCATCGATTCAAAGAAGGCAGCACTAAAGGGAAGAAAGGGGAGAAACTGTTGACGCTATGAAAGTATCTTAGCAACTTATGAGGTAAATGCACTGTCATGACAAAGGTCTGGACTCTGACGTGATATGCATCATGAGCAGCTTAATGGACAGTTCATCAATGTAGCAAAGTCATCAATATCAGTGACTCACTCCTCGCTACCCGTACTACGACACCAGTCAAACATCCCGCTCGCGGACATGAGCCGAGACCATCAACGGCCCTGACTGTTGACAGTCTCCCGATGGCAATTGACCCTGCATCAGATTCTGTTCGACCGGTTCGGAATGACAAGATCAAACGTAACTCAGTGCATCCTTACCTCAATGAAGCACCACTGCCAGATGTGACGTGATACTTCGATGTATGCGAATACATATGCGAGGTCAAGAAAATACCTGACTCCCTGAACCTGGACAACGCGCGGCATCTCTCCTGGCATCCAGTAAACCCCACATTCATCTTTTGTCGAGCGGGAACTAGCATTAGTATACACGTTCGCGAGATGGCGCAAAGGAAAGTGAGGGCAGAGAGAAAGGAAAGAGCTGTTAAAACACAACTATCTATAGGAAACTCTACTTGACGTGGTCGTACAAGCATACCCTCGAGAAAAGCAGTAGGCATGGTGACATGTGCGGGGGAATCAGGGAATCAGAACTCGAGCAAACCGCTACAAGGTCTACGTAATACAAGCATAAAAGGCACATCATCAGCATAGACGGTATAAATACCATAACGACTCTCGGTGTAGTATTCAGTGTACAGTAATTATGCTCCAACGCTGTCATCACCCGCCTTGCGGCTGGAAGACGACTGCATAGACACGCCGGCGGAAGTCCGTCGCTGACGTTTCATTGACAAGTTCGCTGCTGCACCCATCCCCATTCGGTTGGTGGGCGAAAGCCGAGCATTGTGAAGGCCTGTCGGCATCGAGCTCGTTGTGGCGGCGCGAGGACGGCTCGTGGAAGAGGATATCTTGGGCAAGGCTGCGGCTGACTTTCGCGCTGCACTATGGGGCGCGCCGGACGCGCGATTGCTAGACAGAGGTATTGAGTTAAAACGGCTACATGAACAGTTCATCAGCTCAATTCACCGTTTCTTAATCACGTCAGTCTTCAGCGACAGCGGCCGGACAACACCGTGTAGTTTCTGCGACAAAAGGTCAACAAACCGGAGCAGCTGCTGACCCGAATCACACTCACATAAAACAAGCCACAAGCATTACCTAAAAATGAGAGAGGAAATGAGGCCATACACACACGTCATGGCAGCAGAATCACTCACAGAGAGGCTGGCCCTCGGGATCCCTCCTCCAGAGCGGCGTATTAGTAGTCTGACAGTTAGTGCAGACCGTAGGATTCTGGTCATCGTCGCCGTTTCCTCCACGACCTGAGCCGTCGGAGCTATAATAACGGTACTCAGCAGGTTGACAACAATAATTGCGAGGAAATCGACATACTTCTTCTTAGACGATCCAGCGCGAGACTCTGATACACGTTTCGATGATGCGATCTTACGTGACGGATTGCGTGCAACCGCGGTGTTGTTGTCATTCGACGGCGGCGTCGAGGACGTCGAGGTGTTATACGGCTCGGGCGACGCGTTCGAGCTAGAATTCAACCCATTGCCCCAGCCGTCGCTCGACGGGCTAGGATGGAAGCTCTGGAATGCATTGTCCTGGTGATCGACCGGAAGGATTTGGTGCGGATCGACGTGAGTGAAAGGACCCAACGGCGTCGGAGCATCAAGACCGGGATACATCATGCCAGCAAGATGGTTATAATCCAGATGCGGCTCCTCTATGCCAAGACCTGCCACGTTCAACTGAGCATAGCCTTCCGCTACTGCAGCAGACGCAGCTACAGCCGCGGCAGACAACCCCTCATTGCCCATAACAGGCGAGAAATTCCCACTTAACGACGAACGCAGGGACTCGCTGAACCCAACATCAGGAGGTGCGATGTCCTTGAAAGGAGGCAAGGGCGGTAGTGAAGAAGGGAGACCGGACGTAGACAGGCTGTTCTGTGTTCCCGGAAGATCAAAGAATGGATCGTACGTTGGCGAGGAGAAGGTAAAGTTGAAAGAAGAGCTGGGGAAAGGACTGCTGCGTCGGAATTGCGCTGATTCAGGCTGCTCAATGTGTTCTGGGTCTGATACGCCTCCATGATCTCCACGCAGCATACTTTCAGCATGCGGGGCCTCCGCGCGACGCTTCGTACCAAGAATACTCTCAGGGGACAAGGGTTTGCCGTTGACCTGGTGTCGACCACTCACCCCAGTGAATATACCCTCCTTGGCTATGGTATGATCGAAACTCGTCTTGCGAACGTGTTTCGGAAAGGTGCGCTGCTCGGGAGGAGGAGCCGTCGACGTCGATATCCTGGAAAGGCCGTGCAGTCCAAACGATGGTAACGAGGATGGATGAGCAGATGGGCTGTTGAGGGCAGAGAACGACTCGAGATGGCTCAGCGGGCCGCGAGGTTCGCCGGATTCGAGAACGGCAGCTAGGCCGAGACGAGGACTGCGACGGCCCGAGTGCTGAGTTGACCCACCAGGTATTGAGACGACGGGCGATGAGGATAGGCCTTTGGAAGGCGACGACGAAGGGAACCTCACGATGTTGTGCTCGCCCACGATGCCAGCCATTGGGGGCCTTGAGCGCGATCGACTTGCCGGACGCCAGTCCATCGGCACTCGAGATCGAGACCTGCTGATGGCCCGCCAATCCATAGGCACCTCGCTATGACGCCTCCCGTATGAGCACTATGGCGAATAAATGGCGACTGATTACTTACTCGGTGTCCTCGACGCCATCTTGATTAGCACCATCAAAACCGACCACTCGAACCTTCGCCTTCCCCTTATCAATCGTCCTGCCCCGTTCTTCCTCCTTCTTGACCGGCTCTGAGGTCGCACTAGGCTGTTGTATAACGACAGAAGCCTTGCTATCGGTATTCTCCTCATCAACGCCCTGCAGCTCCCAATTCGCCTCGTCTTCCTTCTTCTTCTTGAGAGCGAGCGACATCATGCGCCAAGTGATGTTCTCCATCCGCTGCGCATGGGGCAGAGTGGCTTTTGTTCGGGCGTACATCCTCCAGACCTGCGTCGCCAGCGGATCTTCCTTCGCCAACTTCTCGGGATCAGTATCGCCAGCAGCCAGCTCGATTGCCTTCAGATCAGGAGACCCGGACAGACGTGGAGACAGCACACTCTGGCAGCCTTGATTGTCCACGATAGGGGAGTTGGAGGGGAAGAGATCGTCCGTGAACAGTTCAGAAAGCATACGTGCTTTGGGACTGCCTGCCGACGTAGGCGCGGTGGATTTGCCGGATTCACCGTACATTGAGAGAGTCGAAGGGCTCTGGGTCGACCCGCCCAACGAGTCTGAGAGAGACCCACTGCGCGGGACGGTAATCTGCGTGAGCTGCGGATATGGAAGAGCCCCAATGTTCATGGGAGGGGACGGCCCTGACGCCGGCGACATCCATAGCGATGGTGGAAGTGTCAGACTTTGGCGCTCGTTGTGGGGTGGCAGTTGTGGGCCAAACTCAATGGGTGTCCGCTGAGGGGGAAATGGAGGAGAGAAGCTATCCAAGTTGCTGTCTCGCATAGAAGCGAACGACACGTCGTAATGATCACTCGATCCTGGCAGACTAGCCATCTGCCGGCTCATGGAGCTGCGTCTGCTGTGAGAATAATCGTTACTGCCGGAAAGGCGATGGCTGTCATACGGAGTGCTCGTGTTCACGCCAGAACCAGAGGATCGAACGTTCATCGGACCATACTGTGGCAAAGCGCTCACAGGAGACTTGCGATTATCATATGGGTTGGTGACAGAGCCAGGTCTGAAGTGTAACGGAGACGCTCGCTGCGACGAGGGAGTAGACGAGTACGGTGATGGCGCATTAGACCAAGGCCCAGAATAGCCTTGATTGAGGCCAGGGCGACCGATGTCTTTGGTATTAAGTGGAGGAACACGATGGCTTGCGGTGAAATCGTGTGAGGAACGGGCAGATCGAGTGGACATGCTGGATGGCACTCCCGCCGAAGGGGGGACTAGAATCCCAGACGCAGCGAGAGCGGCGAAGGTCGAGGGGTCGAGCGGGGAAGAAAACATGTTTCCCCACTCATGGCTCGGCAACGACGACAGATTGCCGTGCTGCCCAGAGGGCTCGCCCGAATGCGGCACAGGAGGGACCGAGTGTTGCAACATGAAGGGGTTGGACAACTGTCCAGGAGGCGAGAGAGAAAGGTCCTGCAACCAGGGAGAAGAGTGAGAAGAGTTGGTGACCGTAGACGAGCGAGGGCTCAGCTCCAAGGGGGTGGAAGCTGAGGATGCATGTGACAGAACAGAGGTATTTACAGTAGGGCGTCCTGCCGGGGACCAAGGTCGACTTATTGCTTCGTGGAACCCTCGGATAGACGATGTCGGGAGTTCCATATGACTCCTGCGCTGGCGACAGGCACAGGATGAGGAAGGGGGGTGTCTGACGGAACAGGGAGTGCACGCACCGGGTATGCGAGTGATGGGACTGGGCAATAGCCGGACGGGGTAGACCGCACTCGCCGACCAGCTACTCAAGGGGACACGGCGAGGAGAGAAGGGTCGAGCGCCGTGCTCGAGGGCTCGTGCGACGACGAGGAGGGCAGGGATGAGAGCGACGAACGCTGAAGGAAGCGAAGGAGATGGCGAGGGGAGGGCACGGACCGCACCCGAGGACGCAAACGACGAGACCAAATAGACCGCTCCTACGCTTTTTCCGTCGCGTTTTGCTTTGATTTCCCGCGATCAATTTATTCCGTCCTCCTGCCGCTCGCTCGCCTCTGCCAAACCCTTTCGAGGACCCTTTTTTTCTCAGGCATCCTCCTCGTCGCAGGCCATCGCTCGCCGCCGCGCGCGACGGCCACAAGCAGCGGGAATCAGCAGCACGGGAGCGGTTCTCCAGGCCACGCGCCCCGTGGGAGCAGGCCTCGCTCGCTCGGGGCTTGTGCGGGACTCTGCGTACCGAATATGCTCGTACAGAGTGATAGAGGTCTCGAGACCGGACTCGCATGGAAATTGTCTTTCGTTGGTCGCAGGAGATATTTCACATTGCGGCGTCCCTCGCATTCCGTTTCAAGGTCTCCTCCAGCCAAGCAGCAACTCTTCCCTTGGCCCGGCCATCAGTAATACGCGCAACGTATCCGCCAATCTTCCTCCCATTGTGCATTGCACAAGCTGCTTGCACGGTGCTCTAGAGTTCGCGCTTTCAAGCCCAGGCTATGCAAGATGTCTTACGCGGATCAGGACGGTGTCAGCGCTCGCCCTTGCCGGCAATCTGATCTCGCTCTGCGCGTTCTCTGGGCAGCCATCGCTAACCAGGCTCCTGTATACCACAAACCGCACTGCAATAGCATTCGTTCGGCACGCACCGACGCGCTACTGTATTCAATCCAACCATATGCCAACGCATTCCGAATCCTACTGCCCTTCGAACGTTCACATGGGGTACTCGCTGTGCCCCCGCTTGGCGCTGTAAAAAGGGCATCCTCGAAACGCATCGTTGACATATCTTTGATACAGCCATGGGCACACGAGGCAGGGTATCCAATTGTCTGGCACTTGCATTCTCCACTTTCCGGTCGTCACGGTCGAGAAGCGGCCAGCTGGTAGCTTGCTGCCAATTCCATCAAACGCATGTTGATGCGAAGGTGCGTCCCCCACACCGCGTGACTGCGCCACACAGCGTTCAGCGGTCTCAATGTGGCGACGATCTTGCCACTGCGGGAGCATCCTGTCTAGCAGCTCCCCCGTAGACTGCCACCCTCCCATCTGGTGGTGATTGCTTAACCGACGCTCAACGTGCGCTCTAACGACGGGCGTCGGGGCCTTCGTCAGGTTCAGGCACGCCTTTTGTCCAATGAAAATGCATCGAATTCGGGACAGAGCTCGATCCGGTTCCGAGCTACTGCGCCGTGCCCGGCACCCCTCCATTTCTAGAATCTGTGAATTAAAATCAAAGTCCGCGTGTCCGCGAGCATACGACACTCTTTTTTTCGCTCCTAAGCTGTTCGTCCTGCGCAGGTCGCCGTCTCTTGGCAACCAGAAGACGATAGCCCCTTCTGTACACCACGGACCTGTGACTGCTGCTTCCAGCGGTGAGCAAAACAACTCCTTTACTGCTCTCACACGGAAGATCGCTGATCATGGATCTTTACTCAACGGCCGGTGATTTCGTGGGGGCTCGGCTGGGCAAATGCCCCACCGGTCAACGGCTGTGTAATAAGCTGCACGCGTCCACGACATCCTGACGCTGGAGAGCCGGTTCTATATTGGTCTAAACTCAAAGCGGAATGCTTCCAGATTCTCGCCGCATTCACAGCAATCCACTCCACTCGCGCGTGCCTCGTCCACCCAGATCTCAGTGCTTGGGATCGCAGCATGGTTTGGTCTTCTGCTCGTCTGCCCTGGAAGTCAATGGTCTTCCAATGCGCCGTCTGTGTCGTCATGTTCCAGGACAGTCTGGACCCCAACAAATGCGGGAGACAGAGAAGTTGACTGCCGCCTGCGGAAGCCTCCCACCGCCGTTCTTTTGACAGCACTGTACGTCCCATCACCGGCGGGCCTGCCTCATGATCTCTGCGTGCCCCGATTGGTGAAATGGCGAGCTATAGTCTGATGCTATGCTGTGGTTCCGCGGAGGTTTGAATCGGGCGGCGGTGGATGAGCAATACTCGGTCTATCCTAGCTTTGGCAACTCCGAACTCGTCGAGTGGAACTACATGCTTCTCCGTTGAATCGGGTCAAGAACATTCTCACCGCGGCCACTTCCCTCGGCAGCAGCAATTGTGCATGTCACAGCCAGCGAGCTTCGCGTCAACACCTTCAGCACGCGCGTCCCGGGGCTCGAGTAAACGTGACACTCCCTCGTTCCTGAGATGTAACAACACCGAACAGCCTCCGTGTCTCATCAATTTGTCAAGCCTTGACGACCTACGCAACGCTGCGGCTTTTGATCAAATTCAGGACAAGCAAGAGATCTCTCGTTGATCGACATCTCCTCTTGGCTTCAATGCGCAGTGCACACTTGACCTCGAAATCGATCCGATGTTCTTCGCACTCTCACGCAAGGAGCCGCAAACGGCATCTTTCCACAGCCCCTGCTTTTATGCAAGGTCCGTCAAAGTTTCATTAGCTGACCCACCTATTGTTACGGCCCGATCTTGGTGTCTCCATGCAGACCTGTCAGACAGGCGTCACGGCTTTCCAAGCCGTAGTGCTCTTCAACGTGCCGACGATATGTAACGCTGCTTAGATGGAAGCTTAATGCAATTGGCGATTCCAAGTGGCAGTTCAGTTCCATTGAACTTTGTATATGCTGGTTGCCTCTGAGACGAGCAGAATATATGCGGTCTCGTTGCTCGCCGGTGCTCGCCGTACCCAATAAAAGGGTTGATCTTCATATATTGGCGGGTATTCAACACCATCATGCAAATTGAGCACCGCTCCTTCGCTGAATGGCATTCATGTTCGCTGGAAATGAATGGGCGGGAATCCGTTATGGCGCGATCGCGAAATGGGATGACGTGGAAGTCGGGCTGGCAGCTTCGCTCAGGCGCCGTGGACAAGGTGAGCGCTTGAGCTCAGCCATTGAAGGCGGCCGGCGCCTTAAGTTGGCTGACTGCAGTGCTTTTCTTAGCATGGAAGGGTTGCTGAAGCCTCGTTCGCGAGCATGCGAGCAGCGGCGAGGGGGACGCACGTCACGGCATGAACGTATTGCTGTGTTCGAACCCTCAACGTTGATTCCCAAAAGAACGTGAACATCCTCGAGACGAACGTTTGTCAATGTAGCCTTACGAGGTCAATGAAATACTCGAGGACGAAACTGTCATCACATACATACGTCCATCATGAACTCGAGTTCTAGCGAACCTGTTGGAATGCGCGCCTGCTTCTGCCATGCGCAGCGTCAATTCAGTCTTCCAGGATCTCACAGTTCCATCGACCCAGAACGCCGTCCATACACTCGCGAATGGCTTCTTTAGGAGAACAGAAGGTGTCCGTTTCATTCCAATGGGCATTCTTACTCCTGAGCCACGGATTCGGGAACAACCTCGTGCGACGCGGCCTGGCCGAAGTGAAATTCGCGATGAGCACTCGAGCAAACAACCCTCTCGTGAGAAGGCGAGGACTTGGACAAGGGAGAAGCATAATTGACATTGTAGGCTAGAAGGCATGGGACGTACCGGCACAGGCCATTCGTCGAATGTGCCGTACATACAATGGGAAATTTCATGCGGAGCTGGATGCGGGTGCTTCCAATGATTGTTAATCATCTCTTCGGCAAACCCGATGCCGATCGGACTACCATGCGTCGCAAGAAAGTCGCTGGGAGGAATGTGAACGTTCGAGGATACGCTTGAGAGCGCGATCGAGGCGGATCGCTATCTGATGCGTACACTGCTGAAGAAACCAAGGCTTGATGCTCGAACTGGACCGGATCAGAGCTGAGAACGGTCACGGTGTGATAGCCCAGAGTGAAGTCCGTAATAGTTCGACGGAGATCGAAACTCCCGTCCGATGGCCCATCAGCGCATGCCCCCTTTAACTGCACATTTCTTCATGAAACACATCTCAGTCGAGGTGCCATGAGACGCGCCATGCCTCCACGTTGCATTCAATGTCATGTTGCAGATCGCACCATTTGGTGAGCTGCGTGGTGAGGCGTCGGCTCCGGGTTACGACCATTCGGGCAACCATGGTCTTGACGCGCAGCGCGCGCTGTAATTTGTAGCCGCCAGAAGCCGTGAAGAGGTATGAATGTGATAGAGACATTCACGTCCTGCCAGCGACTAACGCGTTGAGTAACATTGCGTCTTCTGAGAGTAATATGCGACGCATAGAGGGAATAGTCGGAAGGAGACAGTGCGTGGGAAAGGATGGCAGGAGCGGCTGTGGCCAGCTGTGGCACGTGTTAGTGGTGGCCACTCTTTGATGATCGCTCGATCCAGGCTGTTATGGGGATCACTCAGATTTTATCATTTTAATTGTCCATGATATTGTGTTCAAATCCAAGATTTGCACATTTAATGCTTGTATCTCATCTATTCTATACCAGCGCCGCGAAGCCAACAGAGTTCTTGTCGAACGAGAACGCGGTGTACACGTTCTTCATGAAGGTGTCTCCAAGAAGCCAGACATTCGAGCCCAAGCCCAGGTCCTGACCGGCAAGAGCACCAACGCACTGTCCAGATCCAGTGCTGGTCTGGCCGAGGTTAAAGCTGTGGGAAGGGTGTCACGAATGTCTTCACAGCCCAGAAAATTCTACTCACTTGGCTGCGCTGACCTTCCAGTTGGTGCCACCCCAGCTGAACGCAACGGCGGGAGCGGAGCTGCAGGGGAATGAGTAATAGCCATTGGTGGCGTCGAACACTTTCGACCCGGGAATCGCAGCGTAGAACGTCTTGACGGCACTCGGTGGGCCGTACATGATAGTGGTGCCCGAGTCAATCACCTGTGATGGAGCCCGTCAACAACTCATTGCGATCATGCATGCAGCACGGAACGCGTACCGTCTGGAAGCCGGAAACCACCGTCTTACTTCCGATGAGCGCCTTGGCACCGGTCGCCTGCCAGAATCCGGTGCTCGCAACGGAGTGATATTCAATTGAGCCAGTGTATTGCGAGGTGTCTGTGCCGCCGAGGTATAGCTCGGATCCAGACTTGGCGAGCTTCATCCCGAAGACTCCACTCTTGATGCTCCCCTCTGACTTAGCGGTGTTCACAAAGGGACTCTGTGGAATTGTACATCAGCAATGAACTATCGGCCCGGGAGTAAAATAGACAAACTTGTTTAAGGTTAGAAAGTGAAGGGAAGGCAAGGCCCAGGATTCCATCAACGGGATCACTCGAAAAGCTACTCGAGAGCGTGGTGACTGGAGAGAAATATTGTCCAGTGACCTTGACGCCGGAGACGGTAACTGAGGATGCGGTCAGGTATCGCTCTTGTGAGAACCGCAAATGGACATACCAGTGTCGGTGTAGACGGGCCCTGATACGCTAGAGCCATCGCCATAGGAGATCGAAAAACTGCCTGACTTTGCGGCATTCGAAGACGAATTCTTCGCAGAGTATTTGTCCTTGGAGGTACACACACTGCTCGTGCAGTTTGAAGATGGTACCCATAGGTCAGACGAGCCGGCTGCGAAGAACGGTCATTCACAGCGCTATAAGCATATAAGCGAAACAACGTACTATCAAAGTCGATCAAGAAGTTCTGCCCTGGAGTGCCGATGGAGATGGTGCCTGCCCACTCCAAATCATTTTCCTCGTCGGTCAACTGTTCGCTCTGGCGCTTCTGATGCGCACTGTATATTCTGGCGGGCTTAATCTCCGCGCCCTACATAACGGCTCAGGATACGTTCAGGAACAACAGCAATTGAAAATACGGACCTCTGGCAGCGAACCTGTGTTGCTCTGCAGGTTGATCAAGTTCTGGCGATGCTTACTGATGCACCCTCAGTACGACGGTACTTATGAACTTTGTCAACATGACTCACTTGTGTGTGCGGACTGTTTGTGCAATTGCCTTCTCGAGATCGAAAACACCATCGGAATTCGTCAAGGATCCTCTCTTCTGCAACGCAACCCGAGTACCCGGTTCTTCCGGGACAGGCGTCGCATTGCTCAGGACCGCAAGGAAGACGAAAGAGACAAAGGCAGCTTTGTGGAACATTGTGGTATTTTGGTTGATTACCGAGGAATTACGGTGTGAGATTAAGATGGACTTCGACAAAGGTGAGGAAGTGTGGTGATGATGATACTTTCCACCGCCATTCAGGCCTCCCTTTTATGCATGCCTGAGACAGTAAGCGGAACCGTGTATCGGCGTCGGTTCTGCGTGAGGAACCGGATAGGCGTTGTGGAAACGGATATGGATGTTGCACGACGGATACGGATATCGGCGTTCGAGGATGGACTCACCACAGGCGATAGCAACACCGCATCGTGCAATGCATATTCTTCACAGAGAACGCCGTCGAATATCATTGAACACCTCAAGCATGAAACAAACAGCACTGGAACAAAGAAATGCCTCAGTTAATCGTCCGAACGACATTGAGGCTCAACGCACCGACCTAGGCCATACCCGGATTTCGTTCAGGCCTCCTGTTCTGCAACGCTGCGGACACGAAAATATCAACTGTTCAAGACTATCCACACAAACAATAGATCCCAAGTACATTGCCGCTCCGATGCGCTCGAGCGGAGATCGCGAGCTGGGGCGTCGGTCGGCGGCGAGGGTGACGGATAAAGCAGCCACCGCCGCGGAAGCAAAATCCCGGGTCGCGCCCACGTGACTCCGTGATCCGTCGCGTCGCGTGCTCCGAGTCCCGTCCGAGTCGATCATCCTGTCCTGATCTCGACGACGTCCGACGGGGTCTTGGCAGCGGCAAGGTCGTGCTCTCGTGCACGCGAATGCTGTCGCGCGGGAGAAGCTAGTGCGGATTTGCAGGAGATAGCATCGAGGTTGGAGATACCGTGTGCCTCGCGATAACGCCGAGTCTATCATGATCACTGACGGGGCGTGGTGGCTGCGCGTCTCATACTCCAGGCCACATGCGGCTGCGAGTTTCTCACTGTGGCAGTATATATGTCGCGCTCAAGCTAGGTTACCTTGGACGCCTGGTACGATTCACGACCATACCTTAAGTATCGTACAACTAAAACTCAACACAATCAGTTCATCCGTTCTCCGGGAGCTCGCCCCTAGCTCAGTGCAGTACGCTCCCGTGTCGCCTCACGGCCACTCGAGAGCGAGCTTCATTGAGCAAAGGGGAACTCTCTGAGAGCGCCGAGCTAGCTGCCATCTGCGCATGGGCATATACAACAGCGTCCAGTCAGCGGCGACTGAGAACAACTTGGTATTTGTGTGACCGACCACAGAGCCTATATACGTTTACAATGCCGGTTACCGTCGCAGTGAGGACCTCAGCAGTGCACCACAGTTCGAGACGGGACGAACTATACACGGTGGCTTGTGACTGTAGCAGTCCTCGCCCAGAGGATGTCGTAAATAACTATGTATAACGCGCTACGTCCTTCAATCGGCGGTGCTCATTCTTTCTTCCTCTTCCTCTTTTTCTTCTTGTCCTTCCCAGCCTCTTCACCATCTTCGAGCAAAGATGACGTTGTCGGTTCCAATGCCACTGAACCGTTTTCTGCCGATCCATCAGTTTTTCCATTCGTCGTCGTTGACGTTTGGACAGCATCCTCCTTCTTTTCTGGCTCGTCGCTCCATGCCCAGGCATCCTTGAATTCGTCTCTGATGAACGCGGTAAGGAAGAAAGAGAGTATGCATGCCGGGCTGACAGACGCGGGTATTATCAATTTCTGACCTGGAAAGTTTATATTCTGTTACGTACCTGAGGTATAAGAGGGCTGGCTGTGCGGTCTTGAAATTATGCATTACCACAATGGTGGTTCCGAGCCCCGCGACATATGCTAAAAGGGCAGAGTAGAAATATGGCTTGCGGACGGAGGGGCTGTCATGTTGCTGTGAAGCACGATGATAGTCATAACGCAGTGCGAGCGCTATGAACAGTCCGGGAACAACGATATCGCCCAAACCAAGCATGGTGAAGCCGCGAGCTGTAGAAAAGACAATGGACTTTGGCCATAACACCTTGATGGGAATGTCGAGCGTCGATGCGACATGCACCATCTAGGGGGGCAATGACCTGATGCTCAGCGATAGGGGAATGCCTGACTGGCGCATATGCCACTTACAACTTCTGTCCCGAACACCCACCAGATGTCATAGAGAAACAGTCCCGAGAGGAGGACACATCCAGTCTTGAACGAGTCGATCTTGATCAGCGATAGCGCGTTGTGAGAGAATGACAACGCGAGTATGTCGGTCAGCAAGGCGGACCGGCGGGTGGTGCTAGGACCGAAGCTGTACAGGATCGATGTGAGTGCACCGATGGGCAGAAGGTACCATGCGGGAGTTCGCATGGATACGGATGCGAGCTCTGCGTGAGTGAGCAGGGGGACGAAGGGGCGACAAGTATGGAACACACCTCGTGGTCCCTTCAAAACAAGGATCTCCGTTTTCTCAAATTTCCTCCACCGCTCGCTACCCATGGTCCATTTCACCAGCGATATCAGCGACTGAGAAGCTTAGTGTCAACATGGCGCCATGCCTATCGAGCGTTTGCACAAGACCCACCTTGGCGACGCTTCCGATGCCAACGACGGCAAAGTACCACTGCAACAGCCAGTTGATCCACCCCTCGCCAAGATACTTCACCACAACATACAATCCAAATAAGACCATCGATCCAACCTGCATCGGCGAAAATAGCAGTGAGCGCCGTCCCGCCAGCACAAGCGCAAACCACATACGATCGGGAAGAGGTACGCATCGCTCGAACCTATCCGATCGGGCAGCTCCTCCTCCTCCTCCTCTTCAGCCACGTCCGTTTCCTTCCCTGTAGCGACTCTGACTTGCTTGTCCTATCAGACCTGGAGCTCAGCATAGGCAGCGTGTTGTGACTACGACAGCATGCGACGTGCTCACAGTCACAGAGCCGCGGGAGCCGGCGTAGATGGAGAGCACTGCGAGGGCCAAGAGACCCGCATAGGACGAGAGGAGATCCCAGTCGGGCCCGTCCACATCCATGGTGATAGGTAGGGTAGCACGGTGAGAGCGCGCTGCAGACTCGCGGTCGTGTGGCCACGTGGAGGAGGCCACGCCACTCGATCAATTTGCATTTGTTTGCTTGGAATCCCGAAATAGTTGATGACCTGCCTCTTGTGGGATTTGTTATTCGACAACATGATCAATACTGTACATACAGCAATTGCTAACATGCCAACTTGCAGGGACTCGGTTGTATCTTTGTATAATTACGCAACCGCTTCTAAGCTGCTCGGGCCTCTGCTCGCCCCGCAAAGCTAAAAGCGCCTGACGCTGTCGATGCCTCGGCCAATGATTAGCAACGCCGATGAATCCTGACCGAATGATTACAATCGCCCCGTGTGCGAATGCCAGGCAGGCGACAAAAGACGCGAGGTCAGATCAGGGGAAACACTTTGCATTGCTTTTACCGTGACGGAACAGTCTGGCGAAGATGTCCACTAGTGGCGTGCCTAGAAACTTGAAAGATGTTGTTCGGTACGTTTCTCTTGGCCCATCAGTCAAGGTGGAAAGTGTTTAATGCTCGTTAGCTAGACACTTCACCCCGGCATGGTTCACCGTTGTCATGGGTAAGTCCGGCTTCATGGCGCCACCTTAGTAGCAAGGAGTCCACATACTACCCACAAAGCGGTAGAATGAATGAACTAACAATGTTTCGCAGGAACTGGCGCAGTCTCCGCTCTTTTCAACAATTATCCCTACGCACACGGGTCCTCTCCCATGAAAATATTATCCGTAATATTCTTCTTACTCAACGTCGTTCTCTTTGTCCTCTTCAATCTGTTCACTATCTGTCGCTACACCTTCTGGCCTGAGATCTGGCCGAAAATGCTCCGACATCCCGTACAGAGTCTGTTTCTCGGGACATATCCCATGGGCTTAGCTACTATCCTCAACGTCGCGGCAGCGTTGGTCAGTGTAGAGTATAGATTTGGCGGTAATGCATTCCTCTATTTCGTCTGGGCCTGCTGGTGGTTCGACGTCGTGCTGTCCTTCACCTGCGCATTCCCGCTCATGCACATCATGTATGTTTTTTTTTGAATTTGCTCTCGAAATTGTCCGACCACTCGCTCACCTGTCCTCCAGGTTTACCGTACACAAAACTCAATTAAGCGACGCAACCACCGTCTGGATGATTCCTCCCGCGACCTTAGTCGTCGCCTCGTCCTCTGGCGGGATCCTAGCCTCCGCTCTCCAACCCATCAACCCCTCACACGCCCTCGTCACCCTCGTCGTCACCACGTTCATGCTCATCACCGGGCTCGTCCTCGACTTCACGGTCTACACCATCTACTTCCAGCGCCTCCTCCTCCACGGACCGCCCGCCGCCTCCGCCGTCCTCACCACCGTCATCGCGCTCGGGCCGACTGGGCAGGGCGGGTACGCCATCACCCTCGTCGGGCAGAACTTTAAGACGATGCTCCCGCTGGACTATGGCGACTCGCCGTTCATGCGGAGCGAGACTGCCGGGGAGACGGTATACGTCATTTGCGTATGCCTGGCGTTTGGGATGTGGGCGATTACGACGATGTGGCTCTTCTATGCGCTGCTTGCCCTGCAGGAGGCAGTGAGGGAGGCCAGGATTCCGTTTGGCCTTCAGTATTGGGGCGCGGTATTCCCTAACGTACGGATCGTTATACGAGAGCATCTCCGAGCATGAGCTGATGGGCACTTTTTTGGCCGACAGGGAGTGTATGCCAACCTGACGATCGCGCTCTATAACATTCTCGACTCCAAGTTCTTTCAGATATGGGGTGCCATCTACGCCGCGATAACCATCGCTCTCTGGGTCGTCCTCCTGTTGAAAACGCTGCCGATGGTCTATAAGCGGACTATATTCAGCGCACCGGAATTGATCCCGATCGATGGCTCAGCAGAGGTGGAGAAGGAGGAACAGCGCCGCATGGAGGCTAAGCAAAGAGAGAGCGGTCAGTTCGTGTGCCGTATAGCTACGGAGCGCGAGGAACCGTGAAGTCCAACAAGTGTGTTTGTAGAATAGTTCATAGACAGACGGACCCTCTGATGCATCGCGAGGCAGAAATGCGGTTACACAGACAATCTTCAATTAATATACACCTAATAATACTATTCTCTACTAAAATACCATTTCACTGACCGCAAGAGCTCGTCGGGGGGCCCCCAAGAGGCCGTGACTCATCTGGGAGGGTTTTTGAACACATTGCGACTTGCATGCTTCCAGTGAAAGCGTTTCAGATCTATTTGCATTGTTTTGGGTGACATCATTGTGTGGTTTTCGAGGAGCATTCAAATCAGATCGGGCTGCTGGTCGCAGCTGTTAGACTCTGTAAATGATCCAGGCTACGTGTGTCCATACCGTTAAAAATCATGAAGAGAAAGCATCTCATCGTCTTGTTGGATTCCGCATACATGGATATATATTTTTATAATGAAAATCTTGCACCTCCCCTTTCGCCTAACGGCAACAGCTTAGCCTTCAATGATTAACTTTATCGTGTTTGCTGCACGTACATGGCCAGTTGCGTTGGTAAACAGCGTGCCATTTCCAGTGTGTTCAATTTCATCTCTCTCATACAGCAGCACTGAAATTACTAGAACTCAAGACTTCGAAAAAAAAGCAACCAGAGTTCTCCACTTTATAGCTTGGCAGCTTGTGATCATGTTAAAAAGGAGCATTTACTTCGGACAGACTAGTTGTCTAGCTCATGCGATGTGTCTGGACTGGTAGTCAGAGCTTCAGGAAATTAGCGATCTTCATGTCATAGATAGGTCATAGTGATGCAAGACAGTCGCAGCGGAGCATGCCCACCCTCAGGCAAAAGAACGAGATAAATTGTGATAGCTGTAGCCTTGTGTCCTTACGAAAAGATGTATCAAGTCTAGCCGAGCGAGAGAAAGGCAGGCCCCGCCAGAAGAGGATTACAGTAGCCCATTCGCACAGCAGCCGAGCCTGTCCAAAGGTTACCGAGAAGCAAATGTGGCCATGAAGAGGCTGCACGCCGAGTGCCAGCGCAGATCACGGTGCCTTTAGCTGCGACGTAGAGGGCGCTGGGCAGCAAGGGCGATGGTGGTGCGGAGACCTGCAGGACGAGCAGTCGCCAAGTGAGCGCGGGAACATCGCGAGGATCACGACAGGCGGCTGGAACGCCGTCGCTCCGCTACGCTCGCGTCGCCGCCGCTTGATGCAGGGGTAAGTGGAGCGGGAAGTTGAGCGACAGGGCATTCCGAATTGTGGGTGGCTGTTGCTTGTTCCGACGCTGCACGCGCGCAAAGCGCATTCCGAATATTGAATAGATGAGGGGCGCCAAACGTCCACCTGCTGATGCGGAGATATACTGGGCACCGTTAGATGACATGTTCAGAGTCGTGCAGAGACTGAGAGGGTTGGCGAGGTCGTGAAGGTCGATGAGAGGGGGAGATGAGAGACGCTGGCAGAAATATTAGGGGCGGTCAGAGTGGGCGATTCTCGCCCGATTCTGAGTGTCGCTGCGACGCCGATTCTGGTCGATGCAGAATCGGGCGCTTCGCAGAATCGCACCAGAATCGTAGCTTTTTGAGAAGCGGCTCGCGAGCCGCTTCTAAGCTCAGAATCGCCTCGCCGATTCTGCATAGCTGGATCCTCTTCACCACATACTTATTTATGATGATTTGTCAGCAGACTAGTGCGTTGAATAAGTGTGCAATCCACATTTTTACAAAACTTGGTGATGCAAATACGATAGCTCTTTACCATATCCTTTGCGATGTCTTTGGTGTTCAATGTGAATCCTTGTATCATTCAGATGAGCCCAAAGTAAATTTTCTGCTCGGCAGTGGCGCCAAGTCCGGCGGGGCATAGGGCTGCATAGGCCCACCGGTGGTAAATCCTCGATTTATGAGACTTGAACAGTACAATTCATGTTGTGACTTGTCTCTCAGAGCTACTCAACATAAAAGGCAAATGTCCAACTTGCCCGTAACAGAATCAAAAGGACAATCGTGTACCGGAGCATCAGAGTGAGAACCCGATTCTGAGTCGATTTTGTGACCTGTAGCGCCTCGAGAATCCGGTCAAAATCGGCGTCAGAATCGGGCGAGAATCGCCCACTCTGACCGCGTGGGCGTCCCAAAGCCAAAGCAGCGGGAGCTCTATAGCTAGAGTCACCCGCGCGCTAGTTCGAGTATTCCGAATCGCACAAACCGACGACGGACACGCCATCCGTCCCCTCGCTGCCCATTGGAGAGCACAAACAGACCGCCTGCATGCCCTTGCCGGAACATCACGCGTGCCCTTATATGCCCCGCAATATTGTCCCGTGGCCCCTAACACGTCCCTCGTCTCCGTCCCCGCCTTTTCTGCTGCTGTGCGGCTAATTATATTCAGTCTCGTCCGCTCCCTTATCCCGCACGACATGCAGTGTAGCAAGCAGGCTAACGCGCCCCTTATGCTGCCGTACGCCCAGTGGAAGAGCTGGCCGGAACGCATACGGTGGGCGCTTCAGCCGTGCAGTGAATTATTCAGGTTCTGACTTTACTCTTCATGCGCAGACATTTCACGCCAGTATGGCATGCAGTCATCATGGGTACAGGTGCTATCTCCGCCCTTCTCAACGACTTTCCTTATGGACAGGATAACGACAACTTCAAAATCGCCGCATGCGTCTTCTTCATCCTGAACCTCATCCTGTTCGTATTCATCTGCGTATGCTCGTTCCTGAGATACGTGTTGAATCCTGATGTATGCCTCTCCCTTATGGTCATCTCGTGAACGTGAGATTCTGATATTTCACGTAGGTTTTCTGGCTCATGATCGGGCACCCGGCACAAAGTCTGTACATAGGGTGCTTTCCAATGGGCATAACTACCCTCATCAGCTCTGCTCTTGTGTGTGCGCTTCTTTCTTTCGCACCTGCTGGATGTTCAGACCTATCGCTAGGCTCTCAATCAGAACTGGAGCTTTGGAGGACCAGGATTCCTCTACGCTCTATGGGGCTTCTGGTGGCTTGACTCTGCCCTCTCTTACCTCGTCTGCTACGGCATGATCTACACCATGTAAATTCGGCATTTCAAGCCACTGTGACTTCCGCTGACGTTTCCCAGGGTCGTACGGCACGAACAGTCCATCTCGAACATGGCCGCAGTCTGGCTCCTGCCCGTCGTCACGCTCGTCGTCGCATCCTCGACAGGCGGGCTCCTAGCGCAGGCGATCAAAGTTCATTCACACACGTCGGCGCTCGTTACGACCGCATTCTCGTTCACGATGCTCGCGATGGGGCTTGCGTTCGCGCTCATGATGATCACCATCTACCTCCTCCGGCTCATCATACGCGGCGTGCCCGATCCCGGGCTCGTCCTCTCCGCGTTCATCGTCCTTGGCCCGCTTGGCCAGGGCGGCTTCTCCCTCCTCGTCAACGGCAGCGTCATCTCGGAGCTCCTCCCGTTGCATATCCAGGGCGATTTCCCGCAGAGCGCGCTGGCAGGCCAGATGATCTATGCGGTCTGCTTTTGCGCGAGCTACGCCCTGTGGAGCATGGGCATCGCATGGATTGTGCTTGCGGTGTGCTCCATATATCATGTGGTCGGCGTGAGGCGGACGACGCTTCACTTCAATATGGCATACTGGGGACTGATCTTCCCCAACGGCGTGTTTGCGCTGCTGACGGTCCAGCTCTCGCGCGTGCTCGATAGCGGATTCTTCAGGGTCGTGGGCTCGCTATGGTCTGGTGCGTCTCCGTTCACCATTATACTTATTCTCGATTTGCGACTAAGGGGCTCTTTCGTACAGCGCTCGTGTTCCTCCTATGGGGCGCCATATTCTTGCGCAGCATACCGCCGTTCATCGACGGCACGCTGTTCAAGGCGCCATGTTTGCCGGATGGCTCGGTAGCTGCGCAGCTCCTCCCCACCGTTCACACACCCTCCCCCGCGGCGGCTCATGGCGAGAAGTCGTCTGTGTCTTCTGATTCCACTTTTGACGAGCAGGGTCATAAGAGCGAATGACTGCAGGGATGTGAGCGACTCGTTCGCAGATAGGAACTTCATATGAGGAGTTTAAACCACGAGAGGGAATGCTTGAGGAGCGGTCGGCATTTGTTGTATACATATACGTACGTAGCTCTTCCCATCTAATATTTGCTAGATATAGACACTTGCTTCGTGCTGTATAGTGACACATCATTCAATTAATGCAAGCATCTTACCTTGAGAGATGGAACGCATGCGCACGTTATTTAGCCCGACGTCGATGCTGCAGGACGAAGTACGGGCCTCGCAGTCACGGCGGAGTTTCAAGGTTTTTCAAGGTCGCATTCGTCCTGCAGTCTGCTTCCTTTCCGTCTCAGATGATCGCTATATCCTTACATGAATTCAAGAAGCTGGAACTAAAAATCTGTGCTGCCACTATCCTAAAATGTCAATATGCGATGTCGAGATGTGATGCGTTACCGGATCACAGTTAGTGTCCTTGATAAGATCGAGTAATACGCTCCCTGCTAAAACGATGTGACACTTATCACGTTCGAGGTCGGTGTGTAGGTAAATATCATGAGGTGTAACTGTAAGATCTACTGCTACCAGCTACCTCGCAGCCACGTGCGCGTCTCTCGCGATGATTGGCTCCCTGAGACGAACCACGTCTCTTGCCGGATCGGTCCACTCATGTAACTTGGAACTGCCTGCCGCCTGCGCGTGCGGCCTCTTCCCATACCACCTACTACACCCACCGTTGCGCTTCACCGAGGACATATCTTAATACTGTAGACCGCGCTAGAGATGTCTCCCAACCGCTCCGACTACCAGCCCCTCGCTCAGAGTGTCGAGGACGGGCAAGAGCAAGAGGCCGACGTCGGCGAAGGCCTCTCCCCTGTGCCCATCCCGCAGCCATCACCGCGCGTGCGCCGTCCAGGGAACATTGACCTGAGCAAGCTAGACACGGCCTTTAAGAGGTGTGTGATGCAAAGTCTGCAGGAGAAGAATAGAGCTAAATACCCACGGTGTAATGGTTACATAGGTGGACGGAGAGCATTGCGCAGAAGGTGAAGCGCAAGAAGAAGGTTGAGGACAATTCACGCAAGGAGATATGGCACAGCGTCTTTGAACCCCAGATCATAGTCCCGAATTTTGACGTCCTTCCAGTGAGTCCAAGTCTACGCATTCACGCGAATACACGGTGATAGTCCCCACCCAGCTCAAGACCTTAGATCACAAACCGCCCATGACGAAGGAGGACTTTGACAGGTGAGTGTATGCGGGAATGTATACTTATGGACTGGCCTCATTGACAAGACAAGACTGGTAGAAGCTGTCAAGGAGTCCATTGCAGAGGGTATCCATCCCAAGATGATCACCAAGGGCTCATCCGGGTCCTATTTTGCGCGTGCTAAGGTCGACGAACGCGTACAGACTGTGGCGTGAGGTCCATCGCTACTCGTCGGAAATCTGCGCTCACGATTCTGTCAGAGTGTTCAAGCCGAAAGACGAGGAGCCGTACGGACGACTAAACCCCAAGGTGCGTAACTAGCATTTGGAAACTGGTGGGCTTCGATGAGAGCAAGAGAAACATGTGCAGACCACGAAGTGGTTGCATAGGCAGTTCAAATGGATTATACCCTTCGGGCGCGCATGTCTCATCCCGAATCTGAGGTCGGTTATCTGCACTGTCTAGTTCTTCTGTGACTCTGCTGACACGGTCTTACAGCTACATCTCAGAAGCTGCTGCATCGTTACTGGACGAGCGACTGGAGTTGCATATTGTCCCGAGGACCGAGCTGGTGTCGCTCTCGAGTCCGGTTTGTCGATTATGACTTCATTCAGGGCAGAGCTGACGCTATGAACAGGCCTTCTTCTACGACTGGCTCGATAGGCAAGCTGCTAAGAAAGGCAAGCCTCTACCCGAAAAGATTGGCAGTATGCAGTACTTCCTTCACGGATATACAGGCAAGGTCAGAACATTTGAGTACAGATGGTCAAGCTGATGGCTCTTAGATGCATCGGACTTCCTCCGCAAGCACCCATGGCCGGGCCGGGCCATCTCTGATACGTTCGACGATTCCAATCATCGACAAGGCAGCTTTTCAAAGAAGTGCTTGTCAACAATGAAGATCATCTGCGGGAAGACGGGTGGTGAAGAAGACTTCTACGACGATGATGATCAGGAGGATGAACGGCTGCTATTTGATGCGACGGAAAGCCGAACGGGGCAGCCGTTCTACTGGACACCTGCGCTACAGGACAATTTCCGTGAGGAGCTTGAGAAGTAGGTACGCGTGTCCTTTGAGGGTTTGATATGTGCTCAAGACTGCTTCGTATGCAGGCTGGTCATACTTGGTAAGAGAGTCAGTCAAATCCGCGAAACGTTTCTAAAGACCGTGCAGACTATTTGATGCTTAACACGGACCGCGGCGCGGACAACTACATGATCAAGCACTGCGACTGTGACCCGGGCAAGTCATTTGTGAACGAGGCGCCTTCGCGCATCTTGCGCCTCGAGATGCCGATGATGACTGAGTTGCGCCGGACCGAGTCCGCGACGAGCACGCCGAGTATGGGGCCATCGTCATCGACGATGTACTCGCAGCCGGCACACTCGAATCCGCATCTGCCATATACGCGGCAGCCGCACATCCACATCGCGGCTATCGACAACTCGCTTTCATTCCCTCATGAGCACCCACGCGGTTGGCGGTCATATACGTACGGGTGGTTGTACCTGCCTGTGAGCATCATCGGGCGGCCGTTCAGCCAGAAGACAAGGGACCACTTCTTGCCCTTGCTCACGTCCAAGGCGTGGTGGACTGAGACGACGTACCAGCTCAGGAAGCTGTTCGCAGTCGATCCGGATTTTCATCCGAAGATGTTCCGTGTAGGCCTTCTTCCTGACTTTGTCGATACGCTTGAGGTGACCTATGACATGGCATACAGCGGCAACTGGCCGTCGTCAAAGGCCAGGGTTGGAACATAGTTCAGTCGCTCAAACATGCGGTACGTATATCCGGATGTCAGAAGATGCAATGTGGGCTGACCGTACACATTTAGGACGAGGGTGAGTCGCCTGCATGATCCTTCTTACTGTGACTGATGATCATGCAGGCCCGCTGGAACTGACGCGGAGGCAGAAAGTCCTTGTATGGGACGACGAAGTCGAAATGACAGACGACATGCTCCCCGATCTAGCGAAGGGCCCGCCCGGCACGCCCATGCGACCGGCCGCATCACCACACCTCTCCGTCAACACCGTCCCTCTACCGCGGCGGTCACGAAGCCACAGCGCGTCCGACTTCCCGCCCCCCATGCGCCGTGTCTCCTCCGAGTTCTCCTCGCGGCCGGTCCCGTTCTCGAGCAAGTTTACGCGCGTGCACCCTGCGACGACGGGCGTCACTGTGCTCGAGCACATGGAACGTCTGGACGCGGTGGAGGCGGGGTTGAAGCGACTGGTGGTCGAGGAGAGCGTGCTGGAAGATGAGGAGGAGGTAGATGTCGGTGAAGCGGCCGCGTCGACGTCTACATCCGCTCCTGCGGCAATGCTGGCTGATCGGGCGCATGAAGAAGAGCTGTCCCCATCGGCGAGGTCGGACCATCTCCCAGTTGTGCCAGAGGATGGGTTGGCGACGTCTATGTCGGAGGAGGATCTCATTGCGATGTCCAAATCGATGTCGCACTTGGAGCTTGCGGCGTCGGCGAAACATGCGCGCTGGCCGAGTGCGGGGACGCCTCATGCAAGTAGACCCAGCTTGGATTGGATGCATGCTGAGCCTGAGAGCCCGAAACCGCAATCGGTGATTGTCGAAGTGAGTGCGCGTTGTCTTCCATCGTGGACTGTATCATCTTACTGTGACTGTCCTACAGCGAATAGAGACGGTCGATACAAAACCGTTCTTCTCGTGTTGCTGATACCTTGTACATTTGTGCTGTTCATTCGTTGTGCTATCGCAATTCGCTTTTGCTTTCCCAAGATATACTAAAAGATAGATGTATGGTAATGCGGCGCGCGATCCATGGCAGGCCATGTATAGATATCAGTACAAGTAAGTGAAAGTCAGTCGCCCTCTGTCATCAACCATTTAGCGAAGTCGTCCAAGCGTTTCTTTTCGCCCTCGTCATCACCCTCTGCGAACGAGGACTCGTCTGCACTTCGCTTGAACCGTTGCTTTCCTGCGTATAAGAAAGCTTCCACTCTCCGTCCTGCGAAAAATCGTCCGTTCATTTTCTGTATTGGTCCTGTTAGACAAACATCAGGTGGATTTGGAACGCCGTGCTTACTATTATACACGCTTGAGCGCTGATAGGGTCTCGGAACTTGACGGTCATGATGCCTTCTGGCTCTTTCTGAAGGTGGGATGAGAGATGAGTGAAGGTCGCGCAAGACGGAAAGCACTGTACGCACGTCATATAGTACAACGTTCGTCACCTCACCCAGTGTCGAACACTCCTCTCGTACATCTTCCTTCAAGTCGAGCAGTAATGACGCGTCCTCTTCCAATTCCTTTGATGTGAACATGTGCTTGAGGACAACTATCCGGTTGTTCTTATTTACTACTGGCGCCTTGTCCTCTTCTGTCCTGGAAGGGCCGAAACCATCTTCATCATCCCATTCGCCCAGCTTCCTAGAGTGATATGATTGAAGCAGTTAGTTCATGAATGCAGTACATCAGCTATCAGGCGTACTTCTGCATCTTTCCGATTCGCTTTGTGGCCTTCTTCTTGTCTGCCATCGTCTTCCTGGGCTTCGCTTCTCCCTCCGCCCCTCCCTCGCTCATCTCATGCTTATGGCCAAACTCAGCCTTCTGCACACGCATGCGCGTTTTCGGATCGCCAATCCGCAGCTCGTCGTCGTCCAACAGCCGCTCCGCGAGGTCCACCGACTCCTCTTTGAAATACACGACGAGCGCGTCGCCGCTGAACGTTCCGTCCTCGCGCGCGTACAGCTTCACCTTCGGATGGCCCTTGTCGTCCTCCTCGATCAGGCCGAACTTGGAGAAGCGCGCCACGACCTCATCCGCCTCGGTATCTAGCGGGAGACCGGTCACGTAGACGGCGGTGTTCTTCGACTTGCGCTCGGGCGCGGCGGCTTGTCCGTTGGACACCTTGCCTCGCTTGACGGCAGGGCCTGAGATCGAGCCGACGGTGCTCGAGGTGTAGTCTTCGGGCTCTTTGCGCTTCTTAGTCCGTTTAAGAACGGGCGCGGCAGGAGTCTAGCAAAACAAAACCGGTACGAGGATACAAGCAAGCATGGCAGAGTGTGGTTGAGGAAAGCATTCACGCTAATGAGTCGAAGGAAGAGCTGGTGGTCCTGGGATAGTAGACCTCACCTCTTCGTCAACGCCTGCTACAGAATAGGCGGCCTGCTGCGCCTTCACCAAGTCTTCGTCGAGCTATACATGCCCAGAGTTCACATGTTCGGGTAGAAGCTAGCAGGGAAAGTCTAAGGGACGCACCACAGGAACCCATGCCCCCTTTGCTGCATCGTACTCCAACTCGCTTCCATCATCGTTCTCAAACCTCCACGCCCCTGCCGCGCGGTCAAAATGTACCCTAGGATCCTCTGCGAAAGCTGCTGCCTGGTCTGCTACAGAGGAGCCGGCGGCAATAGCTGATGGAGGAAGCGACTCGGCGGTCGACATTGTTGCTGCGTAGAGTCACGAACGAGTTTAGCAGCTAAAACTATGTGGAGCAGCCCGTTAATGCTGCAGAAGTATACAAGAGGATGAAGTGACGAGAAGGATATGCTACACTGATGGGTGTCGTAGGAATGGAGGGCTGAGGAAGTGGTCACGACAGTGTAAAGGCATGTCCAAAATGAGCAATTCAATCAACCGTTCTCGTTCAAGTTCCACTATATACGCCACTCGCTGAGTTTCGGCCAGGGGATGCAGGCAATCCATTACTCTACAAAGAAATGATCTACTTGTACAGCAACATGGGGAAATATGCGCTAGGATCATGCGGAGCATCGTCAACACGTTCAGGTATCCAGCGCTTGCTGGAAACAGGGAGTGTCGGAGGCAACTTGGACTCCGAGAACAGTTTCCCGGCGGAAGAGACCTTGGCGATTGCAGCAGTCAGCTCTATCGGCTCTGGCGCGGTCGCGGGCACAGAAGATCCATCGGCGGCTTCTCCTTCAGCGGGTGCAGCAACACTATGGATATGTCAGGTAAATTTCGGTGAGTGCTGGTTTCGTAAGCGGGAACGTACGCTGGAGCCTGAGAGTGTTGAATGAGAAGGGAGGAGAGTTCTGTCTGTGTCACAACGGACAGCTGAGGGTAAACGCGTCGGACATCACGCTTCCAGTATGGGTTTTGTGCAGGGTCGGACGCTGCAGCACTTGTCGTACACAGTCTCGGTTATAGAGGTCACACCAACACTCACCCTTGGTAGCCGGTGTAGCGTACACCTCTGGTCTCGATCCTGGAGGAGGATATCTGAACACACCGGGCAACGGGAGACCACTAGATATCTCGGGATTTATGACAACGGCATCCCCTGGGATCGTACCCAATCAGTACAGGCTCACAGAGTTAATAACATTGCACGCACTGAACTTCTTCCAAAAGCCCTTAGGGCTGAGATGGTACCGCGTTGAATCCGCGAACTTGCGAGTAGCCATGGGTTAGTGTGCGGACCACCTCCACCGAGGGTCAGCGTTGTGAGCGCCCATGCACGTGCGTACGCATAGCGGCCACATCCGAACGATTTCCGCTCTCCCCATGCGCAATTTGACTTTCGCCCTGGATAGATTTGTTTGTATCCTCCCCAGAAAACAATTCGTGGAAGAGAGGGACTCTTCCATCTACACTATTACACTAAACACGGTGTACTTTTCACCTACAAAGGCTATGATTGAAATCCTCCAGATATTCCATTACTAGCATCATAAAGATCGTGAGTACAGTAACTAAATACCAGGTACACGTACGAGAGCATGGCAGTCATCAAGTATCGTCATCGTCGCCTATTTGCGCCATCTCTCTCCGATGCGTCGGCATCGACAGGACACCTGCGCTCGCAGGGGGCTCCTCTCCCTCCTCGATGGTGTCCTGATCAGGCTGCCCCCTCCACTTAGACTTTATAGCCGTGTCTGAGAACTCCTCCTCGGTTGGACTCGAGACCACCAGGGCCCGCTCCAAAGCCTTTTCTCCTCGTCTCTTCAACCGGAGCGACATCGCAGCCTGTAGCGACTCTATGTACGAGTCGTACTTGATGATCTCTGCCAGCAGATATTGAGATTTCTTCTCCCAGTTGCTCATCGCCTTTGCAGCATTCGATGAGCGGGGCTGATACTGGTGCATTGACGAGATCGAGCGTGCGGGGGATATGTGAGCTAGCGGTCACCACTAGGCAGCACGAGGGGCCACTTACCAGGTTATTCATGGGTTCCCGCAGCTCGTTATGTTGCTTGAGCTCGGCCTTTAGCGACCCCACATGCTTCTGCAAAGCCTCCATCTGCGTTTCCTCATCATGGGTACTCGGCACTGTGGGAGGCATGGGCGGCTTCCAGTCATTGATGAACGTCCTGTCAACCCATGGAGACTTCTCCGCTCGTACAGTAGCAGCAAACTCCCTGAGCCGACTACGTCCGCTCCTAATGCTGACGCCGTCCTCAGTTTCCGCTTCATGCGTAGAATAGTTGTCCTCTGAGATGGATCGGACACGCGTTATAGGATCCAGCACACGGTTCCAGCCGTACTCCATGTTGGAAACACCACCAGCGAGTGGTTCCTTGCTTTGTCGTGCAGCCCAATAGTTGCAAGTTGCCACCCATTCGTTGACAAGCTCCTCAGTCCCTGCCTGGAAGAAGTAAACGGCCCCGTTCGACAGCGTCAATACCATGCAATGTGGTCGCTGCCGGTTGTACCCAGGAGGCGGCAGACCATGTGCCAGCGAATGCGCGAGTATGATCTTTCCAACCGACTGTGCGTTCTCCTATGTGATGAAGGCTCAGTGTCAAAGCGAACAAGCTAGGATAAAATCACGTACATGCCAGTTACCGCCACCTACAACAGTGGACTGGCCATGAGCGTGTTCGCCGAAGACGAACATACTAAGCTCTCCCTTCTGAATGACAACGAACACATCCATCCATGCCTTTGACTTGGCCCGCTTTCCTGTCGACTCCCAGTATTGCTTCCGACAGAGCATTCCTTCCTTTGCCCATGGAGCACCCAGGAGCGCCAGCTCTTCGTCAGTGATACTGATGTCCGTGCTAGAACCATTGCTCTTGAAGCTATGATCGTCTTCTTGGGCTTCCCGTATGATGGTATGCGAAAGATTGGATGCGAAGCCAATGGCAGGCGTAATCAGCGTTGTCGATGAGGCATGGACGTTCTACGTTTCATGTCGACCAAGCTATTACACCTCAAAAAGAACTCAGAACTCACGTCAACGGAATTTGCGAAACTCGGCGCCGGACTGGCCCGCCCATCGATGCTACTGTTGCTGCTATAAGGGCTGACGCCGCTTTGCGTGTGGAGGATCGACTGCAGACCACGTATACTGCCTCGCTTCAGGTTTGCCAGACGATCAGGAGGTCCACGCAAACTTCGCTGGCGCAGCAAAGGACCATGTGGAGTCAATGATGACGTGGATGACCTCGCCATGAAAGTGCTGTTGATGGGCTGCAAGATCTGCTGGCTCTTCACAGCATTGTACATATCCTATCATACCGATGAAGGTACGTATGAGCTGAAAAGGGTCGGGCGAATGAGTAAATGCTGACCTTAAGCAGACTCTCGATCTCATTCTCCCAGTTGCGACCATGGACAACCGCTGAAGGAGGGGCATCACGTTCTGGCGCTTTTGACTCTTGTCGTGCCGAAAAAGCGACCGATACTGCACTGCCATTCCCATGGTGCTGTGTAACGCCATCTGACACGGAACTGGGTCGACGTGGAGGGTGGTCCGCCGTAGGGGAAGCCACGACGCCTCCGTCTCGGGTGGTGACACTGTTCCAGCTGATGATGCTGTCACTTCGCTTGGCGCGTCCCCGCACCGTCGCTCCGCCAATGTCGCTCTCCGAGCCAGCCCGGAAGCTCGTCCAGTCATCATATGACAGATCGCTGTTCGAGTTATCCGGCTGCATAATTGTGGCGAGAGTATTACGGACAAACTGCCCACGGGACATTCGCTGAGCCAGATCCGCCACATGCAAGTCTGTATTCAAAAGCAGTAAGGAGTATGTGACAGCGTGAACGACGCCTAAGCCAGGGTCAGTCAGTACCCAGAATGCAACCACCGTACGAAAAAGCTTACCGGCACTGCCGAGAATTGACGTGGGATTGCATTGAAAGTAACGCCGCGCGAACTCTTCGAGGATACGATCCACTTGTTGAGTCTCAGCCTTAAGGTACAATTTGCCGCAGAGCCGTCTGCCACCCGGTCAGCATCCAGATGGGATGCGCAAACAGTTGCATACCTGAACGCATGGTCGAGGCGCATATCGGAGAAGTCGAAGTTGTCCATGTAGTGACGTAAGGCAGTCTTGTTGATGAGGCTCCTGCTCGTCGATCAGACATTCTGAGTGTAAGAAGACACCGTGAATCACGTACTGTCCACCGAGCCACTCGGCAATCTTGTCCTTCGCCAAGAACTCCTCGTCCTCCGCCCAGCACCGTGCTGCCAACTCCTTCCCTCTGCTGTCCAGCTCAGCGGTTTCTTCGCCTCTCATCGGACTCTGCCGTTCTCGCGGGGTAAGGTTGTACCTCACCGCCAGCAGATCGCTTGTTGTGAGATCCTGTTGCGAGCTTGCCGCTATTCTCGGCGCAGAACCTACACTGGATGAGGACGGCACAACATAAACAGTACGACTATGCTCACGGACTCGGCCAAGCTCATCTCTGTAGCTCTCCGGTACTAATGAAGGCTCCGAAGTGGATGCAGTCGATCGGTGATGTACTCGCAACCGGTCCGCATCACGCGACCGCGAGTGTGTATGTGAATGCGAGCTCCCTTTGCGCACGGATGGAGAACGTGGTGCATACTTCAGGGAAGCTGTTCGGGGAGGCACCATCGAACTCGAGCCAGAGCGAGAGCGAAGCGTCATTTGGGAGTATCCCTGAGAGGAGGACGAGCGAGGAGGAAAGGAATCAATTGGTGATGGGGTATCAGGTGATGACAATGCCGAGCTCGAGCATACAGATGATTCTGCAGGTTGGAGAGTAACAGTCGGCGTGGGCGCGGGTATATCTGCTGGTGACGAGGAAGCATGCTTTGACAACGGCCTTGAGTTGTCAACGGGTTGCGATCGAGCCGCAACGCCATCGCTACGAGCTCGAAGCGTAGCGAGCTGGGGTCTTCTGGCGGAGGTCGATAGATACTGCAAGTCGAGCGGAGCTGCCGATATCGGGTCTAATTGTGACAACTCCCCTCTGAAGTCTGTCATGATTCCGTTGAGGGCCGTGTCGAGGCCCAAACCTAGTGCATCCGTTCTGTGCCCTTCGCCTGACAGGTGTCCCATAGGAGCTCCCATACCCATTAGCTTCTTCAGATCTGCGTCGCTGACACTCATGCTTCGCCGTTTGCTCCGGCTCGCTGCCCGGATATGCCTAGCGGATGCACCGGCGTCGGACGGGCGCTGCCGTAGAGTCGTTGTCGGTGACGGTGAGCGAGACCTATTTTGCAAAACTCCCACCTCTACGAGCACCAGACTCTGATCACTAAGATCGGATGAACGACTGTTGCTGCTGCTGGGCGCAGTTGCCAGCACCTTGTGGACGTCGCCCGAGCTGGTATCGCTGAAGAGGTCAACGGGGTCGGGACGTGGTGAGACGTACTTGGGCGGAATGGGGGGCACAGGTGGCGTGAAAGCGTCCATGAGCGGCGTGGACGGATAAGAAGCCACGGAGGTAGTTGATGGTGACGAGTTGATTGTGCGCTGCGTGATGTCGGCGTGTCAAGACGAAGCCAATTAATTAATCCGGCTCAGCTTACAGATCTCTCCCTGGTATTAGGCGATCCGAGCATCCTTCCGAGGAAGGCGGACGTCTTCTGCCTTACGGAGGACTTGCCGCTCTGCATGACGAGTAGTAAGTCGCAGTAAGCCAGAGTATACGCTGGTGCACCACGGAGAACGTGCATCAATGCTACTGTGATGCTAGCGTGAATAGGGAAGTTGCAGTGCGAGACATGGTTACTGTCAAGACACATCGAGATGAACCAACTGAGAGAGACATATTGCTGCTGTCTGACAGATGATCAGGTAGCTCACGTCTACGTATCCTGACGCACAGCATAAGCCCGTTATAAAGCTCACACCGGCCAATGCCATATTCCGGGGTATGCAACTTCACCGAATACCGAGCATCCTTCCGTTCAAATCGCCACGGTACACCAGCAAAAGTGAGACGCACCTTTGGAGGAACCGCTGATCGCGGGCTCGTCCACGCCCAGTCAGGGCTCGAGACTTGGTCTACGTTCACCCCAAGTACTTGGCTCGGCTTCAAAGATCTGTTTCTGGTTGCTGGCGTGATCTCCGGAGAAGAGGACAATGAAGGCGTAGTAGAAATGGTCGATCGCTGACGGCTGAAAGCTCTGTGCTGTGGACTTGACGATTCATGTGCCTTGGACGCATCCTTATTCGCAGCCGCATTGCGTTCCTTCGCTTTCCGCAGTAGCGTAGCGAGATCGGGACTGCTAGCGGTGCCAGGCGAACGGTACAGGGAACGTCGCCGCGTCTCATAATCGCTGCCGGGAGAGTCCGAGAGCATCTCACCGCTCGAGAATAACGGAAGAATAGATGCAGGTGACTGCGCGGAAGAAGACGTAGAAGGTCCTGCACGCGGGATTGGCGTGGGCGGAATAACGGTTGGAGTGGCAGGCAAGAGGCCAGTGAACGACTTCCGAGGTGAGGGTGACGAGGGGGGTAGGAAGCTCGACGTGGAAGAACTGTCTGCGCCTAGATTATCGAGGTCAAAACTTTCCCTGAGTAGCACCGTGCCGCCAGTGCGAAGGGCGTGCTCGAAGTCTAAGTCGGTCCGAGAGGTGCGCCGGGATGGGACATGGGGATCGTGAGAGGCGACTGGCTGGAAAGCGGATGGAAAGGACGAGGGGGGCGGCGCTGGTGACCGCGGCGAAGGCTGCTTGAAGAGCGAGGCCAGGGTGGGCGTCGTCGTCGTCGTTGTCGTCGTTGAGCAGGCACATTCGCGCAAGCGCCCGGCTCGATCTTGCTTCAGATTGATACCCACACGTGAAGCGTTTTTCTTCGCCTGTCCGACCATCCATTGCCTTACCGACCTGACGTCTGGTCGGTGTCTTGCATCTTCTGGCCTTTCGAGCAGTAGCATCGCGAGTCTTTGGTCTGAATGTCGCTCCCATTACACCATATTAAATGCAGTCGACTCTGTGACGGCGAGGCTTCACGCAGCGTCGTTCAGGAGAGGGAACCTACGCTCACAGGAAGGTGCGTGTACATATTTGCGTCCGAAATCGCATGGTGCGTCCTCGCCTAGATGCACGCATTATGGATGTTCCTGTGACAGGGATGCGCGAGCGATGCATGCGCGATAAATGTGGGGTGCGATCGACCTAGCCTGTCTGCGTGTTTCCTGCATTTCTAAATCTTCTGCGCGCGTACCCTACTCGCAATCCCCTTAGCCTCCTCGTTTCGTTCAAAAAAGGTCTGAATGTTCTCAATGCTTGATTCCGAACTGTACCTTTCCGCATGGAATCCTTGCTGCAGAACCCTCATCTCATGCCTTTGCGTTGAATCTGACCGGATGATGTATTTATGGCGAGCCTTTCATGCGGTGTGATCTCGCTACTGGCTCTCTGTCACACACTTGGTAGCACAACACGCATTCGACTATCCACCTCTTGCTACTCGCTTGAACGTGCACTTGTGAGGTGGCGAGACAGCTCTCCTCGTTTATCGTCGAATCCGGTGGACATGGCACTGACGGTATCCTTGCTTGATTCGCCCCTCACTCCTTCAGTGCCGAAACGTGCAGTCTCGTTTAACTTTTACACTTCTCGCCCAGACATGTATGTATGCGCTTGCGACTGTCAGGTTGTCTGTGTCGACAGTCGTCCACCAGCTGTTCAGGATTTGGCAACCATGTTCTGGTCTTCGAGGCGCAATATCCGACAACTGGGCTCTGTTACCGCCATTCGCAGGCCAACACCGCACCCATCGTGCTCGCTTGATCTATAAAAGGTTTCAACGGAATTGTTCATGTCGATCATGGCAATTTCCGCGAAACGTGATATCGGTACGTAGCTTGATCCTGCCTTGCAGACATCCGCGTTCGTGGCGTACGTCGCCTGTCTGGATGGTTGTTGTCCTTGTGCACGTTGCATTCGTTCCTTTCCGATCATTTATGCAGCAATCATGCAGAATCAAACGTGGCGCCATCTAGACGCATAGGACAAATATGCCGGTCGCATGCGACATGGGACGCTCTGCGGCTCGCGTGCCAGCCTATTCGTCTCCGCGATGAAATAGTGTCGACACGCCGCCCTCTTTTATCTCTCATTTTCTTCGGGGTTGCCTTTCCTTGCGACGAGCAGACCCGAGGCACTCCGGAGCCGTGTGTCAGACCTGCTAACTCTCCATTGGTAACCGGACCCTTGGTCTCCGGGGCTCAAACACCGTAAGTATCGCCACAATGATGAAGGTTGAACGGGAAGTCCTGTTATTATCGGGACATGGCCTTGCCAAAATGTCAGAATGAATGGTGTTGCAGTCATTAAATTGCATGTGCTCTATTCAGGCGCTTGCCTCCTCAGAAAAGGCAAGCCAAGACGGACTTGCGTTCCATAAAATGTGTCACTTGTCGGGCTGCTTGCCGATTGGAGTTCTCTCAGAATCATTTGAGAAATCATGAAAGATTGCCTCCCATCGACATCATTCGTTCTGGTTGCGCCTCATCGGATGAAGCATCGTGGAAATCGATTCATTCGCCACCGCCTTCAGAACATCAAAATCGATTGGCGTCCTTGTTTCATGACTGAACTCGCATCCGAAGTAATTTCTCACCTCTCACCTGCATTTTCCTGTGGCGGCATGAGCTGTTGCTGTGGGGGCCCTTTCGACGTTGCTATGGTCAAATCGGAGGCGATGGCAACAGGCACCAAAGAAAAGTTTGAGGGCGCTATACACATATTACTTGCGACGGCACCCTCCTTGCCGCGTCCGGCGCCCAAACATCACCGAGACGCTTCAATTCCCATTTACATAAAGGGGGACTGAATGGTAATTGGGCGTACACCAAAGTCTGACAGCTGTTATGATTGCTCGCCTTCTGCCCGCTTTCTTGCGAGTACGAAAAGACGAGCTCTGTCCCCTATAAAATGGAGGTGTGGCTGGAGTTGCTTCCGGGTCGCATTGCGTTTCGATCAATGATCTGATATGCGGATGCATATGCAGGACTCTTGATCCCGTCTGTGTGTCGTGCATCCAGGTCGACACAACCGCTGCCAAATATTCCTCACAGGTACCATGGCAGCATCACCGCCGCAGCAATCAGCACATCGTCCCTAGGACTCCATGTGGCCAAAGCTGCCGAACGCGACAAAACGAATGGTCTAGGCAAGCTCCGAGGCCCGAGCGCGCAGCCAGTGCGGGCACGTCGCCCGTGGAATTATATGCGCTGATCCCACGAACAACAGAATTTTCCCGAGTCTTGTTGCTAATGGGACGGTACCCGGGGTCCATTGATCGCACTTCGCAACCATCTTTTAGTTCGTTGCTCTTGTCTTCCCTTCCATCCATCCTCCCACCACCTCCTCGTTCCCTTCATCTCCGCCCGCGCAAGCCTACTTAGGCCGCGTCCCTTCCCCTCTTTCCCCTCACGCCGCCGCATCCGCACCCACATTCTCTTCGACCTCACATACCCAAGACATCCCGGCAAAATGTACACTCTTTTTTCTGCGGCTGCGCTCGCCGTCACTCTTTTGGCGACTTCCGGCGTGAAGGCTGAGACGCATAGTGTTATGTTTGATAATCAGTAAGTTCATGTGCTGGTCGAACGTGTCCAGCGGTTTCTGACGAGCAGTTCAGGTGCGGGTATGGATATGTGAGTCGGCACACGGTGATAAGATGACTGGCACGGTTTAACTAACACCCGTGCAGCCTCAACTTATTCAGGGCGGTACGCTCCTATCCAACGGCTCTGTGTACACGGGAGAGGGCGCCATTAGCTCCGTAATTGCGTGAGTGTTGCCGTCACGTTCTATTAGCATGGAGACGGCGTTTGTGACTTAGAATAATCTTTCCTTACTCAGATACCTGCAAACTGGTTCGTAAAATCTGCTGTTGCGCCACAGCAAACAAATTTAATCTCATGCGACGCTTTTAGGTGATTGTGGATGGAACGGCGAGAACTGTGCGCTCGTCGAGCTCACTCTCACCAATCCCACCGCTCCTGGGACTGGGTCTTCGGCAGACATCAGCCTGATCGCTCCGTGAGTTTGAATTTTCTGCAGTTTTCAAAGCTTGACCTGACGCTGTCTGTTTCAGTCATACCTATAACGTGCAGACCTCGTTCAGGTGAGGATTGCAATTGACCTACCGGTTGTGCCACAGACACGCTGACCGGCTCTCAATACTAACAGTTACTATGACGGCTGCGCCAACACGGGCGCTAACTGTGAGTACACTTGTTGGCTCCTTTTGTACCCGAGTTAATCGTGTCCTCTTCACGTTTGACAGGCGCCAGCTCTGACTGCACTGACGCTTTCTACAACTCTGACGACAACCAAGTCCAGGTAGCCTGCGAGGATAACAACGTACGTACCTTACCGCCTGCTCGTTCGCGTTGTTGACTTTTAATTTCTGATCAGGTCAACCTGTTGATTGCGTTCTGCGCGGATGCCACCACGATCAACCCCGATGACGTCTCTTCCTCCGGTTCCTCCTCTGGTTCCTCTTCTTCGGCCTCGGCATCTGCGTCAGCATCGTCGTCGATTGCTGTCTCCGCTTCCTCTGCGAGCGCGTCGTCCGCGTCGGCATCTGCTGTTAGCTCTTCCGCTGCTGTTGTCAGCTCCTCTGCTGTCATTTCCAGCAGTGCGGTTGTCACGTCGAGCGCAGTTGCTTCATCTGTGGCCGCATCTTCGAGTGCCTTTGCGATCTCGAGCAACAAGGTCCTCCTGCCCGTGCCATCTTCCTCGGTTGTGGCGTCTTCTGCTGTCGCGACCTCTTCGGCGGAGGCCGACCCTACCGATACGGAGACATACGATTGCTCCGAGCCTACCTCGACTGAGGTCGAGTCATCCTCTGCTGCCGTCGCCACCTCATCTGCGGTTGTGTCCTCCTCCATTGTCGTCGCCGCCTCGTCTGCGGTTAACCCATCCTCTATTGTCGCTGCCACCTCTGCTGTTGAGTCTTCTTCAGCAGTTGTGTCCAGCGCTGCGGTCGTCAGCACTTCTTCCGTCCCCGTCGTCACATCGGCCGTATCGACCGTTGAGGTCTCTTCTCAGATCGTTACTGTGACTGTCACTGTCACTTCGGTGGCGTCCTGCCGCGTTCGCCCCACGAATACCGGCTTGACGGACCCTCTCACTACGTCGAGTGGTTCAGCTCCGGTCGCGACGAGCACTGCTGTCGTGTCCTCGCCTGTGCTTGTCGCATCGTCCAGTGCAGCGGCTGCAAGCTCGTCGGCTGCTGTTGCTTCGTCCAGTGCAGTCGGGTCTGCCAGTGCAAGCGCGTCCGCCGTGGTGGGTGAGGCCAGCTCTTCTGCTGCTGTCTCGAGCTCTGCTGCTGCTGCCTCGGGCACGGCTGTTGCTGCCTCCAGCTCTGCCGTCGTCTCCTCGTCTGCCGTGGTCGGCTCCTCAAGCGCTGTCGTTCCTACCTCTTCCGCTGACCCCGCGTCAAGCGCTGCCGCGTCCGCGTCCGCCACGTCCTCTGCTGCTGCGTCGGCAACCTCGAGCGCGGTATCATGCGATTCCTCAAGCGATTCCTCAAGCGTGACGCGTCGTGCTATGCGGGCGAAGCGCTCAGAGCCTGCGAAGAACGTCCTGACGAGCGCGATCGCGACCAAGCGACGCAGCCACCACGGCGGTGCGGGGTTGGCTCGCCGTGCACTTCACCCGCACGTTCGTTCGCACTAAGCGGCATGCTGACGCCTCATCGGCACCGGCCTGGAAGCAGAGCCTCCCCGGCACGCGTGTGCGCTCGTCCCTTCTCCTTGTCTCCGGCTCTCCCCCGATATGCGATCGCTCATTGTTCATCTTCACGTTCACTTTCAAATTGCGGTCGGGTCCCTCCATGAGTCTTTATCCTCCGTGATTTATGTCTCAGCTCTATTCTGTGGTCTTTGTATATGTCGTGTTTTTTTTCTGGTGATCTAGGATCTACTGTGCGCTGGCCCCTGGTGGCCGCGACGCCCTGGGTAGGGCAGCATGAGCTGCTCGGTGGTGTCGTGCTGGGAAGCGCGAAAGCGAGCTGGGCTGCGTTGAAACCTATATTTGTTGTGTTTGCATGTAGCTCTACGTACGTGGATCGTGCTAAATACATCGCCGATTTGTCGAACATGTTGTGCATCAACTCTGCGTGCGCTGTGCCTGACGGTGCGCCGTTTGTGCGGGACCCTGTTTCAGGTAGAATTCGAAGGGAATCCGCGAGAGCGGTGGCGTTGCGGGGGGCGGCAGTCACGTGGGCGCGAACGCTTGGCGAGGCCTGGGCCGCTAACGCTGCGGGGGCTTGCCTTTTTCGGGTGTACGTTTTGAGGGAGCGCTACGGGCGCCTGTTGCGTGTCTCTCTGCCGCAATATATAACTCGCCTGCTTGCTGTCGCTCTTTCGCTGCTTGCCGTCCCGACGCTCTCTTTTCGTTTCCGTACCCACCACCGTCTTTTACAATGTCGTTCACTCTCATTTCTGCTGTCCTCGCCACCTCTCTTTTGGCGGCCAGCGTTCGTGCTGAGACGCACACCATCAGTTTCGACAATCAGTACGTGATCCGCTGCATATTATGATATCAGTAATTTTGGAGCTGACACGGTATGCGACGTAGATGTGGGTATGGAACGGTGAGCTCTTGACGCGTCGACGTTGTCGGGGACGCGAGACTGAGCGTAGTAACAGCCTTACCTCATCGTGGGAGGACAGACCGTGTCGACTGGTGAACCCTACACCTCCGACGGTCCCATTTCGTCTAGCATCGCGTATGTAAACCTCCACCTATCACTCTCAACGCTCGCTAAACGACCGCGATTGCTCACAGCTATCTCCAAACTGGTGCGCTGGCCAATATAGCAATGGTTGAACTGCGCATATACTCATTGTCTCTCCATCAGGCGATTGCGAGTACAACGGCGAGAACTGCATGATCATTGAGATGACCCTCGTCAACCCCACCGCACCTGGTACGGGCTCGTCGTCGGACATCAGTCTCATTGACCCGTGAGTTTTCGCCTCTTCTCTTGGCATTGCTACCGCGACGCCAACCAACCTTGCCACGTCTCACAGGCACACGTATAACGTCCAAGGCTCCTTCAGGTTAGCAACCGATGCCAGTTGTTGCGCTCGGCTCAGCCTCGTCTGATTTGATTGTCTTGTTGTACAGCTACTACAACGGATGCCCCAACACTGGCGCCAACTGTCAGTGATCGGCAGTTATTCACGCTTGTGTTAATCAGCGCTGATCATCCTTTAACATGATCCAGGCGCTAGCGCTGACTGCTCGACTGCCTTCTTCTACTCCGACGACACTACAGTTCAGGTCGCTTGCGAAGACAACGACGTATGTTTATGCCGAGCTTGCTGTTCACATGCCCGTCTGATTGACCGTTGATTACAGGTTGACCTGCTCATCGCTTTCTGCGTCGATGCTACCACCGTTGACGTGAGCAGCCTCACGGGCTCTTCTGGCTCGTCTGGCTCCTCCAGTGGTGCTGCTAGCTCGTCGAGCGTTGCAGCGCCTGCGCCTTCCTCAACATATGTTGCTTCTTCCAGCTACGTTGCTTCCTCGACTGAGTCCGCCTTCTCGACGTCTGCTGCCGTCTTGGTGGCGACATCCTCTTCCGCTGCTCCTTCGTCGAGCTCGTCTTCCATCGCTGTCTCCTCGTCTTTAGCAAATGCGACGTCGTCTGCGGTAGCAGCAAGCAACACAGCGAAGTGCGCTACCAGGAACGCCAAGCGTGCCCTCCGTATCGCCAGGAGCAACGTCCAGGATGTTGCCGAGCTTGAGCCGACGCCTGCCGTGCACAACCTTCGGAGTACGCGCCGTCGCCACTCGCGCATGGAGGCCGCGAAGAGGGCAAGTGGCTTGCTCCACTGAGCAGTCCCTCGTAATCCCAGCCAATCGCGTTGAGATCCAATCCAGGGCTCTGTTCGCGCTAAATATGCTCCCTTCCGTTACTTCGCGTGCGCTCCGCACTCTACTCTACTTACGTTATTCCTTGTCACCTCTCGCGTCGACTTCTGCTGGGCCTATTAAATTCTTGCCTGCACTCGTTGCGCTTTACGCTACCCCTTTCTTACTCGCTACTCGTTTCTCCGCCCACTTCCGACCTGTCGTCTACCCTCTCTCCGCTGGACGCGGTGCCCTGGTCCTGGCACTGCGCGTCTCAATGCCTCTGCGATTAGCTACAACCGGCGAGCTGGACTTGTGTTGCCCTGGTCTCGCTAGCACCCGATTGGCCGTATCCCTCACGTCTCGTTACGTCGCGTAGAGCTTTATGATACCGCTATCTGGCGTGTTTGGTGTGGACGTTAGCTTTCGAAAATTGGACCTGCATGTTTTTGTCCCCTCCCTGTTAAACATCCTGATTGGGTGACTGTCAAGCGTTGACGTGTTCTTTTCCTCCTTATTCCCTTTGCTACGATGAGCCTAGAGCGTGGACTGGACACTCGTGTGCTGAACACTAAAATACGTATATTGATACATACATGCACGGACTGCTGCTGTGTACCAAAACAGCGAGTTACAGTAGTAGTCGACATACATATACCCCCTAACGAGTGCCACGTTCGAATCGCATCTTGATCTGCTGGAAAACCGATATGAGTTCAGCCGCAATTGGGGACAGGTACGTCGGCATGAGTAGATACACCGAACGAAAAAGCTGCTATTTCAAGGGCCCTAATCATGGACCTGCAAAATCGGATCGTCGTCAGATCCAGAGTCGCTCTCATCGTCGCCGCCATCTCCGACCCCCTCTCCAGCCGCTCCCCCACTTTGATTTTGTTCTTGCGGTGCCTTGGAGTGTGCGACCGTGCTCTTCTTATCTGTCTCCTTCGCGTCTTCCTTCTTCCCAGTCGCATCATCGGGAGCAGAAGTCGCCTGCACGTCCTGCATCGGGGAGCCTGCACCCTCGCGGGCATTCTCTGCATTTTGCTGTTTCTGAGCCTCCGCCTCCGTCTCGAGAGCCTTGACATCGGCCTGCACGTCCGGAGCATCAGATGGACTGCCTGATTTGTCCTTGATGGTTTCAGGTGCATGTTCTTCGCTGAGCAGGGGTACGCCGGACGTGAACAACTCGTCGAGCGACGCAACGGTCGAAATGGCCATGTCAAGCACGGTCTCGACGCGTTTCCGGAGAGCATCGCTCGGGCTAACGACAGTCTGCATGAGACAAACACGCACCAGGTACACAATCAGCATGAATGTCACGAAGCGGAGGGGTGTGAACTGACCATGGTGACGAGGTTAATTACGGCATCTGCCTCATCGAGTCGCACAAGCAGTGCTGGCTCGTGATTTTCGTCGTCCTGCTCTTGCTCGTCCGTTTCCTCGGGCATGTGCAGCTCGACTTCGCCGAAATGTGCCTCGAGGAACATCGCCAGCCTCTGTATGCGCGTGACCTCCGCACTCGCATTCTCCACGTCTGCATGTGGGTGTGGGTGCTCCGGTGCATGCGTATGAGTGTGGGCGTGCGTGTTCGTGGTCACTGTAAAGTGTGGTGTTCAGGGTGAGCGATATCGTAGTGAGGGGAATATGGAAGATGAGACGCACGCTTCACAGATGCAGGACTCTTGTCTATGCCTACGATGAGAGCGAGCGTCGAGTCTGCGATCATGTCGTTGCTGGCACTTGAGTCCCACTCGAGCGTCAACTCATGTTCCTGCGTTTGCTTGACATCGACAGCGCCCATGATCTTGTGATACCGTTTCAGCGGACAACTCCTCCCCAGCACATATTGATGACATGACATACCCGCATTGTTGGTATACCATCCTTGTCGAGTCCCTCCTCCACCTTCCCGAACATACCTTCCAAATGCCAGCGGATGAGATCCCAACCGACACCTAGAATCATCTTTTGTCTCTGCGTTACAACGCAGGTGGAGAGACCTCCAAAGTCCCTGAGGTCGCGGGGATCCAGCAAGGTATAAGAATAATCCTTCGATACCAGGAGACCAGACAGGAAGTCGCCCGGTCGTGGAGGCTTTGCTGCAAGGTTGCCTATTGCCTGAAGACAAGTCGCAACTCCCGTGAGTGACAATGTGTGCGAGTCGTGTGAGGACGTACCTTCGCTACTCGCTCTCCGCGGAACGTCAACTCCAGCGTCTCCAAATTCCGAGGAGTATGTATCTTCACATCCTCATCTCGACTCTTGTACCGGTCCGTGAGAGCGGCTCGCAGCCGACCCATGGCTGTTTGCTCGCCGTGCACCAGAACCTGCGCACATATGTCAGCAGCTGGAAGGCAAACAGTTGAACGAACGACTCACGATGTGTTGTGCCTTCACCAGCTCGATGAACTCCGAGTTCTGTGAGTAGTCGACATGGGCGCTGAACGAGATCTCATCGACCGAGAGCTTGCGCGGGATGGGCACACCCTTGAGCGACATGATCTCTTCCGGTTCGCTTTGAATGTCCTAAGCATGTAGGAGACAATGAACATCGCTTCTCTCAGAGGGAGTGGGACATCTCGCCAGGATGGGGGAAAGAGATACATTGCTTCTCATCAGGTACATACAAGACGACACTTCGTACATGCCTGTCCGCCCGGCTGAGATTCAATGAGCAGTCACTCACCCGCGCCATAGTACCTTCTACCGAATAGCCTGTAACGATGACTCCGTTCCTCGAATCCGGAGCCCATAGCTCCAGTAGCTCACGACTGGGCCCCACCGTCATGAATCCAGGACTAGCCAAAACGACGCAAGGTGGCCCTTCCGCGACTTTGCGCTCCCACCCACGGGTCTGCGGCAAATTCGAGATATGCCTAAACGAGGGGCCCGGTCAAGCGCGGTAGTACAACATTGCGCAACCACTTACTTGAACACAAACGGATTGTCACGCTTTGCAAATCTTGACCGTACATTCGCGTTCATTGTGTGGATATACGTTTGGTATACAGCCATAGACTTTCTTGCGAGACTTGAAGCGTAGTAGATAGGAGTATTGTGTAGATCAGGATGCTTCTTCCAGTACTCATCCAGGATCAGTAACAACTCCTGTGCGCGTCCAAGAGCAAACGTAGGCAGCAAAACGTGGCCTCCCCGTCGGATGATTGAATGTACTAGATTAGTAAACCGGAGCTCCTTCTCTTCTCTGCCTTCGAGAGTCTGTACGCCATATGTGCTCTCGACAATGAGTACGTCAGGGCGGATGGGCGGCACCTCTGCCTTTACAAGATGCCGGTCTTCTTCGCGTGAATAGTCGCCAGTGTACAAGATCTTCAGTCCAGCAATGTCGATAAGAAACATGCAAGCTCCAAGAACATGGCCAGCATGATACGGGGTGAAAGTGACGCCCGGACAGGGAGTGATGACCTGGTGCGCAGAAACCGGGATGATCGACGCCAGCGACATCGACAGGTCAAGGGGAGTAAACAATGCATCTGACGTTGAGGAGCTGTGTCATTGTGAGCAAATCGTCCTACACGCGTGCCCACTGAAAACCTACCTCATCCGCACGAAGTCCTGCATCATGAACTTGTGTAGAGCTTTGGTGGGATGCGTCATGTAGATCTTACCCTTGCCATCCTTGAAGTTTGTCTGAGAAAAGTGTGGGTAAGATAGATTCGAAGTTCCGAGCAGATGAGCTTGGTTACCTTCTCCGTGATGTACGTCAAAGCAGCTGCGTGGTCAAGGTGAAAACTTCTCTCGCGTCAGGACCAGACGAGTCACCAAAGTCCCATATACTCACTGTGTTATCAGCACAACATCAACTGTGCTCCAGTCCAATTCGTCTATAAAGGGCAAAGAAGCAATCCCACTATACGCGGGGTGAACGCCTGCATCGCAGACGATTGTTCTTCCCCTGTATTGAATGACACAACACGACCGACCGACTTCCTGGCCAGCACCCAAGAGCGTGATCTTCAGTGTTGAAGCATCAGTCATATCTCAAACGACACAGTTTTTCAAGGAAGTGGGCTAAGGCGATGAGCGTTCTGGAAGAAGGAGGCCACCCACTTTAGCGCCCTCCATCCCCGTAACAGCTATAATATAGCGCGCTCATGTATTCACGCAACAATCTCACATGCAGTGACTTATATTCAGCCTGGACCACCTTCATATGTTTGCACACCCAGGTTGACTCCAGCTAGAGTTCTCACTCGGAAATTATGGGCAAGGACACTTTAAGAAGCGGTCAATCGTGAAAATGGTGTCGTCAAGCACGCTACTGCGAAACATGCGCTTTAAAAGCTGATCATGCTGCAGATCTCGCGGTCCCTCAGACGAACATCATCGCTCCAAATGTGCTCAACAGAATGTACAATGGCATCGATTACAGCAGACAGCAGTACACGCTAAGGTCCAGGACACCTGTATCACAAACGGGCTCAGGAGATGTCACATCTGCTGCCTCTATGTGAGGTTCCAATCAATATACTGTATACGTGTAGCAGAACGAAGCAAAACAGAGCATACAAACCAGCCAAAGCAGCGATTCGTAAATTGAGGCTACAAGATGGGCGTACAAGTCGTACATATATCATGAACACGTCCGATGCAGCTGTCAAGGTCCTAGAACATCAATGCATGTCTTCCCAGTTCGGGCGCGGCGAGCCAATGGAAAGCTTGCCCATCTGCTTGCGCTGCCTGAGGTTCTTCACCTCGGTATTGATAAGGTCGCGCAGGCGCTCTAGGTCGAGGCTTCGCTCCGCCCGGGAACCCATGAGCAAGTTACGCCAGATACCCGCGGCTGCCACTGAGTTGTCGATAGCGAGCTGCATCGGGCGGTGAAGTCGCACCATCTTCTGCATGAGATGATCAGGACTTGGGTAGACCGCATCTGGCCAGGCAATGCGGATGGCGAACCACCATCCAAGGGGCTATGATTCCAGGGGCTCAGCCAAGTGCATCTATTGACGTTGAGGAATAAAACTCACGCGGCCGTCCGGCAGACATCGTTCGGGGTACGTATCGTAAGTCGTTAAAGAACCGTCGGGAAGGGAGAAACTTATGAATAACCTAAGTTCAGCCGTTTTCATTGCTATACATGACGCAATGCTCACCGATGGACTACCCAATGATGATCGTCATTACGGTGCTTAGCGAGCACTATGAGAAGTCTGGGTATGCCCTCAAGACCGAAAGGTGCCCACAGATCCCTGAGCATTCCACAAGCGTCCCCGTGCCGCCCATTGTACACAGCAGTGCTAATGGCGTCCGCCATGTTCGGCGGGACGAACAGACGATCTACACGGCCAGGCGGGCTATCTGTCATCTTCGCCCTCACGTAGCGCTTATAGGTCTGCGTCGACCAGATGCTCAGTGCAATCTCGTCGACCTGCATCCCGCGCATCGTACTGTTCACCGCGTTATCAAGCTCCGCCATCGGCCACACGATCGCCCAGCTCAACAGCCGCTGATGTATGCGCTGCCACGGCGGTGGCAGCTGCTGCTCGTATCCTCCGGGCTGCCACACCTGTGCCTCGGGCATGTTGACCAGGTCGCCTCGGCCGTCTTGAGGAAGAGGAGGAAGAGGAGGGGAACCTGAACCTCGGCGGTCCGTAAAGCCCGTTGCTCCATCTGGTATCTCAGGCATGCCTGACTCTGTCACTGCAGCCTGAGCATCACCGTCATCATACTCCTCTCCATCGTCTCGGGCGACCTCCCAGGTCTTGTGCGTCGCCACAGACTGGCTGCCGGAGGGCTTGACGCGCAACTTGTACAGTTCCTCCTCGAGATACTGTTGTCCCGGAGATTCGCCGCGCGGCATGTACTGCGTGTCGCCATCAGTAGGAGCCAATTGATGACCATTGATATCCTCCTCTTCATCGTCATACAGGTCGTCCTCGCGGCTTGCACCATGCAGCGATCCGTCGTGGTGCATCTGCAAATGTGTCGAGTCTCGCAGGATGTCGGTGTCTCCCGGCTGATACATAGACTCATCGCCCGTTGGGTGCATATGGATATTCGCAGACGGAGCCATGGAACTGTGAGTGTATGCGCCACTATAGTGATGATGGTGACTGCCGGGATATGTCTGGCCATCGCCTGCGTACGAGTCGACCCGTGAAGACCGTAGACTCCGTTCAATCTTGGGCGCAAGACTGTCCAGGCGTTCGCGCATGTTGATCATGCCGTCAATCAAGTCCTTCGCCCATTCCGGCGGCTCTTGAGAAGTCCCGAGCTGCGTCGATCTTCTCGAGCCAGTTGTAGTCGGCTGCAGCGCAGTCGAGAGATGGACGCTAGGGTCGTGGTCGTGATAGGACTTTCGGTATTGTCTGATAGACTGCATAGATCCGGACACGTGTGGTCAGCACTGAAGAAGAAAACATGCATGGACGGCACTGCTCACTTCGTTATCATACTTCATACCCAGCTTTTTCACCCTCGCCCTCACTGCCTTCCTCACTGCCTTCTTCACTGGCTCTCCCAACGGCTGGTCCAGTGCATGCAACAGCTGGCATAGCTCCATATCGTGGAAATGCGAGTTCTGCACCTCCGGTTCCAGCATGCTCGGTGCCATTGTCGACGGTGCATACGACGTACGTGATCGAGGGGACGGCGGGCGTGTTAGTAAGTTGTTCACCATACGTTGTTCTTCTGCGTTGAGATCGTCCATGGGTGAAACAGGACGGGAGGGCGTGGGCGTCGCTTGGGGATCGGAGCGCCTCGACCGCGTGGGCGACATAGCCGAGGCTGCGGCACGCTGTGTGTCGTCACGGGGTGGAGACAAAGGCTGGCTTGCGTTCGTACGCGGAGACATCGGCCCTTGGGATCGCGCTGCACGCCAGGCACAATAGGACTACAGGTGAGCTCATTCTTAGTCTTCCCAGGGATTGTTGCAGTGCACGCACCATAGGCACCTCCACCGTTAACATCGGTTCCAGTCCTGACAGACCTGACCGGCTGTGATGGATCGTTTGCCGGAGATCGCATAGAGCGTCTCGACCTCGCCTGTGAAGGGGAGTCGGACGGCGCGATCGACGGAGACTTGTTCGTTTGGCGTTCGACCGGTGACGGCGGACGTGGTGTCTGGGCCTCGGAATCAGGTAGAGGATACGCAGCGGGATTCATCCTCGGGTTTCGCGAACGTGACGACTGGTTCTGAGAGCCAGCCGTCCGAGGAGATAACGGTCGGTCTTCGCCATTGGCCGTGCGCTGCGGCGAGAGGACGCGAGAGGTAGATTTTGGCGACATCATCTGGGAGAAGGTGAATTAGTTGCAATGCAGGAGCAGATTGAACAACAAACCGCATTGAAATCCGCTGGAGGAGGGGACTTGTTCGAGGCTCTTGAGCCGTTCATCCTGCTTCGGGACATGGCAGGGCTGGAAGGAATCTCTGCAGCTGACGCCATCGTTGCCGGAAGGGGAATGCCCGTGGCCACAACAGGAGTCATGCCGAATTGCTGCCGGTCCATCAGCGAGATGTCCGAACACAACACCAACATCGAGCATACCTGGAACGGGTTAGGATGGCTGTCAGAAGACGATGCCGGCAGAGGCATGCCGTTTTTCGTTGGCGCATTCTACCACATAAAAGGCCAAAGTCACGCACCATTCACACCCGGAGTGATTTCGAGAATGACTGACCTGTGCGTTCCACGCAGTTCCACTCAGTGGGGGTGCAACGGCGCCTTCAGCAGGCAAGGGGCCAAAATTGCCAAACGATGAGCCGTAGGACTCGAAATGAGGGCCAGGGGGGTCATTTGGGCCTGGTTCATGCTCGGGCTTTGTACTGCATTAGGCGCTGTGCGGGAACGAGAGATTAAGTTGACAGCTTACTGGTCCGGTGGTATGGACAGGAATAGTCCGCATGATGTCCGACCCGTTTCCTTCTTGAACATCGGATCTGATGTCGCCTCCATCTCCGTTATCTCTTTCCTCGGGGAGCTCGTCCAGACGGGACGCGCCGTTGGAAAGCGGGGAGCGCAGTCTACTTACGCTGGATCGGATGCTGCTTGCCTTGTCGTCGTCGGGAGGGTACTTCGACATCCCTTCGAGATAAAGCAAAACTGTCGGAAGTCATGCGGGATGGTATTGTCGAAGCTTAGAAGCAGATCATGCGAAGCATACCTTTCTCGTTGGATCCTGGTGAAGAGACAGTGGTGTTAGTATGTCGCTGCTCACGAGGCAGGTTACAGTGACCGACCGGGAGTAGCGGACCTCAGCATATGGCTCTTGATAGGATCTCGTACGTCCAAAGTAGACATCATGAACTACAGTCGTCGGGGGTCGTCTAATTCGTGAGCTTGCTTGTTCGGGCGGTGTAGAATTTAGACAAGGCGTTGACAGACCCAAAGATGAGCAAGAAAGGGCTCAAGAGCGTTTATCAAGATACAAGATGAAGGGCGTGAGGTAATAGAGAAGAAACAAATGTGAATGATGGAGTCGTGCAAGGTGTTGGCCTCGAGGATGGTGCATGGATGGAGGCGCTGTTGGCGGCTATTTGTACGCCGTCAGCGTCATTTCGGCTGTGTTCGCCGTTCCTGACGCTCTCCAAGGGCATGCTGCTCTTCGCTGGCTTCAGTGGTCGCAGGTGTTCCAACTTGTTTCTGCCGTATGTCGGTCGCGTCGCCCGCACTGACGGCGGAGGAATCGCGCTTTGCCTCCGCACTGCAAGATTTGCCTCCGTGATCGATCGAGCAGTTCTCGTTTGCGCCTGGCGGTTTATGCGGTCGCGACAGTGGCGCGTCTGCCTCTGCTCATGGCCTGAAGCTTGTTGCTGCACTCGAGCTTTCGCAGCTTCAGCTGCAGCTGGGAGTGCAAATCTTAGAGCGCGCGAAATTGCCACTTTTGTCAGGAGGCGCGGTCACGTGAGATCGCATCTCACAATCACACAACGAGCGCGGCTTCAGCGCGATGGTGGACACCGTTTCAAAATGGCTTAGGACTGAATAGGCGCAGTGCTGCCTCGATATCGAAAGGATTTAGGAGACTCACACGACATAAAACTTCTTCTGGTCGGTCATCTCGACGACCGCGTATGGCAACGTTATTTGGAGATGGAGACGAAGCGCGTGTAGTACTAGTGCATCTTCTATGTGCCTATTGTTAAGTATCCGTCCAAGATTCAATAGTGTCGTGCGATTCTTGCGATTCTTGCGACCCCTTCGGTTGTAACTCATCGTGTACATCGTTCGAGGCCTCCTCTCGCACGCCGTCGTTGGCATCATCGACATCTTCGTCGGCAAGATACTCCTCAAACATTTCAGCCTGTGCTTGCTCGTCCTGAGGATGTTCCTCCACCTCATCATGAGTGTGTTGAACTGGCCTCTGCGCAGCGACCTGGGAGACGCCGTTGGCTTTATTCTCTTCTCGGTCTGCTGCATGCTCGGCGACACTGCCTTTGGTCTGCACTTCACTAGTGCTCTGACCTGAATCGTCCTCAGCCGCAACAGCTGACTGCTCGGATTGTTTATAGGGTAGTTGTCTCTGTAGGAATGGAGATCAGTTCCGCCAAACATCAAGCGTTGCAGCGGCACGTACGTCGACATGGTGACCTGATGAACCTCTGTTGGACAGCTGGCCATCATCAAGCTGCACGAACCTCTCAGGTACGCCCTTTTCCCCACGCAAAGGAGACAAGAAGATTCCGGGTGCTGGTGCGAATACTGGCCGTGGCGGAGTCGGAGGTGGTACCATAGCATCTGGATGTTCTCTCGAAACGTCATTTATTCCAAATCGTCTCTTCGTGGTCCCTGGCACTTGAGAATGAGGCGGTAGTATCCAGGTGCCATTGTCTTGATATGGTTCTGCGTTCGCATCGCATGGTGAGAACCCCAGACTAGAAGATGAAGTCTCATTCTCGTCAGGAATGACAGGCGTACGAGGGGTTGACAGGTCAGGCGTTCGGAGTAGTACTAGATCGGCGTTGGTGTTGGAGACGCCAGAAATGGACTGTGGCTCGCTGTCTGTCCTTCCACGGTCGAATTTCTCCCATTTAAAGTCTAGCGCCTCGGCATCATAGTCTAGGGGCAGAACGTAGTCATCCTCCTCTGTAGGATCCGACATAGAAGGATCCTCCGCGGGCGAGTCGAAGTAAATCTTGATCGCAGCTTGTCGGAGGGGCACTGAATGCGTGGGACCTGGCATAGAGAATGGTATGGCATCGATGCTTTCAGAATGCTTCCCTGAAAGCTCAGTGAGAGCAGCGTCATAATCGTTTGCAAGCAGCGATGGCATTGCGAGCATGTTTATAGAGTGCACAGCTGGTGGATGTGAAGGCGATGATGCAAGGATTCCGTCAAGCACAACGGATGACGATGAAGTTCGATGGCCATACTGAGCCTCGCTATTTTGCCCGGGATGAAGCTGGGATCCGTTACACTGCCACTTCAGAGGAGACAAGGAAGCCAAAACAGGTTCTAACCCGCGAGATCTTCCTAATAGTAGGTTGGATTGAGCAGCCACATGCATGGGAGTCACTGAGTCAGAGAGCTCTCGACTTGACGCCTGAGGGCCAGGTTTAGAGAAAGGTACAAAAACATCTTCAGCGTTGTCGTTGTCATTCAGGGCAGAGACCGTGAGTTCGTCAGGAAGATCGGGCGCAAGTTGAGCAAGGTCAAGTGGACGGACATGCTTGGCGGGCGTGACAATAGAAATATAAGCAGCGGGACCAGGTGTTGAGAATGGGGGAAGTAGTGTCGAAGTGGCACTGTTAAATTCTACGGATTCGAGTGCATATTCTTGTGAACTTCGATTGGAGCGTAGCAGAGCATCTTGCTGTTGGTACGTGCCGTCATGGCCAGATTCAAAAAGACTTGGATCCCCAGCGAACAATGCCCTGGAGGGGTCCAGAGTCTGTCTCAGCGGAGCAGACACATCAAGAGTATCATTAGATGGCGGACAGAAGGCAAAGACGGATCCGTCAGAATGTTCTGGCTGTTTTGCGTTCATCTCTGGTCGCGCGTGGGTACGTTGAATGTCGTGATGTTCGCCTGCATTTTGCCGCTCTTCGAACGAAGCTTGCCGCACAAGGACACGTAGGGGATGACGAGGGTCCAAAGTCGAAAGGGTTTTGCTGAGCCATGTGGGAACGGGTTGTGTAGGCGCACGCCTCCGCCGTTCATTGTAAGGGTCATTTCTTGCAATGAGCGCGCTTTCCTCCGCCGCTGGATTGTCGGACTTCGGCATTTTTAGCACAGAGAACTCCTTGCCCAGTCTCCCTTCGTCATACCCACTATATGCGTCCACAGGCGTCTTCGGCATGTCATAACTGACGGCACTAGCAGAAGACGAGGAGAACGTTCGCGGTCTGCGATAACGAGAGCTGGAGGAACTCGTCGGGGAGGTGTACAGAACGTTGACGGTCTCCATCATGCGGTCAATGCGCGAATTTGTCCCTTCTGTTTTGCGACGCTTGAACGGATGCTGAGTGTTCGATCTGAATAGAGATAAATATAGCATATCTAGAACGCAAATACTGTGCACGTACCTTCCGCCGGTAAAGCCGTCTATCTCCAGCCTATCCGCGATGGATTGCGTTACGAGGCGCGGCGGCATGGCATCAAGTGCACTATACGCGCGTCAAAGTCACTTTGTAGAGTAGGTCACCGCCTAGAGATGCCTTTGAAGGCAAGAGAAGTATGCATACGTATCGCAGTGAGATATGCAACCTAGACGACCTCTTCTGCGAAGCTGGCGCCAGCTCCTGCTGAGAAGCCTTCCGATTCTGGGTGGACGCTCCTCGGCACCGTCCTGTCTGAGAATATGCCACTCTTACCCAGCGTTTCGCAGAATCGCAAGCGAATGACTGACGAACGAATGGAAGTGAGGAAAAGATTTCAGAGCGCTCGTGTGAGCTCAGGCGCGTCCTGGGAAATTGCACACGCGTTCCGATCACGTGGTCGTGTTGGCTCAGCTCGTCAGCCTGTCGAAAGTGACGCATAAACCACGTCTTCATCACCGCTTTCTTCGCTAAGCGTACTCCAGCTGTGTGTTCCCTTCCTATTCTTGAGTTTTTCCGCATGCCGTTCCTCCGCGATGACCTCCAGAGAGTCGGTGATTACGTGAACTCGACTTCGTGAACAAGAGAGATTCCGGCTACTCATTCGAATTTCAAAAGCATGAAATGCTGTGCCGCGGTGCGAGAAAGCGGGGTGCGCTCGCATAGCTCGACTCGGTAACGAAGAAGTCGTTGTTGGCCCTCAGAGAATGAGCAAGCACATGTCGACTACAGCACGTAATCGTCCCTAATTCGCCCCATGAACCGCCGTCCGACGTCTCATATACATAGTATACATAGCTTAGCACCTTGCATTGTACGGAATGAGACAGGTCATCTAAACGTCAGTCGTCCTCGTCGGTGTCTTGGGTGTCTCAAACTCTAAATAAACTTTTCTCTTTCAGTCGATCAGGGTATTGATCCGCCGATGTCCCTCGCAGCTAAACGTTACGCCATCCTTGCCAATCGGTCGTCTCGTGTTCGAGCGAAAGAATGTGGCGGGATTGCGCCAGCGGTGGCCAAATCTCCGTGTATTCGAGAATAGAAACCGGTATGATGCTTGCGATCCAATGCTAAAGTCTGTATATATGTACAGGGCCACGAAGGCTGTTCGACCCGCACAAGCTACGAATACGCCCTCACAGGTCCAGCTCTATCGTTCCATTCAGAATGGCTACAGTTCTCTCACCACCTCATTCCATTGGCATACATGGGCATGATGCTCCTCCGGCTGCCATTGCTCAAAGCAGAGACTCTATCGGTCATGCAGCAGAGGACCCTTCCGTGACCGTGAAGCACCCGAAGGCTCTAGAAAGCCACGCATCTCCAATAAACCTTCTATCCTCTACGCCCATACTCTACATCCCACCCATTCTATCATCTCTGCCTCCTGAGATTGGGATTCCTTTGTCAGCTGCATATATCTCGCACCAGCCGCCGCTCTCCACTGATTCTCATCTTCCATCCATCGACGATGCCTCTCTTGCCCTGCATCATGCTCTTCATCGATTCCACCCAATAACTTCGGAGTATGCATTCACTCCATACCCGGATGCATTCAACTGGAGTGAACTGGAATTGCCCGAATCCATCGAGCGCGAATGGTATTGCGTTGTTTTCCGCAGCAAGCGACGATCAGGGAGCGAAAGTGGCTGTAAGCAATGCAGAATCTCCTATGAGAGTTCACGCTCTAACCGCAGCACGTTTCAGCTCTTTATGATGCGGACCGCCTAGCACACGAAGAGGCTGTTCAAAATGGTGGAGTATGTGCTGTCCCGTTACCTCCTATATGCGCGGTGTCTAGTGCGGAACTCCAGGCTGACTGTCGACACCTCTTCTAGTTGCTCCTTTACTGGTATGGCACCCCGCATCCAGAAAGTGGAATGAACCTCGCCACTTGCATCTGGCAATCCCGCGCGCACGCACTAGCCGCAAACACGCGTCCGCATCACATCCGCGCAATGCGACTGGCAGCCGCGTCTTATGAGCACTATGAGCTGAAGAGGTATTGGCTGCGCAAGACCAAGGGTGAACGTGGACTCACGGTGCGGCCGTATGATGACTAGGACATCTGGTGTAGCGAGTAGATATTCGGTTTGCTTGCATCATTCTCATCAATCTGTAACCATAGGCAGCGTCGATCGGAGTAATTGCACTGCTTCAATTTTCCTGAAGGCTCAGAGTTGCAGTGAATGGCGAATAGGAAGTTCGATCCATCATGTGATCCGTCATACCTTGCGTGTTCGAGTGTTCTTATTGCGTTATGATGGCGACCGGGATGTATATGAGCTTTTCGCTGCACTATTCCGTGTGGTTTCTTCCTCCTCGTTGTACAACTGCTCCCATCAGGAATTGCTGGTCGTTTACGAGCGATTAAACTAGATGACGGCGTGTGACGAAGCTATGTAATTTACCCGTCCTGTGTGGGCTGACGACCGTCGTGGCCAACGGCTACTACGACGGTCGCTATTATATCATTGGAGGCGACGGCCTCAGTAAAACACTTGAGTCCTATCCCAAAGAGTTATACCGACCTCCCTATAAAAGACTGACAGTACGGACCGCAGCATTCTGGCTCAACGGCAGATTTTTCATTTCAAGGCCCACTATTTCCGCGTGCACTAGTCCAACATGGCAGGATCTCAAGTACGCCTACAAATGACCTCGCGTTATGTGCCGAAGTTTGGCAATTGAGGCTGCTTGAAACCCGTACGCCATCATCACGATGCCCGCGTTCACGCAAGCGACGTGACGTTCTTGCTGCTCTTGAGTCGGCCATCTCGTTCCTAAATGACTTCCTTTATCGCGCCTCCGAGTGTTTAGGCTGCTGCACTCATCAATCTGAGCACTAGAACTATTCTCCGCAAGTTTCGGAATGAAGGACGGTGCTGGGCGGCAATCATCACCGAATAAGGCAACTTCCTCGACTGTACTCTTGCAAAACTGCACTCTTGCAAATGCAATGAATGTGCTTAATCGCGAATCTTTCGGCGTACATTTCGGCCACCTCTAAGCTCATGGGATCCGGAGATCCAGTGCTACCCATTTTCAACATTGTTTCAAACCCGACCGTAACCCGCACATCTACTTCTCCTTCGCCCTTATCGGTTGACTAATCAATCGCGGAATTCCGTGCCGCACGCAAGCAACTCTGACGCGATTGCAGCTCTACTGCTTGTTCTCTCCCCTGAATCCTGTAATTTTTTTCTTCCACGTCAATCCATCTTCTAGATGGCCAAGTCAGAGTCGGCTCTGCAGGCTTCTGAACAGCTCCCTCTCTTTAACGGAGAATATGATGGGCCTCTTCGACGGCGCACTATCAGACGACCTTGGAGAAAACTCATCGCGATCATTGCCACATCTCTTCTTGTCACCTTTCTCATTCAGGACGCTCTGATCCGTCTATGTCTCGCACACCACCATATCTTCGAGCACCATGTAGGGAGCACACGGCGGCGAGCGCCATCTTATACCCACAATCAGGCTTACATCATCGAGGCCACTCACGGTGCTGTAGCAAGCGAGAACGAGATCTGTTCCGAGCTTGGAGTCGATATTTTGAAGGCCGGAGGCAATGCAGTTGATGCAGCCATAAGTACGACATTGTGCATCGGTGTCGTGAACATGTTCTCGTGAGTGGTGTTAACAATTCATGTGCAGTCATATGCCCATGCAACACAGCTCTGGCATCGGAGGCGGAGGATTCATGACAGTTCGTATCCCCCCTCCATTTCCAAATGCTTCCTCGGAGGTCTACACAATTGACTTCCGAGAAGTGGCTCCTGCCCGGGCCAACACCACTATGTACCTTGATAACCCGATAGCATCCCTCATTGGCGGGTTGGCCGTCGGTGTGCCTGGTGAGCTGCGAGGTCTCGAAGAGGCACATAAGCGTTGGGGAAGCATACCGTGGAAAGCACTTGTCGAACCCAGCGTTAAGCTGGCCCGAGGGTGGAAAATGCAGCGTGAGTTGGCACGCAGGATTCGGATAGACGTAAGCATTGGTCTTCGAGGCTCATTGGCTTGAAACTTACTGAGATTGCGCGAACGTTTAGTTCTTCAGTGCGTTGATGCTCGAGGACCCCGACTGGAGTTCTATCTTCGCTCCCTCTGGATCGCTATTGGAGAAGGGTGAGATCATCCGCCGCATCAACCTCTCGCGCACTTTGGCGATCATTGCAGAAGAGGGTGCAGACGCATTCTATAAGGTTAGCTAGTGAATCGATTGCTATGTAGTGCTCAATAATCGTATTCTTTGCTTGCAGGGTCCCATTGCAGACGCATTCATAGAGAAGGTCCGAGCGACAGGAGGCATTCTCACTCACAAGGATCTTGAGAACTATCAGGTTCACGTGAAACCCGCACTCCAAGGAACGTACCGTGGCAGGAAGGTCTATACAACCGATGCACCTACGTCTGGACCGGTCTTACTACATATGCTCAATCTCATGGAGCATTACAAGGACCTGATAGATGAGGGTAGAACGGCATTGAACACTCATCGGTATGTTGAGGCGATGAAGTGTGAGTCTTACTCGATTCGTGACAATGCGCGGTTTGTATTGATTGAGCTTTGCTAGTTGGGTTCGCCGCGAGGTCAGTCATGCGCCGTTCGTGAACAAGCTACGGAAGCTGACTTATCCTGAACCTCAGGACGAAAGTTTGCGATCCGGCTTTTGCGAACAAGAGTGCGCCCATAGACGAAATTTCCACAAAGGAGTACAGCGATATCATATTCCCCAATATCACTGATGTAAGTCAGGGGATCGCAGCGTAGTACATTCACTCCGTCCCTTCTCTGATCTTAGCAAAGGGAGAAGTCGGCCTAGCCTCTTGTCCCTGGGTGAGCTTTGCAAACGTAATGCTGACTACTCATGCAGGATCGTACACATACCCCAGATTACTATCATCCGATCTTCGATGTCATTGACGATCACGGAACGGTACGTTTATTCCAAAGTTCACTTATGCAGTATGGCTATATGCAGGTGGTTGCGCTTGCAGAGCCATACGTCTGTGGTGGACAAAAACGGGATGGCCGTCGCACTGACGTCTACGATCAACATGGTGTTCGGCTCGCAAGTCATGGATCCCGTGACGGGGATCATCCTGAACGATGAAGTAAGTGTCTATATGCGTACAATAAACATGTTGCTCATTAATTGAGTTTTCAGATGGACGACTTCTCCACCCCTGGACAGCCCAATAACTTTGGCCTGTACCCCTCACCTTGTGAGCCCTCCCTGCCGAGCGGCACAGCATGGTTTCTAACCTCTCGTGAAATGAAGTCAACTATCCGGAGCCAGGAAAGCGCCCACTCTCGTCCACGACGCCGACCATCATCGAGAACGAAGATGGCTCGTTCTACCTCGCCGTCGGAGGTTCTGGTGGCTCCCGCATCTTCGGTTCTGTCTTCCAGGTCATCCTCAACATGAATTGGGGCATGGACGTGAGCGCCGCGATCGAGTACGGACGCTTACACGACCAGCTCTTCCCCACTTTCGCAGAAGCAGACGATGTGTACTCGGGAGAGATTCTGGACGGACTCCGAGAGCGAGGACACAATATCACCGGTGCGCTCGCACGTTCTTCGCATGATTGGTGGCGGACGTATTGACGCCACCTGCGTAGTGTCCGACATCAATCGCATCGCAGCTGTGGTCCAGGCGGTCACGAAGCAAGGCAATAGATTATACGGTAGGTCACATGTGTGGTGGTGTGGCCGCATCTTACGAGAAACTGACTTCTGCGATTCGAAGCGGCAAGCGATTCCAGAAAGGACGGCATTGCCGCAGGGTATTGATAGACCACATGTTCCTCTCATTCACACAATATATCCCAGCACTTTTCGACATGCCAGTTGCACATTCCATTGCCGTTTCATCATTCTTCTAGTGAGTTGATGGATCGCTCGATGAGGAGCGAATCAGCAGGTGCCCGTTGATTTCCCGGCGAGAAACATCACGTAAGCCGGAATCTTTCACGCAGCCGTGAATCTCGTTGGCCGGAACCGTCACTGATTTCCGCGCCAATTCACATCGGTTCTCGTACCTCCGTTACTGCCGCGTTCTATGCATGCTGTACGCCATGACCAATTTTAACGTGTCTGCATACATTGCTGCAGGACGAACCTCGGGTGGCAGTCTGTCCCGCGAGAATCCCCCGTCTCTAGACGCCGCTGAGCCAAGATGGCGGTGTGGAAATGAGCCTGCTGGGTATAAAGGCTAAGCGAGAGCGTGGCGGTGATGTGTCCTTCGCAACGCTGTCGTCGAGGTCGGAAACATGCTCCTGACTGGTTTAATTGCGCTCGCCTCCTTCATTACCACTTTAGCAGATGCAGTCTCGATCCGGAGGCCGGTATGACTTCATTTTCATGCAACAATGGGTGTCCGGCCGAGCTCATCCTCTTCATAGCCTGATATACTGCGGACAAGGTCCCCGTCGGCTGTGACGGGATATGTGCAGACGTCCGGCCAGAGCTTCACCCTCGATAGTGAAGTCTTCACAGTCGTTGGGTATGCATGCGTCCTCGTTCGCATAGCGGTATTGCTCAAGAGTAGTGACTTGGATATGCAGCGCAAACTCATATTGGGTGGGACTCACTGGCCTCAACACTAGTGAGATGGACCAGGCATTCGCGGATATTGCGGGAGCAGGTGCCACTGCAGTCCGAACTTGGTCAGTGAATATCGAATATCAGCCGCAGACACTTGAACTGAAGGCTGAGCAGGGGTTTCAATGACGTGACGTCCCCGAGTGGCGACTACTACCAGCTCTGGACGAATGGTGTGCCTACTATCAATTATGGAGCTACTGGCCTTGAGAACTTCGGTGCGAATCGCAGCATAACGGCTTCTGGTCGGATGTGCTGATGAATCTGAAGATAACGTCGTGGCCACGGCAAAGGCGAACGGTCTCAGGCTGATTGTTGCTCTGTAAGTGTAGCACATCGCATACTGTGTGATGCGCCTGATGATGACGATGGTGACTAGCACCAACAACTGGGACAACTATGGCGGAATGGATGTCTATGTTAGCCAATTGACTGGCACTGATTACCATGACTACTTCTACACGAACACGGACGTGATCGTAAGTGATTTGCGAGAGTGCTTCGCCGATGGCGGATACTGACCCGACTGTGAAGGCTGCATACAAGAACTATGTCAATGTCTTCGTCAGCCGCTACGGTGACGAGCCCGGCATCCTCGCCTGGGAACTTGCCAATGAGCCGAGGTGTGCAGGATCGACTGGGTATGCCCTACTAGTCCTTCTGCAAGCGTAATATAGATAGCTAGATACGGGTTGCATGGACAGGGTGACTTCGGGCAACTGCACCGCTACGACCATCACGACATGGATTGAAGAAATGTCCGCGTACATCCACTCCATCGATTCGAACCATCTTGTTGCCATCGGCGACGAGGGCTTCTACGACGATCCAAGCAGCTCGGACTATCCATACCAGTGAGCATACTTGTCTCGCAAAGTGCGCCTTAGCTCGATTGACGCCCGTACCAGAGGAGGCGAGGGTATCAATTTCACAGCGAACCTTGCCATCCCAACTGTTGACTTCGGAACTGTACATGTAAGTCCAGCTTGCATTTCTACAGCGAACACTATACTGACGGCCATTTTAGCTGTACCCGGTAGGTGTTCTGCTGATTCTTCCAAGACCGCTCTAAAGCGTAGCACAGCTAAGCTGGGGCGAGACGTCCGACCCAATTGATTGGGGAGTCCAGTGGATCGATAACCACGCTGCATCCCAGAAGGCTCAGAACAAGCCTGTGATCCTCGAAGAGTTTGGCATCACTGACAACATGACTGAAACATACGAAGCGTGGTACTCTGCGATCGTCAGCTCCGGATTAACAGGTGATCTCATCTGGTTAGTCTTTCCGCATACTTGAAGACCTCTCTGCTGAAGGAGTCTGTGCACAGGCAAGCTGGCTCGTACCTTGCGAGTGGTGCGACCCCCAACGATGGATACGCGGTACGTTGGCAATGCATCGGAGCATTTTATAATTTATTCGACCTTATTACAGGTCTATCCGAATGACACCGTATACGCTCTCGAGGCGCACTGGGCCGCGGAACTTAAAGCAAGAAACGCGGAGTGACTTCGTCGTTCCTTGTTGTAATTCTGTTAGGAATTGCGGACAGCAGACAACTTCGAAGACGAATTGACTATTTCAAAAATGTCTGATAGGTGTGCTGTATGGCAGATGCCGATCTGTACGGTGTCAGATAGTCGAAACATGACGACTTCATTGCCAGGGGTTGAGATATTTGGTCGCCGTCGGCTTTATGAACGATCGTGTGCCGTGAGTGATTGCTTGAGGCCTCTGTATAAACTGTCCCTGCGTGGATTCGGATTCTTGGCCAGAGGATTCGGAATAGGTCAGGTGCTGGACAGTGTGAATAACTAAGCCAGCGATGAGACATTCTTGGCTCGACTGAGTAGGCAGTTTGGCTGAATCTTGTGTCTGCGAAAAGGATCTGAATGCGCCCGCTCGTGGCTGGACGTGTCAAGGCCTTTGTCTGCCCGCACCAAATATGTGGCGCTGGCAGCGCTGCCTGAGAGACCGTAGCCACAATGACCTCTCGTCCGCCGACCTGTTCATGCGCGACGTCTTGAGATTCCAGCTCTTTCTCTGCACTTCTCATTCCGAATTCGGAAGATTACGCAGCTGCTCGGGATGCTCGTGGGCAGGTCGGGAGGACTGGCGTGAACTCTTGTCAGATTCGGAATTGAGGCGCGTGCGTGGTTCTCCGAATTCTCCAATCGTCCCGCCCAGTATATAGGTCAAGACCTGCCGTTCACTGCCGCGACGATACACTCTTCGTGTTATCGACGCTCTCGTTCTCGACGATGTTTTCGCTCTCTCAAAAGTCTGCCCTCCGCACCACCACCTTCCGAAGGTGCCGCCTGACGGTTCCACGCCACTTGCACAGTTCTGCCACGCTCCCGCGCACTCGGTCAATTGTGCGACCCAACCAAGCTAACGCCTTGCGTCTGATCTCGACTAATACACCTCTGCGTTCACCAATTGCCATCCCTCATGTCCCGACAGTACCGCCTGCCGAGCCGTGGAGGCGGCACATGAGTCCGGAAGAAAGCACTCCCACTGTATACACATTCTTTGAGAGGGCGACTTCTACATGGCAGTACATTATTGTGGATCCTCACACTTCCGACGCGGTCGTTATCGACCCTGTCCTCGACTATGACGCCAGCTCGGGATCTGTCACGACGGAGACTGCTGACGGCCTCCTATCATTTATTCACCACAACAAACTAACTATTCATCGTATCCTGTACGTGTTGCTGCATTTTCATGTCTACCGCGTTACTTATCCATACACGGCCCGACCCAGCGAGACGCACGCGCATGCGGACCATCTGACTGCCGCTCAATACTTCAAACATCAACTCGGTGGGCAAATACCCGTCTGTATTGGGCAGCGAATTGGCCAGGTGCAGAAGACATTCGCACCTAAATATGGATTCGACGATCCCTCTGTCTTCGAGAACACATTCGACTGCTTCTTCAAGGACGACGAGCAGTTCGGCCTTGGCAAGCTGTCCTGCCGCGTCATGCACTTGCCCGGCCACACACCGGATCATGTAGGCTACCTCATCGGCAAGGCGGTCTTCACCGGGGATTCGATCTTCAACGTACGTAGTGGCCTTCATTCTGCCTCTTTCATGACCGTTCAATGCTTACGCGTGTTTTCAGCCCGACGTTGGCTCTGCCCGTGCAGATTTCCCTGGCGGCAATGCAGAAGATCTCTACGCGGTATGTGTCAAATCCCATGGCTATGACAATGAAATCACTATTCACAGCTCTGTCTTAGTCCATGCGACGCCTGCTCTCCCTCCCCCCCGATTACCGCCTCTTCGTGGGCCACGACTACCCGCAGGACCGCGACCAAACCTGTTGGTCGACAGTCGAGGAGCAACGCGAGCGCAACAAGCACCTAAAGGTCGGCACCGACGCGGAGATGTTTATTGAGTGGCGCAAGCAGCGCGATGCAGTGCTTGGTGCGCCACGCTTGCTGCACCCATCGCTGCAGGTAAACATCCGTGCGGGTAAGCTGCCGCCGAAGGATGAGAAGGGCAGGATATTCTTCAAGATACCGATTACGTCCACGGTTGACGTGTGATGAGAGGAGAGTGTCGTTACAAAAATATGTTTCCCGAAGTAGTTGAAAGACAAAGGAGCGAATGGCCAATCGCGAGCGTGTTTGGCCAGATACCCGCCTTTAACGTACCGCTCAATGCACTGCTCATACCGCCGTAGACGCTCGGGGCCCCGTCACGGCAGAAGTCTGAGAATTCTTGTCCTCATGCTGAGATACGGGCCTCGAGACTTAATTACGATGCTGCCTCATACATAAAAGGCCTGGGACCGTCGATGACCGGCTTCCCATTGCCTTCATCCTCCTCAGCGCCCGCTTGGATCACACTGTCATGCTGCATCAGCTGCTCAGGAGGTCTTCATGTTTTGAATACAAAGCGACTCCTAAGAACAGCGGCGCCGGCCGAACATCTGCTTGTTTCGTACCTGGTTGTCTGAGGACAAGGAGGCGATACGCCCAAGCGCGATTCATCTCGTCTGTTCCTGGGATCGATGTGATTGCAGTCCTTTCCGTTCCACAATGTCACCAGTGTTGATCACTCCTTGTATGGTAGCCTTCCCGCGTTCAAGTGGAACTGACCCAGCATCCTAAGCCGCATCCAAACCTGGCAGATCTGCCGTTTGGGAGAGTGTTTGTAAGTTGTAATGGATCAGCTCCAAGTCAAAGGACATACCAACTTGATAGACGGAGCACATGTTGACCATACCCTGGAGTGCGCTCACGGGATGGGGCACGCCCCAGATTTATCCATGTAAGTCCGATTCGGATTGTCGAGGAGCAGCTGAGAATGTCTTCTTCAGATCAGGAGCTATCGATCAATCCTGCAGCGACCGTCCTGCATTTCGCGCACTGTTTGTTTGAGGCGTTCAAAGCTTACAGGGATCCTTCTGGAAGGGTTCTGCTCTTCAGACCAGACATGAACATGAAGCGCATGAATAGTAGCGCGGCACGTCTCACCATGCCGGTGCGTGAACTGCTGAACGTGTATGAGAAACCGATTTACGGCATCGTTTCCTGATGTACAGACGTTTGATGGCGAAGCGCTGCTTGAGCTGATCAAGCGGCTGGTCCATCTCGAGAAGGATTGGATACCTACAGAGCCAGGATATAGTTTGTACGTTCGCCCGTCAATGAGTAAGAGTCGTCCTGATCCTTCCTGCCGCTGACGACCAATGACACCTGTAATTAATGTTGCAGTCGGCACTGAACCTACCCTCGTTGTGAAACCCCCGAACGAAGTACTGCTTATGGTGATATGCAGTCCCGTAGGGCCGTATTACCCGCAAGGCTTCAAGCCTGTGTCATTGTACGCAACAGCGGAATACGTCCGAGCATCTCCTGGCGGTAGCAATGCCTGCTGTTGGACGTCGCGTAAACGAGTCTAATTTTACCGTCAGGTGTCGGCGCATATAAACTTGGAGCAAACTACGCACAGTCTCTGTACGCTCAGAAAGAGGCCGAGAAGCTTGGATATGCTCAGGTTTTGTGGCTGCGTGGCCCCGAGCATTACATTACGGAGGTATGCCAGCATGCTCCATAAGAAATCAGCGCCGGCCACTTCTCTGCTTCGGTAATTGAACCGCGATCTTGCAGGTGGGCACCATGAACGCGTTCGCGGCCTTCAAGCATCCAGACGGAGGTTCGTTCCATGTTACGCTTGCTCGCGACCAGGGCCCAGCAGTTAAGCGATCCATTCGAAAGTAGCGGTTGAGCTCGCCACGCCTCCCCTGGATAGTGGCTTGATCCTTCCGGGAGTGACGCGCGATTCGGTCCTAACCCTCGCACGAGATCATGCTTCGGGCAAGGCGAAGATTGAAAACCTGCCGGATCAGCTCGTGGTAGCCGAGCGTCACATCCTGATGAAGGAAGTCGCGGAAGCGGTGAAGGCAGGCACTCTAGTGGAGTTCTTCGGTACAGGCGAGTACGGGTTGATATGTACGTGCCTTTTCACCATTTATGATTGTGAGTCCAGGCACGGCTTCCGTGGTCACTCCGGTGGAAAGGATCAACTACCTTGGCGAGGACATCACTTTACCTGTCGGATCTGATGGAATGGGACCGGTGTCTCGTCCACTCTGGCACCAGTTGATAGGTATACAGACCGGGAAGACTTCTCACCCGTGGAGCATAGTGGTTTGAGAATATCGAGGAGACTATAGGTGGCTTTGTTACTGAGGGTCTGACTGTGTAGAAGAAGCGTCCTGCCGTCACATCATCACAGGATCGGAAAGCCTGCGTTTGATAACCGGAGGTCCGATGACGGATCGTGCCAGCTGCGAGACTGGTGCAAGGACAAACCAACGATGTGTTGCATTGCAAGCGATCACGGCGACACCAGCGTGCCCCAAATTTGCATCCAGGGCGGCCTCTGATCAGCATCACTATCCCCCTATGGTCTGGTTATAATAAGTCAGTGGTCAAGAGAGTGATATAATTGATTCTCAGTAATACCCTGAGAGATATCACTCACCTTGACGCGAAGATAATACGACAGGGCACCGTTGAAACGGAAACTTCGAACTCGTGAGGCGCATGGAAGAGGCCTTGCTCATGCTGCGACTGCGTTTGAGACCATCTGTAATGAACACTCAGCACGCCATTCATGCATGCGATCGGCAAAAGCATAAGTTGTACAACTCGGATCTGAGTCGTCTCTTGTCAGCTGACTCTGCAATTCATAACCGATAGGACATCGCTTCGCGAGCTCGCCTGCTTGCTGCCCGTCAGTCCTGCAGCGATGTCTGGCACTTCGCGCACTGTCTGTTTGTGGGAACCAAGTGCCCGCTGTGTTATGTTCAGACAGTCCCTTCGTGAAAGGCCCTTCGACGATTCTGTCAATTGATCCGTAGACGTTCAATGGAGATGCGCATCTGGAGCTGGTCAAGTAGATACTGAATATAGACTGTGTACTTGCTTTGGCGGGCTATTGATAGGACCGTAATTAATGTCCTCCAGGCTTCAATCACGCGCCTCTATGGCACGACAGAACATGTGCACACTGGGTCTGATGGTAAGACTACCTGACATCATGTACCAGTGGATTGACTCACTTCTTTCGTCTTCCGGTAGCGGCACGTTCAAGCTAGGTCCTAAATACAACCCAATGGTGTATGCGCAGAAAGGCTATGATTAAATCTTGCGGTTACTCGGCCCCGAGTATCACGTCACAGAAGTGAGAGTGCCGCCCATCACGATAAGAATACACCAAGTCTCCATACGGACTCGTTCATTCATGAATGATCTCGCAGGTCGGCACGATGAACGTATTTGTAGTCTTCGAGCGTCCCGATGATGACTCCACGCAACTCCACTCAATTTCCGTCTCCTCACTGTAAGCCTTCTGAAAATAACCATCAGACTCGCCGCATTAGAATTGATTAGCTTGATCCTTCCGGGCGTGGCACGCAACTCTGTGTTGACATTGGAACACACGTCCAGGGAAGGCCAGCATCCCAACTTGCTGCAGAAGGTGATCGTCCCCTCGCGCTCAATCACGACGCAGGAAGTCAGCGAAGTAGCGAAGTCGAAGACGTTAGCAGAATTTTGAACCGGTTTATTGGCGTCCATACAGCACCCATGGCCATGGAATGCTGTCATGTGAGCGGAAAGTGCGGGGAGGTAACCGGCAGTACACGATATCGTTTGGGGTATGACGACGGAAGTGATCTACGTGCAGATCGTTTTCAGGGTCTTGCCTATGAAACTGTTAACGCAATGCAGAAAGTGAGGCAGATAAATATAGCCCACAAACTGTTAATGCGTTCCAGACGTACCTCCAGAAAGAAATTCCATCACAGTTCAAGCTCTTGGTCCCTCTTTAGGACACTCCATCGCAAGTTTCGGGGGATATTGGACGACAACTTAGAGTTCCGAACGTGTGGTGGCCACAAAGCATCGCAGAAGAGATGCACCGTTTGCTACATTGATGACGATCTTGCAGTGCGCCTTGTGCTGCGAGAGAGACAATTGATAGATATCATTACACAACACGTCGCGGTGACTGTAATCAGAATGCAGGCGAACAACGCGTTTTCGGTCTGCTCGGCTGCGGAAGCGCTTCGATGCACACGAACATCGCCACGAAGGCCATGTCACCAGAGATGCTCGTGTCCTCCACTGCATCAAACGAAGACGTAGATGGCGTGCACGCGGGAGCAGGGAATGCATGCGGCGGTCCAGATGAAGGTGCATGCAAGCGAGAGCTAACCTGGAGCTAACGGCAGCGAAGGCGAAGGCGACATCATGTGACCGCGTGTCGTTCGCATATTAAAGCGAACTCGCGAAGGCAACTCGAGGGCAACAACCATCCCACCCTCCCTACCCCCACTCCCTTCTGACCGCCCCTCCCGCCATGCCTAACATCTTTCCATTCCGCTCTCGATATCCAGCGGCACAGAAGAGTGAGGCAGTGAGCGGACCGCCTGCTAGCGCACCAGCACCTCAGAGTGCAGATGTACCTGCCACTGAAGCGCATCCCGAGACACATGAAGCCAAGGGTGCTGCCACGGACGCCTCTGCGGACGCACCTGAACCTACAGACAGCTCTGCTCCTGCGGCAAGTCCTGCCGACGAACACCCTCCGGAGACAAAGCCCGCGGAGAACGCGCCCAGACGTTTCTCGTGGATGCCGTTCAGCCGGACCAACAGCGGGGACGCCAAGCATGTCTTGCATGAGCAAGAGAAGAAGCCTGCGGCTGAGCAGGCAGCATCTCGCCCCCTTCTGGTGCGCACACGCTCGGAGAAGCAAGCACAACAATGTGCTCTGTTCCTGCGTGAGCTCATCGTCGGCCCTTCGTCCAATAATATAAGCAAGGCTAAGCCAAAGACAAAGTCCCATGCAGAATTGGAGAAGGCAAAGGCGCAATTAGCCAACCAGAAGACTGCAAACAAGGTGATTGCGCAGCTCCGGCAGCTGTCGTCGTCGGACGAGCCAGTAGTTGTGGGGATGGGTCCCAATGGAGAAATGCTGACCGCTCTTCCCAAGGGGCCCATCCATGCTGTGTGTCTGCCATATACCGACGCGGAGGCACACGAGCGTCACTTCCGCCGGCTCGAGAAGGACAATGCGACGGCAACCGGAGCTGTGAATCACACCCAAGGTGCGACGACGGCGACGACTACCACCGTGCACTTTGAGTCGACGACAACGGAGATCGTCAGCGTTGCGAATGCCTCTATCACCACGCTCAAGATGGTGTTTTCGGAGATGAACCTCGTCAGCCTGATCACCACGCCTGACCTGGGCCTGGGTGGACCTCCGGACGGTCCTGGAATATTGAGCGGCGCCCTACCTACACCACAGGCGATCCTGGATGGCGTAGAAAAGGTTACGCCTCAGCTTCTGGCGCTCGGGTATGCTACAGGAAAGGCCGTGCTGCCTGATCATGCAGGTATGCAACAGATTCGACTCGTTGACTCTCATACGCAGCGCATTCTTCATGGTTTATGACCGTATTGTTAGGCATATATCCTCCCAAAGATCGTATGTCGGCCATCACATGTGCGTTTTACAGCGTGTTTGTCGAGCTTGCGATGTACTGATTTTTCGTCAGACTGGTGGGGATTCGAGATCGTGTTGCCACAGCCCTCCCTGCGATACCTTGAGGTTCGTCGTATCGACGACTGTGATAATAAATGATTTGGCTAAACTAATATGACACGACTCTACAGAACGTACCTTCCATTACACACTCAGTCATCAACTTCCTGACAGCCCTTTCTGTCGTTGATGGTGGAGTGCGTGAGATCATACCATTCGTCCGGTACATATCCTCCTTCATCGACACAGAGTTCAACATGATCAAGTCGGAAGATAAGGGCGACGGTGTCGTCTGTGCCGCCACGTGGTACGCAACTGACCTTGCATGGATCATGAGCACAAGTTGACGTTTCCGTAGGATAATGCCCGCCGCACTTGTTCCCCGTCCCTGGGACTTCCCGCAACCACCTCCCAGAACCCCGTCAGCGCCGACTGCAGCAACCTCTGCTGAAGGAGAGAAGGGTACAACGGAGCAGAAGTCAGCTGCTCCCAGTGACGCCGCATCGGCCGCACCTGCTACGGCGCCCAATGCAGCCCCTGTATCCGTGACCCCAGGCGATGCGCCTGCAGCTAGCAATCCAGCGCCCACGGAGACCGCACCGAAGGTCGAGGTGACGCCTCCAACGCCTGCTATTGCAGAAGCTGACATTTCTGCCCCTGTAACGATAACCGCTGCATGACGGCTCCACCGTCGTCTTCCTTGTACACATCGGACAGCTAGATACCACTTCTCGCATTTCGGATTGTATGTATAATATACCTTCTCAAAGCCAGTAGCTACCATTCTTGTCCCGCCTCGCATTTCGTTCTCGTCGTCATAGCTCGCATCGTATACGCCATTCTATTATGACCGCTCAGGACTCTCTCCATACCTCGCGCCCGTGATACCTGACATCTTGTTACAGTAGAAACATGACACCCTCACGATACTTTCCTTGTTGCCGAATGTATACGCCATTGTCTTGATGCCATCGCGCCCTCGTTCACGTTAAGATATATCGATTACAACATTACCATGGTAGGTATATCCAGCAGTGTCGCGGCTCGCGTTGATCGTTACAATCACATCCAAACAACGTTCTCGTACATCCCTTCTACTGAATCCTGACCTCAGAATCGGGCTCTGTAAAGGTTCGATAGCAGGCCCATGAGGTCAAGATCGACACTGCAAAGCCGGGTTCTACTGACCAATGTAGTCGATAACACCGCCCTGAAGCGATTGCAGCTGGGTAAGGAATGAATCCGGGATGGTAGCAGCAAATCCCTGAGAACATGATGAGCGTCAACGTTGGGGTTGCAGAAGCTGTATTGCCTCACGTTCAGGAGAGAATTGAAGCGCTTGCTAACTTCACCGCCTGGCGCAGATACGGCATGATCAGCGATCAACCATCAACTTCGAATACCCAAACAGACCAGACATACCATTACTGTTCACCTGGTTAACATACTCATCGATCTGCGACGCGCTGACGCTGTCCTTGAAGACGACGATGTACTCTGCGATCAAGCGTAGATGCGGTCAGCACTCCCCGCGCACACTCTCAAGAAAGCATAGAGAACTCACTTCCGGACATGATAGGATGTGGTGTTGATGTAGAGGTTGCGCGAAGGTGATACGAGGAAGGAAGAGAGATGAGATCCGGAGTGCACAGTCAAGTGCGTGTTATAAAGGCTCTCCGCCACAACATGCGGATAAGGAAGGAGGCCGAGCGCCATGCGCCACAGGTGCGGTTCGCGTGCGCACGTGCGACGCGCGCGGCGCGCGCAAACAAGCGCCCATCACTAGGTCTTCGTCTCCGCGCGCTGACTCTTGACTCATACATGAAACACTCTTGGTCGATTCGTTGATATTCTCGTTGGAGCTTAGGCAACGCGTTTATCTGTCCGGCGCGGCAGTGTAGCCTGTGTGTGCTGCTAAGTAGTTCTTAGCGATCTGCTCCTTCATCCAGCGTTTGTTAACAAGATGCCAGTGACACGCTCTGCAAGTGGGAGCGACAGCGAGGAAGGCAGCTGGGAACACTGCTCATCCTATTGCGTATTCTGATTCCCAGACTTTCTGTTGAAAGCAGACGTCAGACAAGGATATCTGGAGCCCGCGGAGGTTGAAGGGATTGTCTCATCTGCCTACGGGAGACTACGGGCATCTTTGTTTCATAAGCTCGCTCAGTGTTGCGCTCGTTGACTCTATGTGCTGTCATCGACTGACGCGCGACGCTTTCCTCCACGATGACCGATGTCGAGGTTTTCCCTGCACTCGTTGAAGGGGCCACGCTCCGCATCGTGCTGCGCCCCAGTGCACCATCCTCGACCGAGGACGGAGTCTCCTTATGTGCCCGCGTCACCCACACCTACAGCCCCTTTACCATGTCTCCCGTCCTTCGTGTTTCCATCGATCCCTTACGGCCTTCGGCCCTTCCACCTTCCTCGTCACCCTTCCCCACTGAGGCGATCCTCAAACTCTACGACCGACGCTGTCTCACCAACACCCGCGTCGATTACGACGACGGCCGTCCCTGGAGCCTCGATGAGGAGCGTGAACACTGGCAATATCTTGTCGAAGTCGAGCGAGGCGCAGCCAAAGTGGGCGACTTCGCGAGCCCGACATACATGTGGGACAACGACGTCTCCGACGGCGCATTCGAAGCATACCTTGCGTACACCGCGCCCGCGATGTTTGCTGCCGAGCGCGCAGCGTATGAATGCCTAAATGAACTCCAAGGGAAGGAGATTCCGCGGTTGTACGGCGTCGTCGAATGGGAGGTGTCCATCGACCTTGGCGAGCAAGATGATGGCGCAGTGACCGAGGTCGTGCCCGGGATACTGATCGAGTATGTGTCGGGGCTGACGCTCAGGCAGCTCGTGCAGACGTGGCCCCGTCGCACGCCCACCCTGTCGAACGTGCTGTTGGCGCATCTATGCGACAGAGCCGTCGCCGTTGTCGACCATATGTCCGACTTTGACGTGCTCAACGAGGACGTTCGGCTCGATAACTTCCTCATCCGCGAGCCATTCGTCCGCCCTTCCTCTGTCCGCTCCTCCTCGTCCTCTGACATTCCGGCCCCGGATGATGATGTGCACCCGGAGTTGGAGTTGGTAGAGTATCCAGTGGTACTGGTTGATCTTGCGCAGTGCAGGCTCCGCTGCGCGGAGGAGGACGAAGACGCGTGGGTCGCGGCCAAGTGGTCTCAGGACGAGACCGGCGCGGTCGGGTTTGTGTTGCTCAGCTTGGTGCAGGAGTGTGTGGGCAAGGACGTGTGGTCGTTCAAGAGAAGCTTGCGGTACTATCGACCTTTGGAAGGCTAGAGCTCAGACTGTACCATATATGCGCGGATACGATCGCATTTATGCGTGGCCCACGGGAGACCCGTATCACCATTTTTGAGCATCTAATATGCGAGCGAAGGGTCAAACCTGACGCTTCTAGTTTGTCAAACGCATATGCGACTGCAGCACTTCATCTCACATACATACCGTGTTTTGGCCCTCGCCGGCCGAGCGCCATGCGCCACAGGTCACAAGCCACAAGTGCGGGATGCACGTGCATCGCGTCGCGTCGCGAAACGTACACAAGCGCCCATCGCTGAGTACTTTGGTACTCCAGCGGGCGGGGACTCTCCGCCCGCGGCTGACTCGTACATAAACCATCCTCGGTCGAATTGTTGGTATCCTTGCTGTAACCTCTGCGACGCATTTATCTGTAAAGCGCAGCAGTGTAGCCTGTGCATGCTGCGAGCAGTTCTGAGCCATCTGCACCATCATCATCCTGCGTTTATTAACAAGATGCCAATCACACGTTCTGCAAGCGGAGCGACAGCGAGGAAGACAGCTTGGAATACTGCTCAACCTACTGCATTTTCTGAGCCGACGAAGGGCTCCAAGAGGAAGTCTTCTAGCACCAAGGGAGCACAGACACCGAGAAAGAAAGCAAAGTCGGAGGATGCGGTGATCGCAAGTGGGACTATTGCTGCATTGACACCGATACCTGCAGCAGGAGATGAACAGGCACTCGTACCCGCGGTGCTAACGTTCTCGTTTGAGCATGCCAAAGAACATCTCATCCGCGTGGACAGACGGTTCGAGGATGTATTCCAGAGACTGAAATGCAAGCCATTCGAGCATTTGGAGCGCGTCGACCCGTTTCGGTGTGTAGCTACTTCTTACAGCCTCATCGGAACATAACAATGACGACGCTTGATGCCAACAGTACGCTGGCGCACTCGATCATGTACGAGCACGGATAGGCATCCGTATGGGCGTCGCTTACGCTGTGTTGAATCAAAGGGGCCAGCAGATCTCTTGGATGGCCGCGCGCTCGATCACCCACCGGTTTATCAGACTGTTCGATCCTTCTCTGCCAGAGAAGCCCCAAGATCACTCACAGTCAGCCTTGCGTTTCTGATTTATCGACTCAGTATCTGAATAACGTTCCACTCAGCGCCACCGCCTTCTTCCCAACAGCACATCAGGTTGCGAGCATGGACGTTGCCACACTGCGAACGGCAGGCCTGAGCGGGAGGAAGGCTGAGTATGGTTGGTGTGGTGCAGCTTGAGCGAGGATGTCCATAGTCTGATTGTGCATCCAGTTCTTGACCTTGCCTCAAGGTTTGCAGATGGCCGCCTCTCCACCGCAAAGCTGCTTGAGGCAGATGACGAGGAGCTACACAGCATGCTGACGGAGGTTAGGGGAATAGGACGGGTGAGCTTCAATGAGTATAGACCTCGGAGTGCTACTAACGGTACGTTATATGCGCAGTGGACAGGTCAGCCGTTCGAGTAATTGCGGCCCCAACTGGAGCTGACCAAGGCGGATACAGTTGATATGTTTGCCATATTCTCTCTTCGGCGTCCGGATATACTTCCAGTCGGTAAGCACAATGGTTGTGTGGAGAAACTTTCACTTGCTGATTATCCGCAGGTGACTTGGGCGTACAGCGTGGGGTACTGCGCTGGTTCCTGTCCCTTCACGCGCCTTCGACTTTGGCCTTGACCATATCTCCCGCTAAGCTTCCAAAGAATCCTGAGGAAGAAGAGCCCAACGAGAGTGTAGATGCTCTTGTTGTAAATGGTGATGCCTCGACGAGCAATGACCTGCGACATACCACGCCGGACATATCCGCGGTGCCGCCTGCACCCACCGCCCTCCCTGTTACTCCAGTGAAGAAAAATAATGGCAAGGGCAAGAATCGGGGGCCGGCAGATGCTGACGAGGTGGATTCTGTGCTGCCAGCGCCGTTCACGCCGTCTATCAACAGGGTTTTGAACATGAATGCTTACGGCAACGGTGCTGCAGGTGCTGCGGCTCCGCCCTCGCCTTTGCCTGATGGACTGACCCCGGCGATCATGAAAAGCCGTTTGGACGGAAAGAAGAAAATCAAGTGAGGAAGTGCCGATGTACATGTTTGTGCGGGCTAATCGTGATCTCTTGCGGGTGATTGCTAGAGGTGCTCTGCTGACCCCGAAAGAGATGGAGGAACTGACTGCAGGTTGGAGACCATACCGTAGTCTTGGTACGTTGCAGTGCCGCTGTGTATGTGCTGTAGCCTGAATTCACAGTTAAATTCGCAGGCGTGTACTACATGTGGGCTCTGGCGGAAGCACCGAATTGATGGTCACGCTCGGAGCGGCGCTTCAAGGTACCGGAGACTGCTTCCGTGTGTACAGACGAACGTATGACCGGAAAGCTTTACGTTTAGCAATGTAAAGTTTTTCTGGCAAAGTCCCACCGCGGCAGAGATGCGGATGAGGGTGCCTGCAATGCGGTAGGCGCGCGGTGTTTGCTGTCCGAGAGAGGAAAGCGGACTCGCAGAAGTGGCAGGGAGATCCACCAAGTCAAGCCGTGCGCAGTGTTGCCCCTTACCTCTCATTCAATTGATCATTACATTTGTGTTCCAAACATGCTCCCGCGATGCCAACATGTTGGATATTCGGTGTTGAATTTTCGTCGTCACGAAAGTGCTGAGTGCCGCTCGGTGAATGCCGACTGGGAAGATCTACTGAGATCTATCGAGATCTCGTGGCCACGATCGCAGAATCGCGCTCTTTTGCGCCTTCTGATGGCCACCCATTCAACAGTGGCCGCTCTCAGCCTCCGAGCCATGTCGCCTGCTTGATTTCCAGCGGGAGCATAGAGACCTGAACACATGGTGGGTCTCCGTGGTTTCATCGGGGTCGACCGATCGTGTCATTGTCAAGCTGTCAGGAATTAATTGTTGGCGGTGGTCAGTTACAGGTCAATCACTCGCACATGCCTTCTTTTGACTGTTCACCACTGGAAATACTCCTGGTGACCGTCACGGTGTCAAGGGTGTTACGTTGGCAGTTCTGTCAGAGCTATCCAATTGAGGCAGCGTGTCGGGTGAGCCGTCGAACTGTACTGAATTACGCTTGCCTTGTGCGTGGTGCCGTGCACCATTGACTTATAACTCCGTGCTTCATGTATCCGCCTATGCGCCTCCCAGAGCCGGGGCCACGCACAAATGGCGAGTGTCAGGGAGACACACTGGCCAGGGAGTGGCAGCATGCCACATGCATGGCTGTGCCATCGATCGTGACGTCCGCTGCGTGCCACTAGCCAACCTCAGATCGACGCTATGGCAGCATTCTCGGCAACGGCGCGTGTGCCGTCCCACGTTGAACCGATATATAGTACCGCCGACGTTGCAACCACTCTCAACGCTCCCGCCCACCAGCGCCCTGCGTACTCGCGATCCCCCCGCCTCGTCGCTGGTTTGCTACGGCGTGTAGCTCTCGCAGCGGCCCACGATGTCTTCATCTGTTCCTCCTCTCCATGTTCAAATCACCGCGCCGTCCTCTTTTGGCTTCCTCTCTCCGCCCATCGACACCGGCGACGCGTCTTCAGACGATGGCGACACACTTCAGACTCCACTCACGGAGCACGATGAACACAGAGACGCGTACAATGTCTACCAGGAGGGCCAGCATGGTTTCTCCCCTGACATGCTGACGTCTTTCTTGTCGAAGCAGCAAGAGGATGCTCTGCTCGGCGGGACCACGTCACACGATCTCAACGCGCCCACTCTCTCACATTTTCCTCCATTCTCCTCTCTGTCTGCACCTTCCGCATCACAGGCCTCGCGAAATCTGCAACAAGATTGCCTCTTCTCCTTATCATCGCCGTCTCAAGCGTTGGATCTGGCTAACGCATCACTCGAGATCACTTTCGCCAGTAATGAATTTATGAATCGAAGCCTTGATCCGAGCACATCCTCCTTCACATCGGCTAAGGAATCATTTAACCTGTCTATGCCGCCTATCTACTCTTCTTCTCCTAATGATCCCTCTTCATCCTCCTGGTCCGATCTTCTGGGGCCTTTGCCCTCTCTGTCATTTGATTCTCTTGCGGAATCAAGCGCAAGTTCATCTATAGAGAACATACCTTCTCTTCTCTCTCCTAATGCCTTAATTCCACGCTCGAGCGAGTCCGAAAACATCCTTGCCGCGAGAGGCCGCATGTACTCTCCGCGATTCCCGGCGGAACATACACTTAACCAGTTCTTCGTGCGCACATACTGTCTAGGAGACGAGCTTGGTGCCGGCGGGTATGGCTTCGTCATGACTGCTCGGCACCGTACGGAAGGACATGAGGTCGCCGTGAAATTTATCATCAAAGAGAAGGTGCCTGACCATGCGTGGTGGGAGGACGAGGCGTTTGGACGTATACCTACGGAAGTGATGTTGCTGAGCCTTGTAGACCACCCGAACGTCGTGAAATGTTTGGATCTCTACGAGGATGAGGTATATTTCTATATGGTGAGTTGGCTCCATTAACTACGGAGAGCAAGTTGATAAAATATTTCCATAGGTTCAAGAACTGCACGGAACTCCCTGGGAATCCAGAAAGAAGAAGAAATCGAATATCACCGCTCCGGGCAAGCTCGTCGCCCCGACATCTACTCCTTCCTTGACACCTTCCCCTTCGTATGAATCCACGACTGACTCTGTGCCACCTACACCGCCTTCAGTTCCTGTGGAAGATGCCGACGCCCTTTCTACCACATGTGAAACATCAGAAGCAGCGCAGGATGCTGCTCACATCACCCGCTCCGAAATTCCGCATATCGCGCTACCATCCCTCGAGCTTTCTGCTGCCGAGGCGGCAACGGGGAAGACGCAGAACCAGATCACGTTGCAACCTCTGCTTCCTGTCTCCGTACCGGTGCGTCCGAACTTCTCGCGGCGAGCATCGCACGATTTGTTCGAGTGTATCGAGCAAAGCAAGCACAAGCGGCTGTCGGAGAACCAAGCCCGCTACATTTTTGCGCAAGTCGTGGAGGCCGTGTATTATCTGGACAGCCAGGGAATCACGCATTGCGACATCAAAGACGAAAACTTGCTCGTGGATAGTGATCTCAAAGTGAGCTTCTATGCAATCGCATGATATACGATCTGAGCTGACCGTCGTTTCCCATAGGTGAAGCTAATCGATTTCGGCAGCGCCGTCGTCGCGGATCCTTCGCTTCCTCGTCCGCACTACACTCTTTTCTTCGGTACGACTGCCTACGCATCCTCAGAGATCTTGCGGAAACAGCCGTATCGTGCGCCTCCCGCGGAAATCTGGACGCTTGGTGTCCTTCTGTCATATCTCCTCACTGGGCATTCACCGTTTGCTACCGAGCAGGACGCGATCGACGGACGCGTCCTACTGCGTGAGCCGAGCTCCGGGCGCCTCAGTCGTGCGGCGGTGACACTGATCGGGAGGTGTTTGGAGCGTGACCCTGAGCGACGCGCAGACATTGAGGAGGTGCGTGGCCATCGCTGGCTGCAGGGCGCCCTGGAGAGGGACGCGCGGGAGTAGACGGTTTGTCTTTGATTCTGCGTTCGTCCCTTGCATGTCCTGAAAACTCTCCTTTCTGTCCTTCTGTTCTCATCCGCGCTTGCATGGGGTTTTGTGCATGTTGCGGTTTTTCTCCCGGCTTAGCGTCACCGTACTTCCTCTTCCATCCCTCGGGGTTTTTTCACCGCATACTTGATCTTTTCCCCATTTTGTGCATTAGCTCCGTCACCACTTCGGCAAACTTCCCCCGCATTACTTTCCTATATCATGTTTTAACTCTTACATGTCACAAGCAATCGGAATGTAGAAATGAATGCATTGTATCAGACTTGGCTTGACGGATCGCGGTAGATCAGGCGCAATGTATCTGCATACTGGGCTATCGGCCTGCCGCTCCCTTCATGCGAAACCACGAGACCACATCTGTCCTTGGCTTGTGACTTGGGGTCGATGTTGCTGATGTGGACCAGCGCAACCGTGGGCGCAACGGCTAGCTTCTCGCTGCCTCCAAGTGCTCTCTCGTATCGATCTCCACTGGTTCCTTGGGAAACGCAGTCGACGCCATGGGAACAGGTATCGGAGAAATAGGCACGCATGCTCCTCATGGAGGGAGATGATTGCGCAGCTTGGCGGGCTTTGTGACCGCCGGTAATCACGGCCAAGGTGGTGGTACTTTGACTTAGCCGGGGCTAGTGTCATTCAGAGCGCTTGGAAGAATGATTGAAGACGATGTAGAGTAGTCACAGGTTGGTCTGTCGGCCCACCGCAGCGGTGATGATAGTAATGAGGCTGGAGCATGAGGACGACCCTCACACTAATGGCTTGTACGTATTGTGCAAATCTGAGCATGCACAGGCAGTATTCCGGCGGTAATAAATAGCGGGCGTGTTGCTCCTAGAATGATTCCAGCATATTTAGAGCGCTGTAACCCCAGGAAGACAGCAGATGAATAGACTCCACGAGCACAATATAAGCGGAGATAATTTGAGCGTCTCTTCATTGTCTGTCCATATGGGCAGATATGGGCGGTCTCGCGATATTGAAAGCCCAGAACGATCGCCAAGTTGCTTGAGAGAGCATCCAGATAGATGGTGGAAGGTCAGCCGGACGGATCACTGTTTCACCTAGCTGCCCTAAGGTGAGAAGAAGCATGACATAGCGTGTGCGGAAGATACCACGGCCACTGAGACGATAATTAGCCACCAGGTTGCATGGGCACGGGACGTTCGTGCTCCCTCCGTCGAAACCGATGCAAAGATATGCCGCTAACAGGCTGCTGCGAGGAGCCGCTACAGTGAAGCGCCGGTGCCACCCGGGAAGGGCCGACCTTCAGCCAATCGCAGTGCGCGCGTATGTGACCATCTGCTCATCGTTCAGCTCGTCCTCCTCGTACCCTCCTCTTGATCATCATGTCGCTTGCTATTTCTACCTCAGCGTGTACGCGTGCTGGCCTTCTGCCAGAATGTGTATCAATTTCTAACCATTCTTTCTTGATGTAGTAGTCAGTGCAGGACGACGCACAGCGTTGCGCCCCCAGGTCGGTGTCTACGGTATGTTATGAATCCCACCTACTCCTATTTACTGTGTGTTGAACGATAAATCGTGTGTAGGGCTGACAGCGCGAGCGCTGCATAATTCGACCCCTGCACCACCACCAGGGCCCATCCCCACGTCCTCTACCGACCCCTTGAACCCCATCACGCAGATCGCGAAGACTGGTTCGAATCAATTGAGTTTGGAGACTCCGCAGAACAGGGCTGGTGAGTTTTGCTCGCAAGGGATCTCTTTCATCTGTGACAAAGTTCTCATCACCGTCCAGAATATGTTTTGTCCACGCTGGACAAGGTTGCCAACTGGGCGCGAGAGTCGTCAATATGGCCAATGACGTTCGGTATGTATGCGCTAGTTCAGTCCAGTAGCAAGCTTTCTCATCCGGTGGTCGCATTCAGGTCTTGCATGCTGTGCTGTGGAGATGATGCACATGGCGGCAGCACGGTACGATCAGGACCGGTTGGGAGTTGTGTTCCGTGCTAGTCCTCGGCAGTCAGATATCATGATTGTCGCTGGAACGCTGACCAACAAGATGGCACCTGCACTGCGCAAAGTGTATGACCAGATGCCAGAACCCCGTGAGTGCCGTGGAAGCGTTTGCGTGAATGTGCGCTGATAGGATATTTATAGGATGGGTGATATCCATGGGATCGTGCGCAAACGGTGGAGGCTATTATCACTATTCCTACTCTGTCGTCCGCGGTTGCGATCGTACGTACACTCGTTGTTCCCCGTTGTGCATCGCTAATCCGCACGTGCAGGGATTGTTCCGGTCGATATCTACGTGCCTGGTTGCCCCCCGACTGCGGAGGCGCTTCTCTACGGCATGCTGCAGCTGCAGCGCAAGATGCGGAAAAGCAGGAAGGGCGTGCTTTGGTAAGTTTTGCTATGATGCAATTATGATGCGGAGACGGAAGCTGAACGCATTTGGATCAGGTACCGAAAGTAGCGAGCAAGCTTGACCGATTTATCTGGGTGTGGGGAGGGAATTTACCACGCGATTGCCGGTACTGCAGTACATATCATCCTCATGTGTAGCCTACAGAGTCGCGTAGAGAGTAGTACAGGACGAATGATGAGCTAGAACACGAGCGGTATGCATTGTGATCGGTCGAGGGTTCGCGGGGGCGGTGAATGCCGTGGCTAGGCGCAGGAGCTGTGAAATTCCCCAGTCACGCTCGACGGCTTCCCTCCTCCAGTTGCACGACAACCTGGGCTGCTTCCGCCCGCTCGACCCCCACCATCTGCCAGCTCTCGCTGGCGGTCTATTCTCGTCAGTCGACCAGCCAGTTCCTTCTACCACCCAGGCCTCCGATATCGCTCGCTTGCATAGTCGCTAGCTTGGGTCCCTGTTGTTCACATCGCCTTCACTGCTACGTTCTCTATCCATCGTTTCCCGCCTTCGCTTTCGTCTAATCGCCTTGCGGAGTATCACGCTGCGGGATGGCTACCGCGTTGCAGCAGCCGGCCCCTGATGCTGGTCCCGTGTTCAACGAGGTTTCGACGGCCCTGGGATCTCCGCACGTCAACGACTACCCCAGTCGTCTCTCCATCGTAGATTTGGACCTCAAGGACAATCGCTATCCCACGCTCGGCTCATCACCAAGATCCATCCCTTCCGTCAGGAAATCTGTCTTTTCATATCCGGAGCGATCCATGGATGGTGGTGTCACGGATGGCTCACGAGGGAGCTGGGTCAGCTACCCTGCGAGTGGCTCACCAAAGTCACTCGCAAACGAGAAGCTCGATGAGGTCCCTGTGGAGAAAGAGCAGCCTTTGCCGGTTACATCCCTTGCCACGAAGCAGCAGACGCAGTCATCAAACGCGGAGGGCACGTTACCGGCCAACGCTATGCCGTCTGGGGATTCCCCGCGTCTCGCCGGACGCCCTAGTCGAGAGGATCCACCTCAACGCCGCTCGTCGAAAAGTGGTTCTGCGGAGCTTCGTCGTGTCGCTGCAGAAATCGTGCAGAGCCAGCAAAACATGGGCCAACGTACCTCCAGCGTTCGACCTTTGCAAGGCCAGTTGGGCCCTATGTTGCCGCCCGCACCCCGACATCCCTCGATACCTGTAGCCGGGATAGGCGCGGGACCAAGCGGCTCCCCCGCGCTAGCCACGATTCCTATGTCGGCTACACCTTCATTCTCTCCGTCTGCTATGCAGGTCCACATCTCGCCCAAACCTCGGGCATCTGCACAGTATCCGACCTACATCACACCTCCTTCTGGCCAGGATCCATTACATGCTGCATATGCACCTCCACAGATTCCGAAGGAAGAAGTCTGCGTAGAGTGCGCTATGCGTGACCAGGACATGGCCGACGTCGATGTGACAAGCCCTGGAGCATGGGAGAGGGAAAGTGATGCAGCCTATGAAGAGCTTGTTCATAGGGAACGGGAGGAAGAGGCATCGGGTGTACCCCGCCTTCAGAGTTCGTCACGACCGCGGGCAAGAGGACAACCGTTATCGGAGGAGAACCTACGAATCTGGCTGAGCATTGTAAGTGCCATGACGATTGCGGATCAACGTGAAATTTATTGGTACTTGCGTAGAACCCGAAGGAACCGTCATCTCGACAACAGACTTTGGATGCATACGTCAGATCTCAGCGCTTGCTGCTTGAACAAGAAGCGTTGGCGCATGCTCGGGCGCTGCGCGAGTCGCGGCAGCTGGAGGACAAGATGCGCGATACATACACGCAACTGCGGCGGTCGGCATACGAGCTGAACGGAAACGCGCAGCTGACCGACGATACTGCTGGTGTGCGAATTAAGCCTCCCCGTGCGACCTCAATACCCGCATCGATCATGGTGTCCCCTGAGAATGGCAGCAGCCATAATCGTGAGGTGACGCTTTTAGAGAATGGCATGATTGTTGAGCATGTCGACGTTCGTAAAGAGGAGAGGGAAGAGCGCGCGCGCAAGCGGAAAGAGGAGAAGCGTGACAGAAGCCGTGCGCGCAAGTCGTCGCGCGGTTCTATCATCGATGTCACCTCTGTGTACTCTATGCCTCTACCTGGGCAGGGCCTCCAGTCGGACAGCGGGTATTTCTCTGGCGCCAAAGGCAGCGACTCGCGATATTCGCAGTCGTTCTCGCCACGTCCGAGCAGTATACTGACAACTGGCGACAGACCTCACATGCTTCCTCGTGCTTACTCACAGGCGTCCTTCTCTGACATGCAGAGCATTGGCTCGTCATCATCGCCGAGACGCTCCCGGTTCTTTGGCTTCAAGAATCTCACCGCTAGTTGGAGGAGCCAAGATAGTCTTGCTCCTTCGGGTAGCATGATGGATATGCAGTACGTGTCTTGTGGGTCATCTAGACAATGCTTCTGAACTGACTTGGAAAATAGCGTTGCTCTACAGCGAGAACAGCAATATATGCAGGAGCATGGGCTTGCGGAGATGAGCGCTGACACTCCGACGCTGCGTGTGGCCGAGACATGGGTGCAAGACGAAGCACCTTCCCCCATCGAGACTTCGGTGGCGACGAGTGGGCACAAGAAGAAGAATGGCCTGAAGAAGATCTGGAAGATTGTGACCGGATCATCACACAAGAATGGATGTCCTCAGAAAGGTCGTGTGCCTGCCCGGTCATTGGAAAAGCCCGAGGACGATGCACCGCTTGCGCCTCCACCACCGTTGTCGTACTTGGTTGATCGGGACCGAGGGTCAAGACGGCACGTCTCCACGCCTTCATTGCCAACCTCCATTTCACCTAACTTCATGTCTCCATATACTGCATCGCCACCTACTGCGCCATCCAGCCTTTTGCCTTCACCGACGTCATCACGTCATCCTATCAATGAGAAGGACAGTGGGAGTGACGGCCGTAAGACGAGCGGTAACCTGGACAGTGATCCGGAACATCAGGCTGGTTCTGGTGAACCTCATTCGCCTGATCAGGAACGTGGGCGGACAACGCAGAGCTCGTCAAAGACACTGTCGAGTATGACAGGGCCACTGACACCTCAATCAACACGACCACATTCCGTCGCTCTTCGCAGGGACAAGTCTCTGCCACCTTTGCCTCCCGAGTCGTCGGTAGAATTCCCCAACCACCCTAACGGTATGCCAGATGCACGGCCGCAGACGATGTTCACGTATGACCACGTGCCAATGTCGTTCTCGGGCGCAGGCCCGGAGATGCTACTTCCTCCAAATGCCCCGTTCCGCACGGCGGACCAACGGAGGCAATCATTTGGTGGCACGGGTTCAAAGCCGCATCCTGCAGTTCGCACTCTCCCTGTCAAGGGCAAGTTCCTTGGCGCTGCGGTCTCCCCTCCCTTCCTAGCCGAAGAGCGATACGGTGAGTTTGGTGCGTCGCGTCACTCTTTGGCTCAATGGGCTTCATCTCGGGGGACGCATGGCACTGCGAAGCCCCGGCCGCGACGAAGCAAGTTTGGACTGTCGTCGCTTTTCCGACGGAAGTCACACGACCTCGTGGACGAGAACAAGGAGAACGGCCACTCTGACACGGAATTTGCGTCTAACGGTATCAGGACGTCAGGCTCCGAGCGCGAAGATACCATTGCGACTGGCAACGCGTACAGTGGCGCTGGGTCGGCGAACAGCAGCCATGCTCAGAAGATGTCGATCACGTCGCGGAAGAACATTGCGGAATTGGTTGAGCAGGACCCGGAGTTCGTTGCTTACCGATACCCATCGACCGACCATCGGTTTGACTTGCGGTAGTTCCGCATTCGCTTTGCGCTTCTTTCAAATGAAGCAAAATCGGGCGACCCACTGCGCCCTTGTATAGCTTGGCCGTGTATTCGACGCCCTGCAGCTCCCTCACTAATTCTATTTCCCTCACGCTCGTTGACGCTTTTACCCTTATGCCAATTCGTTCCTCGCATCGCATCTCGTTCGAATACCGTACGGACTATCTTCTTTTTCTGATGTGACTAGGCACGATCTTGCACGCTTTTCTCGCATGGACGGTACCCTATTCCCTAATTACTCTCTCATTTACAGTTTTGGTGAGCACACTGTATGCTAGATGATGGCGGCCAATATCGCGCAAACTTCTCTGATTTGAAGCGCTCGTTTCACCCACTGCTTATACGTTGATTTCGAATGAATCTGCTTGGACAGACTGCTGCAGCACGTTCACAGGGTAGTATGGAGGTAGGTGGTCTATCTCGGCCGTATTGTGCAATGCAACGCTATTCATGATCATCTGGCGAGATGACCGATGAACTAGTGATGCGGATCGTGGCCTCAAGGTGAACGTAGCAGGGCTGCAGGACAAGACTGCTGCCAGTGTCGGTGACAGCAGCGCTCACATGACCGATGCCACTAAAACGCGACGCGCTCTCTGATCTAATCTCGCATTCTTTCTTCAGACTATCTCTCTGACCACAGGAAGACGAAATTGACCCTGCAGCATGGTAAGAAGATTCATCGACAATGTCTGCAGGCTTTTGACAAAAACAATATGTCGTAGGCACCTCGAGGGCTCTCCGCTGAAGAGAAACGCGTCAAGCTCCTCGAAATATTCCATGAGACGGTATTGATACTCAATGTTAGATACATGCCTATGACCTGACCCATTTGTACAGAAAGACTTTTTCCAGGTATGAAGCGGCAGACAGATAGGGCGAAGATTGTGAGTTGATTCCTCTCGCTCGCAGCTCAAAGAGCTCGAGAAGCTGGGCCCGAAGATGAAGGGCATTGGTATGTCGTACATCGTGCAATAAGCGACTATAAGCTGAATCGATACACCCAGTGTCACAATCTGTCAAGGAAGTGTTGCAGGGCCTCGTCGACGATGGACTCGTACAAGCGGACAAGATTGGCTCATCCAACTGTGCGTGTGGCGCACAAGGCTGCATATATGCGCATCCTACTGATTCTTGCGCGCATATCTGTGCATGTATGCGCAGTCTTCTGGAGCTTTCCCTCCCAGAGAGGTGCGATGGTCTGTCTTCTGATCTCATCCTCCTCGTGAGCCTGTGGGTGTTTACAGTGTGTGGTGAAACAGATGCAAACCCGCTTGGCTGCTGTGAGAGAGACACAAGCCGCACACAGAACGCAGCTCGCCGAGCTCCGCGCTGCGATCGACGCTGAGAAGGCTGCACGACCGGAGAGTGTGCGTCTCCTATCAGCGTGCTTGATGCGTCAGACCACGATCCATTCTGCTGACTACACGTTCATTCTTTTGGGGAATGGCAGGAGGAACGCGTGGCCTCGCTTGCGCGTCTTGCTGCGGCGAAGAAGGAGCTGAGTGAGCTCGAGGGCGAGCTGGCAAAGTACGGTGCATGCGATCCGGTGAAGGTGGAGGAGAAGAAACGCGCCGTTATGCTCGCGAAGGAAGCGGCAGTGCGCTGGACTGGTACGCAGACCCTTCGTTGCTTTGTATATCAGACTGCAGGCTGACGGAGGCATCGGGCATGCGCACTTAGACAACTACGTGCTGCTTTTGTCTCACTTTACGCGGCAGAGCATCGTGGATCCTGCGGAAATCAAGAAATACCTGGGCGTAGACGATGAGTATGAAGACATATGCTGAGCCATCGGAACGTCGGACTATGGACTGTGGACCTGTGGACCTCGGATGCTTTGTACATTGCTGTCGAATTGCTCTCGTTTTCTGCTGAAAGTAGCAATAGGGATAGATCTACTGCTTCTTCTCGTCGAGCCGAAGATGAGTAGGCTGTGGTGGGCGCGAGACGCGTTGCAGCGCGTCGGTGGCGCAATGTGTGCATCACGCGCGACCAAACAATGCGGTGGTCCGTGCGCACGCCCGCATCCATTTATAAGGGAACGACAAGCCACCTGAACGCCTCATACTTACCTTGATGGCACACTCCCCTTCAGCTACCTAGGAATGTGGCCCGTGGGGGCCTCTCATAGCACGGCGACCATGTCCTCAGGGGGGCCCTGCGGTTTGTATGGGCTTCGGCTCATGCACCGTCTCAATATTTTCCTGTCCTGCTTCGGCCCTCGGGCTGGGCAGGCCTTTTTTTTGGTTCCTGCGCTCGGCTAACCCTAACCCTACGATAGAAATTTCATAGGCTATCTTGTAGGTAGTCAAGTATGTAAGCAGTAGGGACTATGTTATCATTACAAACTCCATTCTAAACATCAATGCTGCGCCTCCGTACTTCGCACCTTCTCCCGTCATCAAACACTGGACTCTCATCTACTCAGCGGATACTGTCTCGTCCAAGGGGATACGGAAAAGACCTCAGCTTACCTTGCACGCCACCGTACCGATTCATTTCAAACGCGTCATTGGAGTCCATGGCTGCCGTGGTCTGCGCACCGCGTTCGAAAAGCTCAGCTGTTCTTATATTTACTCCACGCTGCCGGCCGGTTGGGGTGATGCATATACAGTGCATTGAAGAATGCTGACAACTACTCAAGCACTCATCGACATCGACAATGCTATGGATCGCATCGCACAGCACCTGGGGTGAATCATCAACATGGCGCCTCGAAAGGGTTGAGGCGAATGGGCATTCGGGCACAGCCGCTGGCAGGCGATAAGAGCGCTCTCTGCCGGACCTTGCATGACATCAGCGGGGCTGCCATCCTCTAGGCGCCCTGAGCCTCATAATCCAAGCCTCCTCGGTGGTCCTGGCAGCAAGTCCTGCCCATTCAAGTGGTGACATTCATAGATACAGATTCTCGCAGATGTCCTCCGAGAGCACGTTGTCGGAGACCTTCATCGGCGCCCTGCAGGGCACCATCTCTGTCCTGCTCACCTGCTTTGCCGGCTATGTGGTCGCCAGACGTGGCTTCCTGAATCAGCCCACAGTCAAGCATATATCCAAGCTATGCACGTCCATCTTCCTTCCTTCGCTCCTCATCGTCCAGATGGGGCCCGAGCTCACCACTGGATCCCTTTCCAAGTACTGGATCATTCCACTCTGGGGTCTGCTTTCCGCTACCATCGCACACCTCATCGGCTGGGCAGGTCAGTACCTCTTCCGCCTCAAGCACTGGACCATCGTCGCCTGCGGCCGTCCTAACTCGAATGCACTCCCGCTCCTCCTCCTGCAGAGCCTCGAGACGACCGGCATGCTTGAACAGCTCTCGGGGGACGGAGAATCGGTCAAGGACACGCTTGGGCGCGCCAAGAGTCTCCTCCTGTTGAACGCCATTGTACAGGATATCATCACTATCCAACTTGCGCCGGCCGTCCTGGGGGCAGACAGAAGCAGGAGGGAAAAGGACAAGAGCCCGGATCGTCTGAAACCTGGACCGGGCAAGCTGTCGGTTGTGCAGGACGAGGAGCGCGCCGGGTTACTGGACGACGTTGACAGCGAGGGAAGCCAGCGTGATTCTGACAGAGAAATGGGCGGGGCGCTCGGTCCCATTGCGGACGTGCCCGACTTGCGGACACCGCAGAGCCTTCGCCCGCTAGAGAAGCCAATAAAGACAATGTGGTCCTACATGAGCGCGCCTCTGATTGGTGCCATCATTGCGTTCATCTTGGGAGTGCGTAGCTTCTGTGGCGGTGATGTTCGCTTGCTGACTTGTCAATCGCTGCTTTTGCTCCAGATCCTCCCTCCCTTGCATGAAGCATTCCTTTCCAAGCATGGTGTCATGTACATACCCATCACGCAGGCAGTAAAGAACCTCGGTGATCTCTTGTACGCTTTCATGTCCGCCTTAAAAATGATGGTGTACTGATAATCGCACAGTGTCGTTCTGCAGACATTCGCCGTTGGCGCAGAGCTCGGGCTTGTGCCCTCATCGCACCCAGGATACCGTGCCACAATTTGGGTGCTGATGATCCGGTTCTTGGTTATGCCAGCCATTGGCATGCTCTTCGTGTGGACGACGGCAGGGCGCGGGTGGTATGTGAGTGATCCGCTTGTTTGGTGAGTCCTACCCCTGCTCTCCACGTTGCTGTATGCGCTTCATGGACATGCAAGTGACGCGTATGCTTGCAGGTTCCTGCTTGTCCTACTCCCGGCAGGCCCATCGGCGATGCTGCTGGTCAATGTGGCGGAGATTGTGGACATCGACCAAGGGCCGATCGTGGGATATATGACGGTTGCGTACTTGCTGGCGCCCTTGATGGCTGTCGTATGCGCGATTGGGCTGGGTATCGTGAAAATGCGCTCGGGCTGATCATTAGGCCGGAATGACTTGTGCAATCGAGTGTTGGAGTAGTTGGTGGGCAAGTCTAGCCAGCAATCTGGGACGACAAGGAACACTGGAATACCGTCGACGGAGCGAAATACGTGTCATTGCGGCTTTCAGTGCTTCGGTATTCTGCGGGGAGCAATTCTTCATGACTTATATGCACTGACGACATGGATGACTTTTAGCATTGATGTATATACCTACGGATCCATTTGATGTAATATCTAGCGCAAGTGTACTATAGTACGCGACATTACGGCCTCGAGAGTGCCTAATAATTGCCGCAAGGCAATGACAGATGGTATGCTTCCAGTCGTTCTGCAGGAGCAAGGGTTTGGCTTTATCGTAGTGTCAAAGGGCCGCTTCCTGCTGTGGTCTGACTGGGATATGATGAGGAACGAGACTGTGGAAAGGTTGTATGTCGTTGATCAGGAGGTCTACAGTAGTAACGACGCCACCGTGAATGCCAAATAGAACAACATATCAGTACAGAGTAATACAAAACGCCCAAGACGAAAACTTGCCTCTTCAAGGAAAGACATCTCTCGCATGCTCCTAACCCTCCTAGGTCGGCGGGTGGGCAGGATGGTCGTCGACGGCCACATTAGAGCCGTCCAACCATCGACTATTCATACCGCTACATTTATAGTCCCTTCTTCAACCATTCGTCAACCCCAACTGTTTGGTGCCACCATCCCGATAATTGCGGACTTTCGAGCAGAAGCGGGACCTCGATCTTTCCGGCAGTGTCGTCATGAACTGATCGACGCCCCAGGTGTTCAACGTGAGGAAGCCGTACAACACGGCAAAGACTGTATGGGTAGGCATTGACTCCCTCGCTTCGCACGGCTGTGGGAGGCGTGCGGGTCGATTATGGGGCAAGGTCATCTGATTGCGTGCGCCGACCTTGGAAGTGATGCTGAGAAGAAGCCTGATCAATGGTCCCCTGACACAAATATTCTGCTTCCAGGAAGAGATTTGGAATCTAATGTGCAACGTTCAGCATATTAGATGAAAGACAGGATAAATTGCCATAACGTACCTTCAAAAATGACGCGTTCTCCCAAGAATTCGACGGATCCTGCGATCGACAAAAATTCCATTGCGAATAATGTCTTCGATTGTAGGGTCATTGTCGGTCTGTCTCTTGGTAGTTACGTGGGTGATGTACTGTATTGGGCAATTTCCTATGAACCTCAATGTGAAAAGATGCCACACCTCATCTCCGAGTGGGAAGCGGGTCAGATGGACAGAGTCACACAAGGAATGCTTCGGTCAGAACGCATGCGTTGCCGTCTCTTTCGGCGTCGCGGGACCTGAAATTGCCATGACGCCCACTGCCTGACGAAGATGCCGAGATGGAATGCCGCTCGATGTCCGCATCGACAGGAGAGAGGTTGGCTTCGTGACGATAGTGAAAGAGTTGGTATTCTGGAATAAATCGATCGACGTCGAGTCGTCGAGGTCCACAGGAGTGAGATCAAGTCCAAGGAGGATACCCCGACAGCCAGTAATCGTGAATGCCAGATCGGCCATCCAGCGGGGAGGGCAAAGGGAGAAGATAAGACAGCTAGAGCAAGGTGCCACTCGTCTGGTCCCGGTTGAGGAGGATGTGAAATTTTGGTGAAAAAAGTGTATTCAGCGCGATATTCAGGGAAGGAGAGCTGAGCGTCTCGTCTGCAGTGTGCACCACCGCAGTGATAGCATATACATCATGTGACCGCGTTCTGCCGCTGCTGAGCCAATCCATCATCATGCCGCGTTTGCGTTTCAATGCTTGCGTTGCGTTCACACCACATCTGCAACCCATTATTGTTCTATTTCTGCTAACAGCGGCTATATTCCACTAGTATTGATGTCGTCCATTCGTCTTCATGCCGAAGCATAGTTGCGCATGGGACAAAATTTCGTGGCAAGCTATGGCGCTTAGTGTGCAGGGATACTATCATAAATTATGTGAGTATGACTGCAGGTGAGAATATCGATGTCATGTAGTTATGAATCTGATAAAAGCATCAGGACAGCACGTTTTCCAGAATACCCGAAATGCGGGCAGAACAGTGGATTGTAGAGTTCCGAGAGAGGGAACCACCACCTGCGCCATGAACTGAAGTGTTGCTGCTCAAACACAACTTCCTCAGATTTCGAATGCTTAGAAGTAAAGCACTTGAATTCATACTTCTCAGGCGCCCTTTCGAACCCCAGGGCCCAGCGCCATGTGCGATCCGTTACAGGAGTGTCTCAAAGTAGTAATCAGTGTTCCTTAAAGCGAGCGACGAAGCTTCAAGTTACTGCGCGCTATTCCCCGCTTTCATCTGTGATCTATCCCGCACTGAAGTCCGAAAGGATATCGCTTCTGGTATTCAAACATTGTCCAGCACGATACACTGTTGTGTCACTCTCACCACATTCCCAGTATGCTGTACGCGTACATCCTCACAGTTCTCATTCTGGCTGTACTTTTCGGACTCTGTCTCAAGTATCCTGCAACGGCCCTTGGAACAAAGCCCAGACTTGACTTGCTTGGACCGCAAGGACTTCCCGTGCTGGGTAATCTGTTGGACATATACCCGCATCGGCTGCATATACTCTCATGGATAACCGCAATGGGAAGGCAGTATGGCGAACTATTCAGCTGGACTGTCCCGCTCACTGGCCGCACGATCGTGATCAATAGACCGGAATGGATTGATCACGTTCACAAAAGTGCTGTCAATTATTGGTCCGCGAGATCATGAGGACGCTGACGATATATATCACTTCAGATGAAGGCACCATATATGGCAAGGGTGAGGTGGCTCTAGCAGTGTTCTCGCAGTTTCCGGGTAGAGGAAGCCCATTCTCAACGGAAGGCGCGGAATGGCGGCATAGCAGAAAAGTGATCAAGTACGTCTTTGCATTTGGACATGGGTTATCCTGTTGATGAATCCCTCAGACCTGTCTTTGAGGCGAGAAATTTGGCTATTGGTGTCTCAGAGATAATGGAAGAGGTGAGTGATGGCGGACCACGGCCACCGGCGGGATAGTCTTGAAACACCTGTTTCTAGATGATGACGCTTGCACATGGTCTCCTCCATTATGCCGCCAAACGAGATGTAACGATCGATTTCAATGGTTAGAGCCTTTCTTTCGTTGTAGGCTTTAAATCCGAAGTATGTCCCGTACTGAGAGGCTCTACAGAGCTTTGCGGACGATTAGTCCTGGCGATTTTCTGCAAGCTAGCATTAAGTCTCGACATGCCGTTGTTGACTGATGCCTCTTGTTTATCCGAGCCACATGTGATTGTCGAGAACCTCCATGTCCTTAACACTATTTCTTCCGGGTGCGTGGTAATTGTTCGCGAAGCGAAAATCGTTCTGTGGTATGAATACCTTTGATACTCAGGCGATTGCCCAATCCTTTCTGGACGATCACTGAAAAGGTATGACCTTTGGGAATGCATAATGTACGACCTCAATCGAATATCTTTGACAGCTTGACGGGCGCGAACGACGATTCAAGGCTGCACGTCAGCAGTTGTTCAAAGTGATCGAGGATATAATTAAATCGCGCCAAGACGCATCCGACAATGGCGGAACGCATCGCGACTTTCTCTCTACGCTATTGGAAGAGGAAGATACAACGGACCTGGATCTGATGCGGGACGAGCTGGTGTCACTGTTATTCGCTGGGAGGGATACCACTCAGAATGCCCTCATATGGTCATTGCATGAGCTGTCGCGTTCTCCGGCTTGGTTTGATAAGATGCGAGAGGAAGCACAAATGAACGCATTACCTCCAAATCATGGTAACGTATACCACTGGTATACGTTACCATGATTTGGAGGTAGGGCTGACCAAAATCTGGTTTCGGCGTAGCTGCTGATCCTTGCACGCGTTTGCAGAATTACCCAATCCATCTCGCGGTTCTCTACGAGACGTTACGGCTCTGGCCTGGAGTGCCCAAGAATGGCCGGTCGGCCTTAAGAGACGATGTGCTTCCAGCCATCCCAGATCGAGGATACGATCCAATTCGCGTAGGTAAGGGCAATTTTGTGGCGTGGTCCGACTGGGACATGATGAAAGGCGAAGCTGTAAGTATGTCTTGACAACCGTCTGCACCGACGATTCCAATCTTTTCGCAGACTGCACCAGATTTGGGGCCCTGATGCCAAGGTCTTTAATCCGGCGCGCCATCTTGATGCTGAAAGACGTTTTGTCAAGCCTCCTTCTCCTAAATTCCACGCGTTTGGCGCCGGGCCACGCCTTTGGTACGTTCCTCATCAGTGTTGCGAGATTTCTTATTACAACTGACAGTTGCAACGCTGTAGCCCGGGCGTGCAACTTGCATCGTACGAGTTCGTCGCGATCTGGGCGAACCTGCTCCCATCGTTTGACTTTGTTGCAGAGGTGAAGGAGCGGTACCCCACAGACGCGCTCACGATAACCATGCGTGAGCCATTCATTGTGAAGGCGATCCCATGGAGCGGGTAGTGTGGGGTTATCTTGCAGTTTGGAGATGATGAGACCGGTTATGACCTGGAATTTGTTTTCTGTGTGTAGCATCTGCTGTTTCTTTCAAAGCTCAATGGTTGAACATTTCAATTTGACTAGGACTGCTACTACGCAGTGGCTCCTGCATGCGAGAGCCACATTCCATTGAACATTGAATGTCCCCCACCTCCGTGACATTACCTCCACTAGGAATGTGTCGAGTGATTCAACCGTTCCAGACTTTAAGCCGCCTGGCCGAGCCCACTGCAGACAGTCTTGATGATTCGAGCAGTGCGTTAGGAATGAATGTTTAAATGAGTTGTAACTTCTCGAATGTATCATCACACCGCGTCAGGGACGTTTCGGTGGCCCATACTTTTGACGGTATTCGCTCGCCACCATCGCGAAAAGATGCATCACGTTGATGTCCTGACTTCATATGTACAAAAATAACACGACCTATCTCCACCCGTTAATTCTGAGGTAGCTGAGCTACTATAGAAACCGAACGTCTTTCATAAACGATCAGAATGATCTTACGATAACATACAGCCCTGCCCTCCGTCTGAGTCACAGTGCCAAAGCGTAACAACGAGACTGCGGAAAATCAAATGGCCTCGGCCAATGAAGGACACAATCCAATATGGCCGCGATTCGAGTGGAGAAAGAGCGGCGTCACGAGAGATTCCACATCGGACATAATGAGGAACGATATGACAGGCTCTGCTCTGACATTTGATCGAAATGAATCATGCTAATCCCACTCCGCGTAGGTGTAATCAGGGGCAGAGAGCAGACACGTTTGAGGTTTTCATTATCCTTCGCGCCACCTTGATGGAGGTGGACGTTCTGGCCGTCTGCTCCGCTGAATCTCCGTGCATTCATATTAAGTCCGTGCGTCCGGTAGAAAAAAATCAGATCCTGCCAGGTTTCAGACATAGCTGGCCGCTGAAACCACATGTTTGGCCACACAGCCTGCTTCGTACACGCCTACGATCTTACTTACTCTTGGCATGAAACACCGGGTGCAAATCGATGCGAGCGAGACTCTAGTCTTGCCGCCACTACTGGCGACTCTCAGGACAGCTGAATCAACCGATGACGGTCATCTAACATGAATGAATAAACATGAATGAATAGTAGGAACAAACATGACCTCGACGCCGTCGTCCATGCGGACGAGCTCGTATTTCGGAAGAAATACACTAATCTAAAAGGGCGTACACGTTGAGAGCGACTGACGCTGGCATGTGGTCGTATCGGTAAGCACCGCCTTGCGTAATGCGGCGGCCAGATATGCGCAGAATGACATGAGAGGACGTGAGCAACCAAGAAACGCTTGATGAGCCATTGAACGATTGTCTTAGCGTGCAAGGTTTGTAACTTGACCATGCAGAAAGAGCTTCATGCATACGGTATCTGTACCAATACAGACCCCAACAGGGGAATGCGACCAGCAGACACGTCCAGAGAAATGTCAAGCTAGCGTCTGGCGACATGGATTTTTTCACCCGGACGTTGAGGGAATTCGTGAAGGTGTGCTCGCTGAGTCGATGCCGATAACGATGGCCAAAGAGGACCGTTCGTTCCGGGTACAAACAGACAACTCGTCCTGGTCCAGACCACCATGACAAATGACAGAGCCTGATCCCGAGTGGCGCGGAGGTGTTTTGCGTACCACCGGGGAATACCGATTGAGCTGCAGAGGCAGACCTACAGAACAAGGTCAAGATGCCCGATAGTAAAAGGGCACAAAGATCGATCCGGTGATTCTGGCCAGCGTGGTTCGACGTCCATGGAGTCCTTGACAGAGAAAATTTGCCTTGAACATTTGCCTTCCGCAGGATCAATGTCGCGACCAAGTTTAGACGCATACAAAAATCGTGCGAAGGCGTCCATATTGCCCGGGCAGAATCTTGAGCAAGAACATGAGAGATTTCAGCTGTCCGTTGCCAATGACGGGCAAAATTACCTGCGGTAGTGAAGATAAAAGAGCTCTTCCGCACCACCAACGTTCTAAGGAGTGGACTAGGATGATTATGAATGCGTTCCGAAAACGAGTTGTCCACAGTTCGGCAACTTGTGCCACATGCGATGGGATACTCCGGAGTGCAACAGACACTGCCACAAGCTAGAAGTGTACAGGAATTGTGCGGAATATGGTGTCGAAAATAGAGCGGAAGGGAGAGGTCAGGTGTGCGCAATGAAAAATGCCGCCGTTAAAGCGGAAGGTGTTCCCACGGAGGTCAGCGAGAGCTTGAGAGTCGGCACGTTTTAAGCCACCCATCCTCCGTCGTCCTCACCGTCCTTACCGATGTCTCTGTCGCCAACGACGTCGGCCGAATACGAGCCCGCAGCGGCAAAACGCCGTCGCACGACGTTGAACACCGCTGCCAGGAGCGACATGTCTAGCGACCAGCTGTCTCCGGCCCACTCCGTCCCGCCCCCCGTCCCGCCAGCCCATACACCGAAGCGTGGCGCAAGGGCCTGTACCGCCTGCCGTAAAGGCAAGAATAGGTGCGAAGGAGAGGTACGCAGCCGTTAAACCTCACCGCGCCTCAATGGCCCGTCTGACCGCCCGGCCCGGATGGCTACTAGGCACCTTGTCGTCGTTGTCAGTTGAGCGGTACTCCATGCATCTTTGAGAAACCAGAAAAGAAAGGTATACAGGCACTGTCCGGGGCTAGCGTCGAGTAAGTCCTGCACTTGAACGTCAAGATCACCGCTCATCTGCGTGCTGGCTCCTGCACCATATCAACGCCAACTTAGACGGCTCTCCCGTCTGGAGGGCCAGTATCTCGTAAGCCTACAATCGCTTGAACGCGAACTTTCAATAAGTCGTCTTTGGGTTGTAGGTCATGCAAAGCCAGATGATTGGAATGCAATCATCCCTGGACCGAATCTTGTCTGCCATCCAGTCTCAGAATGCGGCAATGCTACAGCAGAATATCTATGGCAACGGCGGACCGCATCCTGCGCTCCCGCCGATCCGTAACGGTGGGGATATATATGGTTCCTCCGGTGGTTCGGACGGTCCGTCGTCGCGCCAACCTCGGTCGTTTCCCCCTCTTCCCGGTTTCGCGCCTCCGGTGCGCTGCGTCCTCTTGAATAGCTCCATGCAACGGTCTAATATTTGCACAGCCACACAAATATGCGACGTATGGCATTGTGCCCAGCACGGCACCGTCGTCAGAGGATGAGTCCGAAGACACGCTTCCTAGATCTACGTTGAACGCTCCGATTGAAGCTCTCCAAGGCCTCGCTAATGCTGCAGCGGAAGCTGCGGCCGCGCCCTCTGCATCACCACCAAGGTAAGTATATAACCCCTGGATAGGCTTATTTCTCATTAATCGAACTTTCAGAATGAAGAAGCGGAAGAAGGCCGAGCCAACGCCTCGAAATGCATTCCCTCACGTTGTGGAGAAGGCAAGAGTTAGATTATATAGATCATGCAAGCGAGATTAGCTCACTTTATGAATCAGGGGCTGGTATCCGATGCTGAAGCAAAAGAACTTTATACGATGTACGCGATTACTATCTGTCCCAGTCACAGAGTTCTAACAATCTCTGCAGATTCTTTTCCGGGTGTCATTTCTTTATCCCCTGCTTCGATCCTGCATATGACACCTATGAGGGATTGATGGAACGTACACCATGGACATTTGATGCTATTTTGGCAATCGCGAGCAAAATTAGAAGCGGCACAGGTCCTCTGAGCCCGACGTTCTATAAATGTCTGGAGGAAGCGCAGGGTATTGCTCGATCGACGCTTTTTGGACCTATCGTGCGGAAGGAAGCTGTGCAAGGTACGTTGTTGCCCTCTTCGAGCAAGAGCTCAAGTCTGATCGACTCATTAGGGATGTTACTTTTGGCTGCGTGGAGCACGAATGGCTGGCTCCCAAGCGGGCACGCCATGCGCATGGCGCTCGATCTCGGGTTGCATCGAGCACTGGAGAAACTGGTTGATACGGAAAATGCCAAGAAGCGGTCGGAAGAGGAGGAGCGCGATTTGGGTGAGCGCATACTTCAATCGCTGTTGTTAAGATTTTCATGCTCGTACTAGTTGTGTCGGCACGAATATGGCTGTGCCTCTATTGGTTTGATCATCAGTACGTCTTGTTTACGACCAACCATGAGGTTGCTCCTCACAGCGCTGTAGGATGAGCCTTGGGACGGGTCGTCCGATTGTCCTCCGGGATGAAAGCTCCATCAAGCACTGCCGAGTGCTGCTCACACATCGCATGGCTTCGCCGACAGATGTGCGACTCATTTCTCAGGTCGAGTTAATTGCCCAGAAGAGTATATACCCCGCTTGCTCTTACTGTATATAGATTGGCTCACACTTGCCTCTTCAGCTCAGATCTACGAGACATTGTCTCCGCTAAACGGCCAAGTGAATCACAACACTCTGGCCTTCATTCGTCGAGCGAACGTGGCCTTAGATAAATGGTGGCAAGATTGCGATGAGCTGCACAGTACGTGTCATCGATCTAGTCTGGATGGAATCAGAGCGCTGATTGACTGGCTTGTTAGGACAAACGATGGATGAAGATGCGCTTCCTCGGAAGATCCTAGCGGGCGAGTTGTATTACGCCAAGCTGTGGCTTGTCTGTGTCGCCTTGCGTGGTGTGTCTTGGGACAAAATGCCCTTCGAGCAGCGTGAACTTGCTTTCCAAGCAAAGGACGCTGCATCAAATTGCCTCTCCAATTTACTGAACTCGCCGACTTACAGGTAAGTATATCGATTGTTTTGTGTGACATGTGATGTTCACAATCAACGTTACTCAGAGCTGCTCTGCGATATGCTGTGCATGATAGCCTTGTGACGGCCGCGTTCTCGGGTCTTTTCCTCTTGAAGATGGCCCATCTCTTCCCCGGAGAGCTCGATCTTGCTGCCATTACTACGCAAGTCGAGCAGCTCGCTGAGCTGCTATCTGACGTAGCCGCGGAGAGGTACTTCAGCCGACTTGCTACAAGTTTTACGCTGACCTCCTATTTTGCAGGTACGCTCTGACACTTCGCATCATGCTCGCCAACTTGAAGCGAAAAATGGGCATCACGACGGCGCCCATGGCGCCGCCAATTCCTGGTGCTCATGGACCTGAGATGATGCCGCCGCCATTCATCGATCCGAGCTTGATGCCGCCGCAGATGCAATTCACGCCTGAGGAGCTCGGTCTCCTTCCGGGATCCTTCCCGAACGATCGTGCGCTCTTTAGCCCATCAGCGATACCGCTCTGGCTGCAGGAACAGGTCAGCGATATTTTGCCTTGTCTGTCGTTCGCATGCCCTGACGGAGTGCCGTATTTCTTCAGAGCTTGACAGACCTTGGGCTACCCTCAAACGGCTCCGATGGAATCTTCCTCCAGATGGGACACCCCAACGGGTGGCAGGGCGATTTCCCACCGATGCCTGAGGCTTGGTGAGACATGTTCCCGATCTCTTTTTCGAACTTCGATGTATACCGTACATTTTTGTCGCAGCTATGTTTAGGTCAAGTTATCCGGGAACCGTCTTATGGCGTGCGTCCAGTGTATCAAGTCCTCTCCTTTTTGGTGTCTGCTGTTTGAATATACCTATGAGGTTGTACGTGTACGCGCATTTGCATTGTCGATGTAAATGATGATTCTGTCTGCTCTGTTCGTACCCGGCTACCCGTGATATGTACATGTTCACAAGAGTATCGTAACAGAAGGAATACTTGGGATTTCCCGGGTATGTGTCTGGTTCACTCCTCTTCGTCACTCTCCTCTTCTTGTTCCTGCAGAAACTACGCTGGCTCTTGAGTTCTATCGTATGACCGCTATTACATATAAAATCATACCTTCACTAATGCATGGGTTGCTTGCAAGAAGTGTTGTTTCCCTTGAGGTTTCGCGCCTTTCTGGTGCCAATAGATAATAGCTTGATCCGAAACACAGTCCTTGTTATATAGGACCTATACAGCATATATTCAGTCCGCCGCATCGAGAAATTTGACGCCAATAACATACCTTGAGAATTTGTGGGAAAGCCTTCATGACACGCGCATCCTCGTAACAGTAGACTTGTACGGTGTTGATGAGAGCGACTTCAGTCTTGGGGCTCTCGCAGAACGGCTCCAAAATGTCAGAAAAGGCCTGGATGTTTTGTCAGCGCGCATCTTCTGATACCCGGCACGCCGAGCACTTACAGTGATCTCACGAACGGCGAGTGCTTCGTTCTGGTCCTGACGAGCGGACCATTCGACAGAAGATATGAGTCCTTGCCAAATGCACGAGATGAGCTCGGTATCGGGAAGAGCACGTTCCTCCTGCTGGCTCTTGATGGCAGTCACAATCTACCGGAGTATATGAGACGGTCATAACGAGGTTCGTATGCAAGATGAACGCACCTCAGAATGCGGGAGCTCGCGCTCAAGCATGTCGTGGATGGTCTTGATGATACCCTCCTTAAGTGCCGCATACTGGCGCCTGGTCCACCAGTCTGCAACTTGTGCCAAGCCGGCCTTGCGGAAGTGCTCATCAACATACTTGTCGTTGCGCTTGTTTGCAGGGAAGAAGGCAAGCAGATCCTTGATGCCGCCACGCTTGAGGGCACCGGCCAAATGGTCCATCGATTGCTCCGCGAGAAAAGCCCGGAAAATCGTCGTGATAAAATTGATAGATACATCTAACGACATCTCAATCAGGACCTTCTAGGCAACATTGTATTACTTACCATTCTTCACAAGATGGTCCTTGGTCAAACTCTGCAAGCAGCTGGCGCTGGCAAGACCCTGGGAAATCAAAAGAGCGGTAGCAACCGCTAGCTTCTCCCTCTGTGCATCGGGCCATCTGTTCATGTACTGCAGCAGCGTGGGAAGCGAAGTATCCTCAAGCGGTTTCTGGAGGTACTTGTATCTGCAAACGTCACATTGTATAAAGACCATCGTTTGCAGGACACCAAGCCTTACCTCCTGATCAATTTGTTGAGAACCTCTACATATTGCTTCACGTCAGCCACCTCCACGGGCTCCTTAGCACTGATGATCGAGAATGGGGATGGAGGCGCCCCATCGTCGACGTAGCTGCCGCCGGGTTGCAGAAGCCCGCCAACAATGAGGAGTTCGAAGAGAACATCCGCATACTTGAGATATTCGAGCGTGGAGCCAGCTTGGACTAATTTGTTGGCAAAACCGTCAAAATCGTTCGGCGAGACAGTCTCGAGGTGTTTGTAAAGCTGATCTCTGAAGACTGTACAGTGCAGGTTGCGTTTGAGGTCATATCCAACACAAACGTCACAACGTTGGAGATGAGATGAGAGATCTTAGATACAGCAGAGCGGACGCACCAGCTGGTTCGTGTTTAGCGTGGGCCTTGACGGCTCCTTTCCTGGCTCTGATGCGGACCCCCTGGAGCGTAGGCTTGGGCGCGGCTGATTGCTGAGACATCCACAGGTTTCGACGAGCTCGAAAGATGAAGGTCTGAACAAGGTGAATGGTGCGCGGGGATGGCCTGGGTAATCAATCTACGCATATTCGGCCTTCGCCGAATCCAGATCTTGGGGTATAGTTCTGGATCAGCAGAGGGACTCTATGCTCACTCGCGGCCGTTCAAGGTCAAAGGCGTAGTCTCATGCCCTACATCTCACCCTGAAATCCATGTACATGCATTCTTTCGTCTCCCATCAATTAACTCGCGAAAGAATTCCATGCACCGGTCTGCTGCAGCGTATAATAGCCGATTCTATCAACTTGATCTGCTCAGAGTGCTCATGTCACTCAGCAAATCTGGTCATTGTGTGCCGACGAGACGACAGGTGAATGCCAGATAGGACTATCGTGCATCATCTCCCTGACATTAATCCTCTCTACCGGAGACAAACTTCGAGGGGTTTTCGACAAGCGCTCGATCGGCAAGGGCTATAGGCGATCTGATCACGTGCTATGCTCTTGGAGGCGTGCGAGACGACCGCGTCTCCTTCGTCCTTGTCCCCACCACCGTGCGGCGATGCTGGACTGTTGCCTCTTGCCCAGCAACTCCACCCTTCTGCACAGTGCATGAGATGCTATGGTCAGAGGAAGTATCATGACCAAAGTCGTTTTGACCGTGCATGCCGCATATACTTTCGTGGATGTGGGTTCTTGTTTTCCGTCCTACCGATGAGGATGTTCTCTTTCTCACCGCTGGAACCGCGGGGTGCATTCATGATATCGCTTATTTCTCCTATATCTACTTCTGCACATGCCGTGTCTCTGTTGCCGCAGCTCACTCGGTATCGACAACTCGCTTTGACTGCGTGGTAACGATTCCCAGTCTGTCGCAAAGGCCGATATACGAAGCAGTTCGTCTTTTTCACTTATCTCTTCTTACTCAGTTGCTCACACTATATGCGATGATTCAGGTCATACCGTCCGTTGAGACGGTGCACAGTGTTCTCGCTTGAACTATGGCCCTGTCACAGAGTGTTTCGTAGCCATCGGCGAAAGCTGGACGTGGTATCATATGGATTTCATATTTCATGTTGGCCCGAAAGACACTCTGTCGCCTCAGCATTGACTTCGAGCGACATCTCTAGATTCTTCGCTTCGCATAGGTGAGTTACCGTGACTGCTTTCACCGCACAAGCTCCATTAAGTCGTATTACCATGACTTGACATTTTATTCATCCAGATCATAGTACGCCGTGACATACTTTCCTTCAGTCTTTCGGGATTTGGCCCGGTGGACGGTGTTCCCTCTGATGCCTTGCCCTATGCGCGCACCGACCTTCAAGCGCTGAGGAACGTTGCCTAAAACGGCAATAGAATTTCTTTACGTCAGCCGCTCCATATCAGAACGAGACGCCCGGTCCGCAAATCCCCGGTTCGACTCCGGCTACAATCGACAGCGCGCCAGGCGTCGTCGTCGCCGACCCACGCACCTCAACTCTATTGCCCGCCAACCAATTTTTTACACCTCGAGGCTTGCTTCACTCCATGATATGCCCCGCAATCACGTCGCAGGTCCTTCCACCCTCCGTAATCGCAACCGTGTCACCAACAAGACTCGCCTCAAGGTCATCACGGAAAACATCGATGCTGACACCATCGTCCTTGACGAAGATGAAGAGAAGGCTAGGGTCGTCTCTACAGCCGGTGTGGACGCTGAGGATGCCAATGTGAGCTCAGTTTTTGTCGTGATGCCCGTCGCGCGCGCCCTTGTTGAAAGCCCCTGTGTGGCGCGTTCTGATTGGCTGATACCGTGGGAATCTCATACCGTGGAATGCTGACTCAGCCACTGCTTTAGGAACATCATTTGCAAGCTGTATTGTCTGCGGCGGCCACACGGCATCAAGCAAGTGCGCGGTCTACAAGGGGTGCATCGGAGAAAGAGAGAGCACCCCTTGCTGCGTACATTCCCACACCAGACAGTACTGGTATCGTGGAGAATTACGAGCAGCTCTATCCTCCTGGTCGGTGGAAGGATCCCTGCACCTACGTCAAGTCTTCCGATACTGTTGAGGAGTCCACATCCTTCGCGTTGGCCAATGGCTTCATATATTATATGGATGAGCGTGACAAGGAATGGTTGGACAAGAACAACGAGGAAGCCCGTGGGGAGGGGACTAGTGCGCAAGGTGCTATCTCGGCGAGTACCACGCGATCGGTGCGCAGCATGAAGGCCAAGGGCAAGGAGCCTGATGTTGCCCAATCTGTTGCGATGTTGGAAGACGAATTTGAACTTGTAATGGCCATCTTTGAGAAAGTGACACATGAGAAGACGGAGTTCCTGCATCATGTCAGTCTCTTCGCGCTGTTGCTATCCTGCGTTATCTATTCATATATTTACCATATGAACATAGGGTCTCGAACAAGGCGCGCCGTTCCCTCCGTTCTCCGAATATCAGGATACGTTCGCAGCGGGACTCCAACCAGCAATATTTGCGATCTACGAAGTTCCCAGCTGGATCCCTCCTCCAGCTCACCTAACGCGCTTGGCTCGTACCATTTACCCTCATTGGCGAGAGCGGCGGCTGGAGCGTTGTGGTCACCCGATCATTCCTTCGGTCAATGTATGCAGTTTGTTTTCTTGCTCACAACTTGAGCGCGCTGACGTATTTGTTCACCACCCAGTTGGATGAAACGGACACGATAAATGAGTCGTACATATGTTTCAGACGAAGGGAGATCAAAGCTATTCGCAAGACTCGTGCTCAACAAGCAACCTATTCTGACAAGATGGTTCGTTTGAAAGGCGAATTGGCTGTAACTTTTGAGCTGGCAAACAGCGTGCTTCAGCGTGAAACTATCAAGCGAGACGCAGCAGCACATGCTCATGCCGTCTGGGATAAGCGTTTCGCGTTCGCGGAGATGAAGCGCAAGTTTCCAACCTTAAGCAGCAAGGATGAGGAGGAGCTGCTTTATGATAGGGAGAGAGTAGTAAAGAAGCCGAAATTGGAGCCCACCGGGTTCGTAAATTCATGTGCATCTATCCTGCGTTGGCTGATATCACTCTGTAGTCGTATTCCTCTCAAGTTGCGAACGCGGGACAATGGTGAAATTTCCTCTCCCATCATGCACGAGCCCCAGATACGACCGAAAGAGCGGCAAGCTCAGATCCAGAAGGAGATCGACCAAGACATGGCAAGGCGAAAGGAGAAGGACCACCAGTGGGAAGATGCGATCGACGTAAAGTATTTTTTAATCAAGTTATCCAGTCATACTGATGCAGCTTTGATGCAGAATCCCTATCAGCCTACTCCGACGTCGTATGCGTCCAAGCTGTTCAAATACATTGGTGCTACGTGCCGTGCCGGTTCGTCGACGTCCTCTTCCGACAGCGATTCTGCACAACCTGTTCGTGCACCTCGTGCAGGCCGTCTACGATTTGGGCGCGGTGGACGGCTTCATCTTGATCGTCGTATGGTCATGCCTCGTGCATGGTTGCCTGCGGATGTGTTGTCCGATAGTGAACATACGGCTGAAGTGGATGCGCAGGAGCGGGCTCGCAGGCTTGCTGAACGGTGGCAATTCGACTCCGATGATGTTCCAGCAGTTGGGCCGGAGGGTTCAGAGGAGAAGGATCGTGTACTCGTTGACGATTACGAGCCGAAGTATGGCTTTTCATATTCATGGGTTGCTATGTGCTCATGTCTTGCTCCCAAAGATATCTTGTGCATCACATGACATTGCTGACGGAACAGGATCATCAAAGCCTCATCACAGATGCAACGGTCTTGGTGGTGTCGAATGACGGACGCCAACAAGCACACTTGCCGTTCAGACTGGGTCAACCTACATATCGCAGGGACATGCCACAGTTCATGCGACCTTCTCCGTTGACCCCTGGGCACTCGATATCCGCCACGCAATCGGGCTCCTCGTCCCTGTCGATATCATCTGCTGGTACTCCTGTAGCGTTTCCGACTCAGCTGAAGAAGATGCCGCCCCCGGCGGTGCCTCAGACGCGTACCAGCGGTAGCATACGTCCACCAGGGATACCCGCTGTTCCCAGTATGCACCCCAGTATCACAGCATCACTCGGGTCTCCACGCAACACACCTCCTATCACCATTACGCCAGCCAACGGTGTCAATGAATCGGGTGGACACGTCACAGAGGGCATGGACCAGGCTGCCAGATCACCTTCGTTGCCTCACTCTAATGGACATGCGCCGAATTCGAGTGATCCAAGCCAGCCTGCCGCCGTCCCGCCACCTTCCTCTCCTCTTCGACCCAAGGCTCAAGTCAATTCCATAACCATGCCTGCCGTCCCTAATGGGTATCATATGGCACCTGTCAGCGCATATACCATGGCAAACGCCCAGTATATGCATCCGAGCAACCGGCAGAGCAGTCTGACGCTGCAGCAAATGCACGAGCTCAAATCCGCTTTCGCCTCTATGTCGCCTGCGCCGGATGCCCCCATGCAGACGAACGTCAGCATGCCGATCCGTACGTCGACGTCATACGTCCACGCTCTGCCGAACAACCCAAATTACATGCGACCGATGGCGCGACAAATGCAGTGGGCGGCTGCTGCGGCTTTGGCTCAACAACAGCAACGCCCGCCTTCTGTCAATGCTGCGGAGACCAACGGCATGGATGGAATGGTAGCAGCTGCGCATTCGCCTCAGATGTCTGGTGCGCCTGCTCGGACCCCATCTGCGAACGGTATCCGTGCGCCTTTATCGCACAGCCTGGCCATGCCTCCACAGACTCGGGGCCTGGTGCCACCTGGGAGAGCATCTCCGGCTGCCTATGCGCGCGTTTCGGGGCCCTTGTCGCCCTCTCCTCATTTGCTGAACACTTCCCTTTCAGCGACGCAGCCGCAATCGTCGCCGACGCGCTCACCACAGCCGCCGATGGCTATGCCGTCGCCGTCACCATCGTTGCAAGCGCGACACGCCGTGGGGAGCATGGGAGCTGGGTACTGAGCCTGAACGCATATTGCTGTGTGTGTTGTCTGCGTTTATCAGTACTGTACCGAATTACTGTCGACTCTGTGTCTCGTGTAGTCTTTCTTCCTGCTCTGATTAAATAGTAATTATATGGTTTGTTCTTGTCGTACGCTTGTTGGGCTTTTCTAAATCGCAGTTCGAACGGTTGCATGAGCATCCCGCACAGCGAGTACTGAGTACTGAGTACTGATGCATGATGCATGATGCTTTGATGCGTCGCATGAAGTCGTGAGCGTTTGAGCAGTTAGAAGCTCAGTGCCTTTGGCTAGCAATATGAGCAGCACAGCACGTCGGGATGCTGGGAGTGCTAGTTGTGCTAGTTCATCAAAATGCCGTAGGCGAACCGATAACGGTTTTTGCTAGATACACAACAGCAGGAGCCCGTTGCTCGGGCGATCGTTGGGAGCAGCCTTTTTGACAGGAACTAGGAACTGTGCTATGTGATTTGCACAGTGTACCCAGGTCTCCCTGACTTTGACCTGGAAAGATGCGATGAGCCCGCGACAGTAGACGGGCTACCTAGACCGCTAACATCAAGTGAATCCCTTGCTCAACAGAGCTGGACTGTTGATCGCACATCTAATTTTTGACTGGCACCGCCGTTGGTCAATCGCTATGCATGTGGCGCGGAAATCGATGAGAGCTGGCATCAAGGCACAGCGTCGCCAAGTCCGACGACTCCCGAAGTCACTGCACTTTCCAGCGCTCGCGGCTCTGTCACACTGTCGAGATGGCTCATTGGCTGGACCATAGCGTCAGGAGGACCGCCACAAGTATTTACTGCGGCTGTCCGCGCACCGGCCTCTGCATACAATAGTAGAGTAGTTCTGAGACATGAGTGCAATGATCGTCGGCCTGTGCGCTGCAGTACGAAGGAACTGAATGAACGCAGCCTGCATCGCAATACGCGGAATAGCCTGGCCACTTAGCTTACCGAACGGCGGCGCGTGACGCGCGGCGACGCAGCCGGTGTGGCGCGGAGGGGATGACGCTCACCGACGCTGCATCCACCATAAATACTCCAAGACTTTTTCCTTGCCCTTCCTCTCTTTCCTGCTCAATATCATTTCGATACGTGTATTGCACCCCAGCTGGCCTTCTCCGATATATTCCAATGTCTCCAGTGCCGGCGAATGACTCCGGTGCGTATCTGCAAGTTGCGCGGATGCGTTGCACGTCCCCTTCTTCACTTATCGTACCGCTGACCGGTGTCTCATTTGCATATCACTCTGAACCTGTGGCTCGCAGAGAACATGGAGCAGTCCCAGAAGTAAGTCCGAGGTTTTCCTCGACTCTCCGTGTTCCTGCACGCGGCACGCTGACTTTCCTTCATTCTTTGTGTTTCACGTTGGTGTCAGTGGCTACCACGATATTGACACAAGGCTCCCGCCACATCTTTCCTTCAAATGCGCTGTAACGGACTCGAAGGGCCCGCGCCGGTTCATGGAGGACTCGCATTCCATTGTCATTCCCTTTGGCGGCATTCGCGGACAAGGCTTCTTCGCCGTGTTTGACGGCCACGCAGGTAAACAGGCCGCAGAGTGGTGTGGACAGAACTTCTCTAGAGTAAGCCTGACCCGTACGCCGTGGCGTCATGTTTCATTGTTTCATCGTCGCAGTTTAGACTGACGTTTCCGGCGCAGTGCCTCCTACACATCCTACAGGCTGCACCAGAAGCGCCGATCCCGGACGTCTTGAACGACTCCTTCCATGAAGTTGACCGTCATCTCACGAAGCTCTCGGAAGAGTCCGACGGTAAAATGCACTCCGGGTGCACTGCCGTCACCGCGCTGCTTCGTCTTGAGGATGCCGATGGCAAGCAGACTTTCCTGCCTCCTGGCTATGATCCCATCGCCACAGCGCTACAACCGCATGCAGAAGAACACGCGGAGCAGGAGGAGGAAACGAAGAAGAGTGGCGCGGGGCGAATCAAGCAGGCTATCAAGAGCTTGGGTGAGAGGCGTTCTCCCTCGCCGCCGCTGACGCACGCGAGCACGGCAGAATGGGACAGTGCGTGGACTCCGCCCCCTGATGTGAGGGTGCGGCGCGTGCTGTATTGCGCGAACGCAGGCGACGCGCGGGGTGTGCTTTGCCGTGCGGGCCGTGCGGTGAGGTTGACGTACGATCACAAGGGTTCGGACAGGCAGGAGGCGAAGCGGATCATGGACGCAGGCGGGTTCGTGATGAGCGGAAGGGTGAACGGTGTTTTGGCAGTGACAAGGAGCTTGGGCGACTCGTCGATGAAAGAATATGTGGTCGGCGCGCCGTACACGACGGAGACGGAGCTGGGGGACGATGACGAGTTCTTGATCCTGGCATGTGACGGCGTGCGTATTTCACTCACACTCCGCGTTCTCCGGCATGCGTGGCTTACACGAGTTTTTAGCTATGGGACGTCGTCGATGATCAGACGGCAGTGCAACTAGTGCGCGGAGTTTCCAATCCCAAGGAGGCAGCGCAGCTGCTCCTCGATCACGCATACCAGAACTACTCGTCAGATAACGTTACCGTGCTCATCGTGCGGTTCAGGAATCCGCCTGAGTCTGTTGGCGCCAAAGTCGCCCAGCAGCAGGTGGATGGCGCATAGTCTCAGGAGTCCGGATAGCCTCCTCCACTCATGCTATGTTGTGCAGTCTCTCGGCGTCCGCACTGAGCGAAACGTTGCCTACTCGCGGCTTATACCTAATATTCTGGTGTCTCTCTTCCTATCTCTTCTGTGTTGTATCCCCCCGTGCCTGTTATATCTGATGCTGGTGTCTGATTCTGGCAGCACATTTGAAGCCATATTGTAGCATTGTATGCGTGGACAGTCTCAGATAATAGTGACGGTGTATCGGCTTTCGGCAGCGTTATGCGTTATGGTCACTGCACGTGTGGCCACTCGATCAAGTGCGCGCTCGGATCGTGGATTCACGCGCTTTGGTTACGTCACACGAATGAAAGCTTGTCTCCACTGTCCGATGCCCAGCCCTAAAGCTTAAGTACTTGGGCACCGCCCAGCGCGGCCACGATGATACCGCGTGCTCGCATCTCCCAACTTGACAGGATACCCTCACGTTCAACACGAACACAACATATCCTCTGGCTGCTCGAAGGCGCTCTGAGTGGTCATATTTGAAACGAAGCTAGAGTCAACCTCCTGCGGTCTACATTGAACCGGATACCTTCACAACTCGAGCAGACTTGACCGATTCTCTCAAATCTACTGAGCTTACGATACCATGTCGAACTGGGGCAAAAACAGCGGCGCATATAACCAGCCCACATACCAGCCAGGGCCCACACCCAACTATGCGAGTCAGTATGTGCCTCCGCCAGGCCCGCCAGACGCGAGGGATGAGAAGTCTCCCTACGAGGGTGAACGCTTCCATTCGCGGAAAATAGGGAATGATCTTGGGTTTTTGATATTCTTTATCCTGCAGGTTTGTGTGGTTTCTGCTAGATGTTACCGAATACTGGATTTAACTTCTATCCGCAGTTTGCTGGCTTTATTGTCATATCTGCCATTGCGCTCAATGAATGGATCAAGTCTGGAGGGCTCGGCGGCGGGATAGGCAGCGGGGATACCGGAAACAGCGTTACTCTTAATTAGTGAGCGCGCTGTCCTATGAGCTCAGGGATTCTCTGATGACGATTCACATATGGTTGTGAACGTGCAGCCATACAGTGATCCTCCTTCTCCTCGTAACCGCAACTGCCCTGGTTTTGTGCACCATATATCTGATCCTCACGCGCACATTTACGCGGCTCATCATGCATTTCACGCTGCTGCTGTCTATCGCGCTCAACGTGTGAGCTCCGACTTCCTTACACGTTTACCCTGGGATCTGACCGTGTATATGCATCTGACTCGTCGTCCAACAGCGGTATATGCGTCTATTACTGGACAACACACTACTGGTGTACGTTCCAACTGCTTCCCTCCATCCTTCCCTTGCATTCACGGCTGACATACATCATCTAGCGGGAGCGATCATCTTCACCATTATCGCGTTGCTGTCAATATTCGCCTATTTTGGGTATCGATCGCGCATCCCGCTGGCATCGCTCCTCCTGCAGGTCGTCATGGACATCGCGAAGCATCACTGGACAGTATATGGCGTGGCGTTTGCCGCATTGGTTATCCAAGCTGCGTGGAGTGTGTGAGTTGCTGACCCTGTGGTTTATTTGGCTATAGTGAAGGCTGGGCTAACGCACAATTCCAATCATAGATGGTACACGTTTACTGTAATTGCGATGTGAGTTATAGGCATTTTGCCTGTGTTTAGAGGCTGAATATGCGCGCATTTAGCTATGCAAAGTGGACTCCTGGAAACCCCAGTACGTCTTCGGCTTCATCAAATATGTACGCATATACTCACGTTTCGTTTGCACACTGAATAGCATGCGGCAACGGCTCCTCCTGCTCTTCATCCAAAGTGGCGGGCCTCGTCTTTTATGCGACATTCTCCTACCTATGGACTTCCCAGGTCATCGGGAATGTGGCCCTTGCAACTCTTGCCGGCGGGCCGTTCGGCTGTGAGTATGAATTTCTGAGCCAATCGTTACATTGAACTTAAGGCCGCAAATGCGTTTTCTTAGGTTGGTATTACTTTGGGCCTCGCGATCAGGGCTTGATGGTGCGCTCCCAAATAATTGCTGACGCAAGGGTCGTGCTCATGTGAGGTTCTCAATAGCCACCACATCCGACGCTATCTTCCTTCCGCCGCGCTTCCACGTTGTCCCTCGGCTCGATTGCGTTCGGCTCGCTCATAGTCACACTGCTGGACCTGTTGAGGCTTTTGCTAAACATGATCAGGAACAATGCTAACCAGGAAGGGCATCGTAAGTGCTTTTTCGTGTTGGTCAAATACAGCACTCTTTCACGTATTGATATCGGACGTACACAGCTGTGGAAGTGTGTCTTGCCCTCTGTGCCGAATGCTTCGTGGGATGTATCGAGGGGATGGTGCAGTACTTTAATAGGCGAGCGACTACTAGATGCTAGCAGTTTCTTTGCTGACTATTATTTGGCACTCCGCGCTCAGATACGCATACATTGAGATTGGTGAGTCTATTTATCGTTCCATTCATGCAGCAGCGTGATAAAGGCTGACGTATGGCGTCGCGCAGCATTGTACGGAAAGCCGTATCTCCAAGCCGCTCGGGACACCTGGCATTTGTTCCAAGATCGGGGAATCACTGCGCTCGTCAATGATTCCCTTGTTGGGATGAGTAAGTCACTTTCAGTCAACTCTTTAGGCTACTTCGCCCGCTAAGTAATGTGTTCGTCTGCCAGCTCTCACGTGGGGCGCTTACGCGATCGGGCTGTTATGCTCGCTCTTCGCGTACCTATACCTCCGATGTACGTCATCCTTTGTGACGATCAGTGGTGCAAAGAGTTGATAATTGGCTCGCGCAGACACGCATCCCTCGTATAATACGGACGGACAGTATACTGCGCCCGTGCTGCTCTTCGCATTTTTGATTGGCGTCCAGTGCAGTCAGTATTCGCCATGATCTTCACTGCCCTATCCTCGCTGATTGTGCATTACATAGTGATGACGCTCTCGTCGGTCATCGAAGCAGGCGTATCTACGATGTACGCCAAGTGTTGCGTATACACTGAAAGAAGCGATACTGACCACTTTGGAATTTACGTAGCTTCGTTGGACTCGCGGAGGATCCCCAGATCCTTGCTATGCGTGCGCCGGCACTGTTTGGGGTAAGCTTTCTTGTATCCAGATATATATGTTATTCAGGCATTGAACACACCTTCCGCTCATAGCTGATTGCGTCGACATATCCACAAGTCGTTCAGGGTGTTCCCAGGGTATGATGTATCGCCAGAGATATGTTCGTAGTGGTGGATTATTTCGTATGTTAGCAAGTTTGCGTGCCTTGTATGTGCTTGGATCTTCGAGCAACCTCATATGAACACTACAATTGTATCAATCGTCTCAGCGAGATGTAACTGCGATACGACAAGATGGAGTATGAAGAAAGCTAACAATGCGAATTTGCAAAACAAAAAGATGCTGTCCCAGGGAGGATTCGAGCCTCCGTCTTCACGGTTTAAGAAATCCACAACGTGATGATCTAACCACTAATCGACAAGGACCAATGGAATTGTTCGCATAAGTATTATACAACCTACGTCAGACGATCGATTTAGTTCGGCCCCGCATTACGCAGTCTCAAGCCTCGCCTCCCACTCCGGGGGACGTTAAACTTACTATCGTCAACACCCACAGCTCTTCTCTGTGGTCGTCGACGAGTGGCCAAAATGAGGAAGGCATCCTACATTGTCGCTTTCGTCGCTGTGATCACAACGCTTGCTTTGGTGAGGTGATTTAAATTTAGGGGCGCACCCGTTTGTGTTGACTTAGGGTCGGACAGAATATCTTGTCTGTGAAACGTCCCGATTGGTGCGCAGATAGATTTGATATCGAATGCATTCCTGACCGTGTATACTTACCTTGTAGGCTCGTCGTGAACAACACCGAGGTCCTCCACTCGAAGATTACAGTCCAATATGGCCTCACTCAGCGATGCGACCGGCAAGTGATTGTCATCCCTGGCCTCCCGGATGGCAGCCGCCTCGCATACAGCGACTATAAATGCCGCCCGTTCCCCAACCGTGTTACAGACAACTGCGAGAAGGAGAACAAGGTGTTCTGCATGGTGTGGAGCACCGCGGGCTACTTTGCTGAGCTGGGCATCGGTTTTGGGGCCGTTGCTTGTTTGGCGCTTCTCTTTGGCGTCAGCACCCACTCTAGGAGAAGGAGGATTTGGCGGGCGGTCGCTGGTTTGACAGCACTGCACGGTATGTCTATATGCTGAGGTGTCAGGATGTGACGATGCTTACTGTCCATTCTGCAGTTCTCTTCCAAATCCTTGCGTTTGCTGTTGTGACGCATCTATACCGCTTGGCCTGGTACCCGACGTTTGAACGCGCTCGTCCAGGTATGTGATAGCAGTTTGTCTGATTGCATTCTGGAGCCAATGATCCGTATAGGCACCGCATATGTCCTCAATACTCTATCCTGGGTGTTCGGCGTCCTCGTGACGGCCGGCATCATTACGACGGGAATATCTGCCAATAAAGGCCATCGCTGGGCCGCTGGCAACAGAGCATACCGACCGATTGAAGGATGACTAGGATTGCTAATGAACGCCACTCATGAACCTCGCTACCGGATGACATCTTGTACACGCGTTTAGCTCTCCGTCTACCAGCATTGCTATGAACATTTGGCACACTTGTTGTTTCTTATTCTATCTGTATTCCTAGATGCCGGTTGCGCTAAGTAACCAGATACCAGTACGATTACGATTTACACGAAATGTCACAATATTTCCTTTGCTATCAAGATGATGAGAATCGCTTGATGCTGGTGTCCGTGTCCGCATCAGAATTCGTCCTCCGGATAATCCACCTGGTCGTAAAGCCTGAGCGTCTCGTTCCAATCCCTCTTCCTCCTCCTGCGAATGGAGAAGTACTTGGCCTTGCTCGCCCACCGCCCCTTGACCCTGCCCTTCTCCTTGCCACCTGTTTCGGCGAAGTAGTGTTCTGGATCTGTCGGCAAGCCCAGAGTGTGTACCGCTAGGTCCATGACGCGCGCATGCAGCCGCTCGCGGACCGCGCGCATATCACGCAGCCGCGTTCGACCCATGCGCAGTAGCCGCACAAGCGCAGCGAATGCACGGAATGCAGACACGGCATCTTCCAGCCAGCGGAGGGACATCCACATCAGGGCGGGGACGCAGACAGCCGTGATGGGAGCGATAGGGAAGGTGAGCAGGACGGATCCGCCCCACACGCACAGGCCAGATATGAACCCGTAGATGAGCTTATACTGCGCGATCTCGTCCCATGTGTCCCAAATAGGACCCGTGCGCTTGAAGCGAGATACCGCGATAAAAGTCGTAATGAAGACCGGGAGCCAGAGGAGCAGGCCGGGCAGGGAGATGCTAAACAAGAAGATGGACCAAGCCAATCGCACACAGATTCGGTATATGATGACATGCGGTGGAAGAGGTCTGCGAATACGGTCATCCTTGACTCCCCACAAAGAAAGCTGATTCTGGTATTCCTGAAACGCGGGCGTCTATGATTGAGGACATTCTCTCCATCTCGGTATAAATTCTCGTACCTTCAAGTCACTCGCCAACCGCCGGATTTTCTCATCCTCCCTCAGTGCATCATCCTTGTTGACGATATCCCCGTCGCTGCTGTTCTCGAAGACGGGTCTCTCGGCCAGCTTGAATGCCTCTAAGAAGGTGCGCACCACACGGACATAGTCGCCGAGACTCATGGTCGTCCCCAGAGGTGCATATATGCGCGCAGCCGATTTGGCACTGCGGATCATATCCCATGAAGGAGCATCAAAAGTGCCACTACTGATCTGCTGGTGGAATCGAGTGGTCAGAGCGCGAATTGTGCCGTGGTCGACGGGCGCTAGTAGTTCGGGGTCGCTCTGAAAACTAGCTCAGTGAGGTGTACCATTAGCAGCAATGTCGCTGACCTTCGGAGTAAATTTCATGGGAGGGTGGAACGTGATCAGGACATCCGATCGGAAGTGCTGGCGATGCCTGAACGCGGGACGGTGTTAGAACGATGTGGAAGAAGGAATGACGCTGTACCGACATATAAGTTATAGAGCATGTCAGTACGCAAATCTCGAATTCAGGGTCGTCACGATTCCGTGAGAGTGTATCAGAAACAAGTCGAGCGACTGTTGGCAAGAATAAAACATCCTGATTATGACGTACGGAATTCCAATCAATTTACTATACTGACCTCCCGTTTTCAGCGGCGCTATGGTGGGATGGTACCTGCTCATGCCTTCCGGGAATAGGCACACCGCATCTCCGTACTCTAAAGCCTGTATGGGATTCAACTCGGGGTGAGATGTGCCAATCGAGAGTATGCATACCTCAATCAACTTGACCATCACGGCAGAGTTGTCAGCTTGACCATCCGGGAAGTCTTTCCGCCGCTTGATTGGCACGGTGCCAGCAGACTCAATCAACCAGCTTGTGAACGTTTTCTTTCCGAACTGAGTTGACTTTGCCGTGAGACGCAGCAAATTACGCCTCTAGGGTGCATAAGCCCTGGCATCATGCCAAATTCCTAGTTATTCAAGCCAGACGTACCTTCGATGGTATGGCGGTCACTAGCAGACTACTCGCATGGTTAGCCTGCATCTTACCAGACATGCATGATTGTCCCTCACAGTGCGTCTGTAAGCGAGTTGCTATGGTTGGCGCATACAATGCTACGTGCCAAGTCAAGACATGGACCTGACAGACCACCTTTGGAAACACTACCATGGCACTCCTCGTGGTGGAATTAGATGTGCATTCTCGACGACAATGGTTCCGTAGAATATCTTGAGTACGAACTTGAAGAGTAGTCTAGCTGTTTGTCAGCATATGACGTCTGAGCTTGCATACTTCGAGCAAGTACCTAATGAAGAAAAAAGACCAAGGCGCCGAAGAACCTTTACGCATAGGTAATAGTCGTAGTCGTGAGTAGGTCACCAAGCATCAAAATTAGAGGAGTATAAAAGCAAGCAAGCGAGGCCGATGCATGTACTGGTGAGTGGCTGCGGGGATGGAGCAGCCTGCGAGGAGCAACGTTTTCCCGCGAGCCGTACAAACGTGCGTCGGCCACTAGTTACGGCAATACTGATGTTGGTAACATTACTGCATGGGCCTGTCACTAGCTGAACGCTGAGCGCTGAGCGCTGATCATTCCACGAAGGCGTCGTTGACACCGTTGCTGACGCGCACTTGTAGTACATGAATGTAGTCTATGTGCTGTTGGCCTGCCCTTCGCATACTCATGAGACAGTCTACCTGAACTCAGCAGGTTCGAAATGGAAACATTAAAACATAGTATAATGGACGAGGATCCCAGTCGATACAAGTGGATGGGCATTTTCCCGCGAGCTTCATCCTCAAGGGGAGGTCTTCGCCGATTCCATACTTGCTAGCATACACAACATCCAAGGAGTAAGCACTGTTATTGCAGGACACATCGCACTGAACGACAGCGACAACCTCATCGTTTGCCCGCGATCCCAACCCGATTCCGGCGTCCTTGCTTTTTCGCTGCCTGTGACAGCGGTACATAAGCATATGGCTCCACGCCACCCTTTTTGATATCGCCTCCAGCTTTCTATAGCAAAGGATGAACTTTGTCTGTCTTCACGCATAGATGTATCCATACCTTCGCCTTGAACTCGTGTCCCAGCCTGACATTAGTTTTCCTCTTGTTCTTCTTCCCAGAAGCCGCCGTGCCCGCATCAACCATCTCGACATCTTCGTCCGCATCCTCTCTCTCGCGCCTCCGCTTTTTCGTATCCTTATTGAACTTGATGCGCCCGTTGGGCCCACGCGAAAAGCCGTCCGCAGAGATCAGGCTCTCTTTGTACAAATCATCCTGGACAGCTCCTTCGCCGTCGTCCGAATCCTCTTCGTCGATGACCATCTTGCCAGTATCATCTGTTTTGAAACGTGCAGCCTCCTGGCCAGGCTTGCGGCGTCTACCAGCATTGGCATCTGGAACGGTGATCGTTCATAAGATTTTAGCATGCATGACGTGGCGGAGCTCACCAGTGAGTCGAGATGATGCACCCTGCAGAAGGTCCATGGGGTCATCATCATCCAGCCGTAGACGAGCGCCACCAATTGTGCCCTTGGATTTGCCACCCCGTGTGTGTGACTCAGTCGGAATCTCATCATCACTATCTTCGATCTCGCTCTCGCTTCCATACAAGACATCTTCGAAGGCATCACCGCCTGTCGCGCGTTTGCGCACAGGTTCCTGTTCATCGTACCCATGAGCATACTGCGATTGCAGAGGGGGAAGATGACATTACCTCTTCGTCTTCATTCTCCGCATTGAGTGCCTTCTTCCGCTTAGCCCTCTCTTTACGCTTCTTTATATTCACTAGGACCTTGCGGGCCTCCTCTTCTTGGGCGCACGCATATACGTCTTCCCAGCCGAATCGCCTGATCATGCGCTCAAATATATGCCGTACCTTAGCCTTGAAATGATTCTTGTGGTCGTGAGACCATCTTAGCAAGGCGGGGACGAGCTCCTTGAGATGTGGCCGCAGAAGCTCAGCAGGCATGGTATGGACTGCCAGCTTGATGAAGCCCAGAACGGACTTGACGATCTCCCGATTCGCAGAAGTCACAAAGACCAACATCGTCGTGAATATCTCGGTCTGCATCTGCGGAGAGATGGAGTCTACTATGGGTTAGTAATCAGGCCGCGTTACCCAATTGATTAGTGCAAACCTTTGAACTCGAAGACTAGTCGTGAGATCGCCGTAACCGTGGCGCTAATCATGTGCGGTGTTGCTCCGGCCAGACCGCCGGCGACCATGGTCATGTACTCCTCCATAGTAGCCTTAGCTGTAAAACGCTTGACATTAGCCAATGGAATTCCTACTAGGACGTTGAATACAAATTACGCACCTTCTGGCGCCTCGTTTTGGTCCATCTCATGAACCATGTTGCGCCTGACCACACCACCCTCGGCCATCTTCCTGCCCATCGCCACAATGAGGTCAAATGCTGCATTCCTGGCTTTGACAGACGGCTCCTTTGTGCCAAGCACCGCCTCTGGGATGATAGACAGGAGTAGGTGCAGGTTCGTGGACTGAACCAGCGACAAAAGCTGCGTGAGGAGATGGAAGCGGTCCTGGGAAATACATGTCAGAGACAGGCTATATCTACAAAAAAGGCGCTATGGACGCTGACCTTCTTCGCGGCAGCCGTGAGCCCGTCGACATTCTGCTCTAGCTGTTGAAGGACAGCCTGAGGATCCACAGCGGCTTTGCGACCTTCCGCCAGCCTGGTGAGGATGTTATATCCGCGCTTCTGCACGCCACTATCCTTGTTCTCCAGGATCTCGCTAGACAGACAGAGGTTGAACAGTGCAGTGGCATCCGCTGATGATAAATGCGGGAGGACAAGGATCAGCAGGTCCTGGGTGACGGCAGTAATATTTTCTGCATCCTTGAGGCCATTGTCTCTTGCCGATTGCAGCTTCGTCAGATTCTGTTTGAAGAGCTCCACAAGCTTGACATATGCTCCAGCGATCTCCTAACAATGGAACGTGACGTGTGAGCGAATGGGCAGCATAAGACATTCATCGCGAGTACGGACCTGCTCACCCGCGATCGTGGCCCACGCGCTGACGACACCGCCTACCATGCCTTGGTTATCCCGTCCTACACTGCTAAACACATTGAACAGAACAGCGAGCCAACTTTCAGCCTGGGTGCGTAGAAACGCAACGTTGGCTGCCGCTGCCTCTGGCGAGATCGCGTCTTCGCGCACGGACTCAGGGAATTTACTCGTCTCCCCTGATGTAAGCGCAAGGTTAGACTCTACCATGATCTTGAGTGCCTTGAGAATAGCGGGACGCAGATCCGTCTGACTGTACAGCAGCTGCGAGAGGAGTTGAGAGAATTGCTGTGTCAACGCCTACACGAATGTCAGCTTTCGCGCGCTTATATATCCAGTCTGCCACTGACTTGTTGGAGGTCGATGGTGCCCCAACAGTACCCCGGGAGCCCTGCCCAGACCTGCTCCACCAACACAGACCACACCTTCGCCTCTGACTGCCGACCTTCTGCGGCGGCTTTCTGCTGTAGGTCGAACATACGTTCCGTAAGCGGCACGAAGTACGTTACGAAGTGCCCCAAAGGGGATGGGTGAGGTTGTGCGAGCAGAGGCAATAAGAATGCGCGCGGTTCATGACCAGCTTGTCTTTGACAGAGTGAATCAGCGCTATGGACGTTGATGCCTATAAGATGTTGACGTACCTGTCTGCCGGCTCGAGGTTGAGCGGCAAAGCACGAAGAATAACTTCCGGTCCTAACACTCGCATAGCTGTGCTGAGGACGCCGTCCGCAGCCTCCTTGTATTCGAAAGTCCTATTTGGCCGTAATCCGCCCACCTTCGTGATAAGCGGCAACAGTAACAGTTCTGCAGCGGTAGGTGATGTGCGAGATCCACCCCGATATCGCAAGTGATTTACAAGCGATGACACCACGGATAGCAGTTCTGCGATGGACTGCGCAAATGTCAATGCGTCGAACGCCCTCGTTGTCTGAAAAATGATCTTGCCGATCACGGACTTGTGCTCCGCATGCTTTCTCTCCTGGATCGCAGCATCGATGAGGGACGGCGTAAAGCATTGCGCAACCATGTCCAGAGCCTTCGCAGCGCCCCTCCTCGTAGCCACATCTTCAGACTCGAGCAGCGGCCACAGTGCCTTCCATACTTTCGCTACCTCCGCCGCACATGCATCCGGGTCAGCAGCATGGATGGCTAGCATGACATTTCCCAAGGTGGCAGCCCATGATGGGGAGAGGATGGCGTCCGTCTTAAGCGGAGTTGATGCAAGGACAGCATCCAGGATGTCCGCGAGCTGGTCTTGGATCGAGCTTGCTGGATCTTCCACCGATATGCTGAGGAGATCCGAAAGTATCGTAAAAGATGATTGGGTGAGGTATGAATTGCCAAGGAGTGGAAGAAGGAGGATAGACGAAGTGATGGTAGGGAGGGACTGAGAGGGTGTCAAACATGCAGCGGTAATCCATGACTGAACAGACTTACATTGAGCGGAAGGTTAGGCAGGACAGGGCGTAATAAAGCCAGAAGATGGACAGCAGTGTCAGAAATATCTGTTTCTGCCTTCTTACCTTTCCTAGGCGGCGGACCGGCATGCACTTCATTCAGCGCAGAAACCATCCATTCAGCAACGAGTAGAGCATATGGATGCCGCAACATGGGCATGGGAGGGTTTTCGAGAACTTCCTTGACCAACTCAGCCGCCTTTTTGCGCACCTTCGGCCGTGGATCAAGCGTCAACTTCAAGATGAAGCTGAATGCTTGCCGCAGTCCAGGAGTATCCAGCTGCTGTCGCTCGAGAGCTTGGATGGTTGAGCCATATAAACCGAGCTGGGATCGCAGCGGAGGCGCATGAGGCAAAAGCATAGGGAATATAGGTGTCGTTAACGAGATGACGGTATCCAGATGCGATTGGATGACTGGAATTGGGACATAGGGAGCGACAAGTGCGAGAAGATACAGCACGGCTGGAAGAATGTCGCCGTCGCCTAACGAAGGTCCAGTAGTGGGTGAAGCCTGCAGCGCGCCATCAAGGGTAGTCAGGAGAGCAGCAAAATAGGCGGTGGGGGAGCCTTCGGTGTTCTGCTCGCGAAAAGTTGCCTCGAGCGCGTGGAGGAGCGTCGCGGGAGTCTTTTGGTGCGGGAGCGAGGAGGATGTATGTGGCCTGATCTTGGAGAGTGCCTGTTCTATATCTGCCATAACTAGTTGGATATGACTCTGCTGTCCCGACGATGGCAAGGCAAGCTCGACTTGCTGCAGTCGTCGCGGGCGCTAAAGAAATTTCGTGCTCGATCATTAAGCGCGCATAGATCGGCACACGTGACCGCGGTCCTCACGGTGGCGGTGGCGCGTCGCTTGATCGTCATGACCACAGATGTTGCGCACTCAACACCGTCGCAAATCCATGTGTCTGTTCTGGTCAATATCGGGCTCCTCATATTTAGGCTGGGTTATTACACATCTCGAAATTGACATGAGAATGACGGAATCTATTAGTACTGATCTCTATCAGGCTCAGTGAGATGACGCCCTATGGGAGGTAGAGGGGTCAGACTTGTTGCAGAAAGGCAGGTGTTAGCTGATGAATGGACCTGCATATATATATCATACACCGTGTATTTTGGTGAAGTTACCGGCGACTGCAGCTGTCGAGCTGCATATATTTATACGAAACGAAGCAACAATAAGTCCCTGGTAGTATATCGGTTAGTACACGCGCCTGTCATCCGTTGCGCCATATGGCATGGTTGTGTCCGCGCGAAAGCGGGGTTCGACTCCCCGCCAGGGAGTACATTTTGTTTCTGATTTGTACCTCCTGGTACAGATCATAAGTCATTCATCCAAGAGATCTTTGCGTCACACGTAGCTGCTTATTATAAGTCATCGAATACACCAAACAGTGTGCGTTGATCATAAATATAGACTGTTTCTACTGTTGCTTCAACTTCTGCACCAGCTCAGGAACTGCATCGTATAGGTCCGCGACAAGCCCAACGTCAGCAACCTGGAAGATGGGTGCGTCCGCATCCTAGTATGGAATATGCACTGGTCAACGCTGTAATTTTGGAAGCGGAGCAGCTTGACATACCTTGTTGATGGCAACGATCAGCTTCGAGTCCTTCATGCCAGCAAGATGCTGAATGGCACCAGAAATTCCAATGGCTATGTATAGTTCTGGAGCGACAACTTTGCCTGTCTGTCCGACCTGCAGGGAGTTGTCGGCATATCCTGCGTCGACGGCTGCTCGCGACGCGCCGATAGCAGCACCCAGCACGTCCGCCAGGGGTTCGAGAACTGCCTTGAACGTCTCAGCGTTCTTAAGCGCACGACCCCCAGATACAACACGGCTAGCGGCACCGAGATCTGGACGGTCCGACTTTGTGAGGTCGGTTCTGATGTGCTCGGTAGGCGGGTCTGCAACTTCAACAGGGTCCACCGCCTTGTCCTCTACTTGCGCACCGTCTTCTGAAAGGACCGCCGAGAATGCAGTCGAGCGAACGGTGAAGAACTTGAGTGGGATGGAGGCGGGTGCACACACGGTCGCGATCGCGTTGCCTGCGTAGATGGGGCGAGTGAACGTGGTTGCGTTGGATGCACTATCATGTTCGATGGAGGTGATGTCTGAGACCGCAGGAACGTCAAGTCGGGCGGCTACGCGGGGAAGGAGAGATTTGCCGGAGGACGAGTGCGCAGAGACGACGTGAGTGAACGGCGAGCCTTTAGAGAGCAACTTTTCCAGCAGTGGGGAGATGATTTCCGGCACTGGCGCAGCGTACTTTGGGGATGTGCTGTGCAACAGCTGACTCAGACCCTTGAGCCTTCAGACATAGTGTGATTAGCCAGGTCCATTAACTCTGCATGGACACTCACTTCTTCGCTTTCTGCACAACTTCCTGAACCTCCGAATCGCCTACGACAAGCCCTGTCACCTGCCCTCCCAGCTTTTGCGCAGCCGTAACTGCTGCCAGAGAGCCGGAATCAATTGCGCCGTCACGATGCTCCAAGAAGACAAGCGCATGAGGTCCGGTGGCGGTTGCATATCGCCTGCAGAACGGTCGGCAGGAAACACAACGGGATGCGCGCAACATGACGGTCAAGGCCACAAGTCACTTTCGCTCCCAGTGGGGAGGATGCGGGGAAATAATGCCTTTTAATAGCCGGGGGGAGGAGGGTAGTTAGTATGCATCCCTCCACGTGATCGGTCTCTGTTATGAGCGTCCGAGCCCGCCTTCTTGCCGCCTTCCTCTTTCAAGCTGACGATACCTTTCCGACAGCTGAATCGCGTTTGATGGTATTGCATGGCTCCCGCATTCATGAAGATTATGCTTTACCGAGCAGCACGTCACTCTTTCAATATGCATTATCTTAGAATCTGGTCTCGTACCTAAACCTCTTCACTCGTGCCCTGATAGTACAGAGTCTGTGGCGGGGTGCGAATGAAGAAGTTTGGGATGATGAAACCATTGGAATCTTACGTTTATGCCTATGAGTTTTAGGTGGAACATCAGAAACAGGCAGACGGGTTGCCTGTGTGGAAGGGCATGGTTACAAGCTTGCTGCACATCGCCAGTTCTGTGAATTCACCCGTGGGCCAATGGCCAAAGCGATTTTCATCGGTTTATACTACTGAACCAAGGCTTTCAAGAGGTATGACTCGCGTGGCTGAGCTACCTCAGACAGCTTGGTCGCATTATCCATCGTCAGAACGTCGCATTATTATCCAGACATGTGGGATCTTTGTCGTGATGGACATGCAGCCAAGCCGTGTAGGAAGCCCCTTTCCTATACAGACTGTAATAAATCCAGAACGTTCGAGAAATGATGTCCACGCGCGTTTATTGCCTAGCGCTCAGGCGGCCATAAAAGCACAAGCTTGCGCACTGCGCAGCGTAACCCGTCTTTTCTCTCCCGGATCCTTCACAGAATGACTGGTGAGATCTGTAGGTTCCACAACAAGCCTGGTGGCTGTCGCCGCGGAATTCAATGCAAGTTTCGACACGTCGATTCTCTGGCTCGGCAAACCAGTTTCCCTCCCGCGGCAGTGATGTCCATGGGCGAGACTCAAATCGCCGACAACGGTACCTGGCAGGCCAGTGCGCAGAATCCAGCGAATGCGAAAGCACCCTCTGGAGTCTGCTCGTTCTACTGGACCAAAGGGGACTGTAGTCGTGGTTTTCAGTGTCGCTACAAGCATATTGCAAAAGATGCCAATCGCCGCGACTCTCAAGGGCAAGATCTCCAGCCCTCGACAACTGCGATGCAAGCAATCGCGCCCTTCCTGACGAAAGAAGGTCTAGCACGGTTGGCCGATCGTGGCACGGACGGATTCTTCGCAGTAGATACATCGAAGCCCTTGAGCCCCTCGGAGGTCCATAACTACCTCAAGAGATTTCTCTTCGACAGTTACCGCTTCAAGAACGTCGTAGAGATATACTCGTTTTTGAACCTCATAAGCAACGCTACCGCAAATAATGTCAAATGGGTGAGTGACCTATCACACTCGTGCCGCCATATCTCATACGTCTGCGTAGACCCCTGAGGATGGCCAGGTACGATTGATAAATGATGAGCTCGGTCTGTGGTGGTCTCACAACATATATAAACCAGCTTCTGTTATCGACGCTGAGCAGTGTAAGTCCCCGTGAGCTTAACAGCTGGCAATTAGAATGACAGTATATCCCAGGGAAACGCTCTCTTGCGTATTAATGATATTATCCGTTGGAGCGACGTGTCTGTCTCTGCAGGTTCTCAGAAGACAGTCTTGTCTTTCCAGAGAGGATATTTACCTCTGCTTCGGGTATGCTTCTCGCAGTGCAAACATATATATAACTCATATGGTCGATAGTATTTTTCCTCTGAATTCGTTGTGAACAGTGTGGCGACCCATTCCGTCAAGTAGGCGATGATGACGTAGATGCTTCTCATTTGAGGTGCTGACATGATGCACAGCGCTCTGTATGCCCTCATCTTGGAGGATTTTGACCATTTCACTCAGGCCGTAGAGAGCTGCATGGAGCAAGCAGTCATGACTGCCAAGTCCTTTAAGGATCCTATCGCACCAGCTGGTGCTGCTAAGGATCCCACCGGAAGCCAGGTTATTGCGACCATCACCAAAGTATTGTTCGAGTGCGTTCAATGAGTATAAGGGCGCGTTGCATGTAACTGATCAATTTAAAAGGTTCATCACGAGATTTAAGAACGCTACTGCGACGCATCCATCCGTGTATCCTCTGGTCTTGAACCTGAGGAAGTGGACCGATGCTTGGATCTCAGGCATCTCGTCGACGCCTCCAGCGTTCAATGACGTATTCGCGACAACGACTCCTCAAGCAAGAGAACATATCATCCAGCACCTGAATAATCAAGTGAACCGGCTGGTTGCCATAGTTGACCGTAAGCACAACGAAACACAGCGCGCACAGAAGCGTGTAAGGGAGGTTCCGGTAAATCTGCAACCTGGAACGGATGAGGCAATCCTAGCTGCCTTAGAGAATTCGTACGAGGGGCCAGGGGAATTGCGACCCAATGGACCACGTCACGATAACGACTTCGTCAATACCTCGGATATTCGGATTGCACCGACGCATGACGAGCTGACATGTAGGATTCCTCCTTTCCTTCCTGCGAATATTTATGGTGCGCCCCACCCACTTCCGGCAGAGAGCATGGAGAAGTTACTTGACATTCAATTCCGGTTGTTGCGCGAAGAATTGACGTATGTGCCGCCCAATGTTGACATTGCATGTTTACCCATTCCGCGTTCTCCAGCGCTCCGTTACGCTTGTCTATCCAATTGTTACTTGACGACCTCCTGGCAACAAGGACATCAACTCGACTCGCGGAGTTATTGAAGGCTCGAGGTGGTAAATACCGTGGCCACGCTGAGGGACAGGAAGCGGTGCTCTTCAACGTTTATACCAATGTGGGGTTCTTGCCAATTCAGCCGGATCATCGCGGTCTCTCCGTGGGACTGTCACTCGACACTCCTCCGGGACGTGCGCGTTCTCCTCAGTCAAATGTCCGGATGACATTTTGGGAGAACATGGCGAGTAAGCGACTGATGCAAGGCGGACTTATCGCTCTGGTCTGGCAACGACCGGGAGATCAGGTCGCTGTACATCTAGGGACTATCGCTAGCTCCACGAAGGAGCTCGTCGAATCTGTAAGGCAGGTCGGAGATCGTGTCCGCCTTCGCGTGGCGTTTTTCGACCCCGAGGTTGAGCTTCGTATCCTTCAAGAGTTGAAGCATCCAGAACGAGAGCGTGTCGGCACGAGGGTCTTGGTAGAAGCTACGGTCATGTACGAGTCCATTCGTCCATTCCTGGAGGCGCTCAGGGTAGAACCAGAGCTGGTCCCGTTCAGCCAGTACCTCGTTCATCGCCCACCCGGGTTCCTAAAAATTGCAGATATCGCACCTCCCGCATATGCCCGGATACCGGACTACACATTCCAGCTGTCGTCTCTGTTTCCAGCCGAGGCAGAGGTCCAGGACCTGAAGCTATCCGTGACTGATCCGGCTTCAATCAGTGCTGCTCGTGAATTGCTCAGAACCTCAAGCCGTTTGGATTCGAGTCAGGCGGATGCTGTTGTAGAGGCGTTGACCAGAGAACTGGTATTGATACAGGGGTATGTCTGCGAGCATCAGTCATGACTTGCGCTGACAATTGGCTATCGCTTTAGCCCCCCTGGAACCGGCAAGGTGTGTATTCCCGCGCATCTCCCTCTTTCATGCCAGTAGTCGATCTGACAATCCATTACAGAGTTATACAGGGGTGGAACTTTTGCGTGTCCTGCTCGCCAATAAAGCAGGTCCGATTTTGATGATCGCCTTCACAAACCATGCACTGGACCACATGCTCGGGTCTGTGCTTGATGCGAAGATCACCACGAAAATTGTTCGTCTAGGCTCGCGCTCCGCCGACGAGCGGATATCCCAGTATTCCATAGAGAATATGGAGCATGTCGCAGGCAAGAATCGTCTCGATCGAGCCTTTGCGGGTAATCATAGAGCCCTTCGTGACGTGGAAGAGGAAATCAAGAAGTTGATGCATGAATTTGCGAAGACGCGCATAGAATCTCCCGAGATCTTGGATCACTTGCGAATGCAGTATCCGCTGCACCTTGATTCCCTCACAAATCCGCCTGAATGGGTCAATGTCCTGTATACGCTATCGCAGGATGATAGTGGAGAATCATGGCGTGTCGTCGGCAAGAACGGGCGTGGCGTCGAGACAGACGACTCTTTGTACACATATTGGAGAGAAGGCCGAGACCTCGACTTCATCGATTCAGCGAACAATCCGAAGGCGTCTACTGCTGAACGACATCCGTCTGGTTCTATGGAGCCCTCTCGTTCACGTTCGGGTCCGAACAACAATGTGTTCGCTGCACTGGCAAACGCGGACCCTCCGGAGGATGAAGAGATTGTAGATGATGCTGTTTCCCTCGATTCCGACGAGTTAAGCGACTCTGATCTGGAAGAGTTCCCCCCGGAAGAAGAATGGATTCATCTAGTGGAAGAGGCGGAAACCCCTGATCGTGACTCGGACGGTGCCCTCGAATTACCTGCCACCGACAGCGCTCTCGGTAGTGCGGAACCATTGCCGACAGATGGCATCCAAACTGATGATTTTGAGAATGTGCATGACTTCCTTGCCGCGTTCAACTATGTTGCTCCTCAGACTTCCGGCACAGACAGAGACATTGCAGCATTGCTCGAAGACGGTTCCGATGATGTCTGGGCAATGACACGATCTGAGCGAGAACGTCTACATGCCCACTGGCTGGCTGACGTCCGCAGCACTCTGCAGGAGACCAGAATGATGGAGTTTGAGCGGCTTCGAGAACGCCACGCCAGTGCTTTACAGAAATACACTGAGGGGAAAAATGAAGTTCGTGCCGTGAATAAGTATGTTTAGAGGGATAGCACTGACCGGTCGCCACAGTCTCGACGGCAGTTGTTGAAGAATGTCGACATCGTCGGTTGTACCACAACTGGTGGGTCACGATGTCACATGGCTTGCGATTAAAATATTCACACTCACAGTAGGTGCGGCAAAGCTCACGTCTCTTCTGAAGGTATGTGACGTACATACTACGCGCATTGGAATAGGCGGTCATATCGCGATTTGCAGGGAATTGGTCCACGGATCATGCTGGTTGAAGAGGCTGGACAGGTTCTTGAGGCACATGTCCTAGGCAGCCTTGTGCCTACAGTGGAGCATCTCATTTTGATAGGTGACCCGCTACAATTGCGACCCACGCTGAACAACTTCTGTGCGTTCTAAGCTCTTAATTGTACAGCTTCATCTCTCACTATGCACAAACAGCATTATCCATGGATAACAAGAGAGGACGCATGTTGTTCAGATTCGACATGTCCCTCATGGAACGTCTGTCTAATTCTGAGCTACCTATGTCGCAAATCAATGTCCAACGTCGGATGAGACCGGAGATTGCAGATCTTGTCCGGTGCGTTTGACGACATGTGTATGCCCAGACCACCTGATACTAACCGAGATTCTGCACTGGTGGATCGCTGCAGAAACTATCTGTATCCGCGACTTGAGGATCATGACCTTGTAAAGCACTACCCACCCGTGCGGGGAATGGCAAAGGATGTATTCTTCCTCAGTCATAAACACAGAGAGAACGGCTCTGAAGACGATTCAGTCAGCAAGTACAACATGTTTGAGGTAGGATAAGCATGCTCATCGTATAAACTAGACTAACCAGCAACGTCTCTAAGGTAAATATGATCAAGGACCTAGTCTTATACCTGCTGCGGTGAGCGGTCATTGATTTTGATTCTATTGTGCTGTCTCACAAGGTAACTGACAGGCAAGGGACCTACTCCGCTGAGGGCGATATCGTTGTACTGTGTGCATATTTAGGTCAGCTTGCTCGAATGCGTGACGCGCTAGCCAGCGAAGTCGCTGTTGTCATCGATGCGCGTGATCAAGCGGAGTTGGACGAGAGGGAAGTGGACGGAGACGTGGAAGCGACATCTGGCACTGTGATAGAGCGTGTGAAAGTCTCTCGAAGGGTAAGCGCATTTTAAAAAAGATCACGGATAGACCCTAATCCAATTGTGGTGCAGGTCCGTTTGCGCACGGTGGATAACTATCAAGGCGAAGAGGCCAAGGTACGCAGCTGTTCTCACCTGCACTGTTGATCAGACTAATGCTTCAGCCAGATTGTGATACTTTCTCTCGTGCGCAATTCAGGCGGGTCTGAAGACGATGAAACTGTCTACGGGCATGCCTCACTTCAGAGGACCAATATCGGATTCCTTAAGGTGTGCATCGTGAAAGAGCGATGCTGTACGCTGTCGACTGACATTGTGCTTGTTCTCAGTCCCGAAATCGTACAAATGGTGAGCTGCGCAATTTCATCGTCTCATAGATCATCAGTCTAACATAGAGGCAGTGGCTCTCTCGCGCGCACGGGAGGGGTTATATATCTTAGGAAACGCGCCGGACCTCAGTTCGAAAGGCGACATGTGGCGTTCTGTGATTTCTGACTTGGAACGGAGCGGCTCTGTCGGAGACGCATTCCCAGTTCGATGCCATCGTCACCCCGATCATACTGACTACATCTCGAAACCGGGGCAGTTACCCAGAATTGCACCCGACGGTAGGTTCCATGTGTCATATGTAAGGCGGCTGGAGCTCATCATTGTATGATGTTCAGGTGGCTGCTTGCGTCAGTGTGACACACGCTTGCAATGCGGACATTTATGTCCCTACAAGGTCTGCATACGGTTTGACGGGGTTGTTCCGAACGCTGATCTTGTGCTTCGCAGTGCCACTCAGACGACCCGAATCATCTTGCAGTGGAATGTGTCCAACGCTGTATGCGACTCTGCGTGAGGGGCCATCCTTGCACCAAGCAGTGTGCAGACCCTTGTGGAAGATGCATGACTCGCGTGGAAAATGTGACCTTGCCTTGTGGCCACGTTACTCCTTACGTGCTCTGGTCGGTGGACTTAACATGGCCTGCGCTGCATAATGCTGACGTTATACTTCCGTGTGTGGTAGTTACCAACTGGATGAGCTGAGCGACGTACCATGCAACGTTAACGTTACTCGGCGCCTCACTCACTGCGAGCATGAAGCTGCAATGAGGTGCTCCGACGATCCTGCGCGGTTCGTATGTAAGGCAGTTTGCGGTGGTACAATGCCGTGCTGTGGACGTCCTTGCAAGGCGCGATGTCATCAATGCCAAGGATTAAACCGAGTCGAGGATGAGGATGAGAGCGTCGGCATCGTAGCTCGGCTGCAGCACACTTCACATCCTTGCGAAAGGCAACTCTACTGTGGTCACTTGTGCGGCAAAGCCTGTACTCAGGATCACGAATGCACGACGCTCTGCAAAGAGCCGTGTCGCCAAGTTTGTCGGCATGCTCGATGCAGGAACTACTGCTCGGCGCCTTGTGCGCCTTGTCAGGAGCCATGCACTTGGTGAGCTCGGAAGCAGCCATTGGTGGTCGAAAGTATCTTGACTATCTCGTCACTTGGCAGGCAATGCGAACATTACTCTTGTCCTGTCCCGTGTGGATCAGTGAGTCTTGTCCTCAGTTCCGAGTGTTTCCCAACCGCTTACACGCTATCAAGGTGTGCGCACGTCTTCCGTGTGATAAGCGGTGTAAGACAATCTTGCAATGCGGGCACAGGTGTCCTTCAGGTACGCTGAATTCGCGATTCAAACAACAGACGGCCTGGTTGAAACTATTGTGATTACTGTCAGTGTGCGGCGAAGAATGCTTTATCCAAGTGTGTCCGATCTGTGCAGTGGACGAAGTCCGCTCCAGTGTTGTGGATCTCATTATGCAGCGCACTCTAGCGGATGTGGAGCCAGAGAATGAGACGCTAGATGACCTCCTCATCACAATTCCTGCGTGCGGTCACGTCTTCACCGTGGAGACCCTGGATGGACACTGTGGCATGAGCGAATACTACAGACGAGAAGGAATCGATGGAAAATGGTTAGGCCTGCAAGCCCCTCCAATTGGGTTCCAGAAACCACCGACTTGCCCCACCTGCCGTGCAGCCTTAACCGCTCCTCGCTATGGTCGAGTCTTCAAGCGAGCTGACCTCGATATTCTGGAAAACAATGTGGCCTCATCTATGTCCCGTTCGCTTGGAAGAATTCAGGCGGATGTACAATCCATCGCGAAGGGAGAACTGGAGACACGTTTGCCCGTGGCTGCGGAGAAGATTCTCCCGGGGCGAATGAACGTTCAAGTGAAGGCCATCCTCAAGAAGCAACGGTCGTTATTAAGAGCCACACGGGATTCACCGATTCCTCGCCGAGCTCTCGATCCTGCAGACGGAGAACTGCACGGTATTCCTATCTCAGATGCGAAAGAGTGGAAGAAGATCACTTTTAAAATCCTTGCAGCTTATGGCGATGCTGTCAAAGTAGCTGAAACGCGTTCAGCTCATGTTCGTGCTTGGCAGGCTTCTTTCGCGTATCTCTTCCAAAACGAGATGGATCGCGCAGCATCAGAACCTGAGCGGGCACCAAAGAATCCACAGGAGTATGCAATGCGTGTCGCAAGAATGGGTGTAGGACAACCGCAACCTAGAGCTGATAAGCGTTTCGTGGTCGAGGCAATCTGGGTGACAATCAACCTACGGCTGATGCTCAGCGATCTCGGTGCTGTTTGGATGGAGGGATTGCACAAACGGGAATCGTATCCTGCTCGCAATCGTCGCGCGTGGGGTGCATATGTCTTGTTCATTCTGCGTTCCTGTGCGGCAGATGCGCAGATTGCCTTGGGCATCGCGGAGGAATCAGGCAGCCGCCGTCAAAAGACCAGAACTGCACTATTGCTCATGCGAGTGAGCTTGGAGCGATTCCGTTTCAATATCTTGATGGCGCGGCAAGACAGGAGATACCAAGAGGAGCGCACGAAGTTACAAGATGCTGCGGCAAATAATTTCAAAGAGGCGTCCGACTACGTCGAAACCGTTATGGAGGAGCACCGTCGTGCTAGAGGTGATGCGGCAGAATCTGAGGAGATTTGGCTTGCAGAGAACTTCTCGCAAGCAGCTATGGCCATCATCGACGAGTGGCGCGCGATCGAGAAGTCTATCAGAGAAGAGACATTCTATTCGCCGGTTTCATTAGACGAGCTGACTGCAGTTGCTCAAAGCTTCAGCTTCGGCAGTTCTGCATGGGGTCAGTGTCTTTTAATAACGAAGAATCAATGCGATGAAGCTGATGGCGTATTAACGCAGGGCACGCAGGGCACTTCTACAAATGCCCGAACGGACATCTCTACGTGATCACAGAGGTATGTCTTCTTCATTCGAGCCTGTCGGAGCTTGCTGACCATTTTTCCATGTAGTGTGGAGGCGCCATGCAGGAAGCATCATGCCCGGAGTGCGGAGAGAGGATTGGCGGTGGCTCCCATCGACTGATATCCACGAACTCTCGCGCAGCAGACGTCGAGGCATTGGCAGGAGCGGGTCCTTCTCCTTGGCAATAGAGGTATGATAATGGCGTAGAGTGACGTTCTAGTGAACGATATAGTGCATAAGCTCTCGAATGTGTCTGAAGATCTACGTGTGTTGGTATCGGTGATGTTTATAGAGACCTTTCGATCGAATAAAATTATGGCTAGCAGTCATGTGTGCATTGTGCGCCGTTGGCCAACGATCACCATCAGCTGTTGAGCGATCGCCAGTCGTGGTTTCAAGGAAGTTGAAGCGTTGACCGTCCTGGCAACGACCAGATTAATGGAATAAGCCCTCGGACTTACTTCCAAGAGATTGAGAGAGGAAGAGAATATAAATTATATCGTTGCGTTCACGGTAGTGTGTACAGCGTGATTAAGAGGCAAGATGCGCTTTGATTGCGATGAGCAATGTCCATCAACCAGTGGATCAACCAGTCCGGGATATCGATCACCCTTTGTCACAATATGCGGGAGCCGGATGGCGAGAAAGGGCGATGGCGAGAGTCACGGCACTGACTAGCAACTGCGGGCGGTATCAGACTCCTCCCCATCCATGCCTACGGGAGTTTAAGGGGGCTCATGTGAGAGGTGGTACATCGTATTTTGTACTATCAGCCACCTCAGCCACAATTTAGCCACATTTTCCTACTCCGCACTGTTTCACACTCCGAAATCTTATTGGCCCCCAACTCCCTACGGCGGCTGGCAGAAAACATCCGCAAACACCGGGATGTGGCTGTCAGGCTACCCCATTTAGTAACATTCATCTCCGAATTATGAGAATGAGATTAGGGTTTGATTGAATAATATATTTTTCGCAACCATGCACTTGCACAGCAGCTCAATCAGAGTGCTGTTGTATCTGTAATGCCAGCCATTCCATGTATCTTATCAATCTTTAAAAAGAGTCAAAGCAGTACCTTCCATGGTGTCAAGGGCAAATTTGTGTGTGTATGGGCTGCAAGAGTGCAGTGGGTATCGCAAAAAGATTTGTGGCCAGATCTCTCATGAATGGGTGACTTTCATTGCCTTTCCCACACAACAAAATTATAAGCAGCTCTGATAGGCAGATAGTGAGTTGTTTAAGCACTTCAACAAGAGTTTGGAGCATAGCAGCAGTGAAAATGACCGAAGAATGCAAGACAGTGCCTAGGATATAATATTCTATGATACGACATTTTATAGTACTCTCACCTGCCTAACTGAGACGTCGCAGCCACGCTCCGTTGCTTGCAGATGTTTTCTGCCAGCCACCATAGGGAGTTGGAGGGGAATAAGATTGTGAAGTTCAAATTATATGATGCCATCATGATCTAGCACGTGACCTTGATCAAATGTGGCACAGAATCCCTCCCCCCCCTCCCGGAGAAGGATGGGAAGGAGTCTGGGACGGTATATAAATTGTAATTAAAAACAGGACTGAGACTCTAGGACTCTGTGACTTGTCACTGTGATCGTAACAGATTTCATGGCAGTCGGTCACGAAGAGATGATTCCCGCTACGATACTTGTCGATTTGAAGCTCACAAGGCTCTCCGCGAAAATTAGCGACCTGAAGTGATCGCTCCAGCAGTTCATCATTATCTCGTGACCTCCATGGCTCCTAGCGTCACTCTCCTGTTTTCGGTGTGCTCATCTCTGTTCACTCATGTCGCTGCTCAGGGTACAGTCCAAGCTGATGGAGGCTGGATAGGACATTTCACGATCGACAGTCGATCGCAAAATGTCCTATGAAGTTAACAGACCTCATCTTGACATTTTTCTGGACATCACAGCCCTTAACGCAGATGTCAATCATGCTGCCTGTGCTGATGAGATCGTCCAGTGGCAGTTCAATTGTCAGGCGGACAATGCTGAAGCCATCTGAATTCCTAGGTGAACCGGAGATGGCTTCTTCGTCATAGGTCATGGAATTCATGACAGTAGGAGTAGGGTACAGAAGGGCAGTCAGGCGAAAGTCATCAGAGATGAAAGATGGGAAGTCGAGAGATGTTGAGTGAAATATGTCGTCAAGGTTCGCCGTCACATGAGAGCCCTTCGTCGCTGCAGGTGCAAGCTGGCCGTAGTGCCATTGGCAGTGAGTCACGTACCATTCTTTCTCCTTGTCGAGCTTGTCACCCATGCACTTGGACAGTTTCTTGAAGTTGCGCTTGGACTTTGCATCATCGGTATCAATCATGAGGTTCTGGAGATGTCAGATTCTCCAACTCAAGTTCTCGAGGTGCTGGAAGGAGCAGGGTTTGGTGAGATTCTTCTGTCACCTCTTCCACCACCTACCTTTAACACCATCCATTCAGCATGTCTATGTTAATGAGTGGCTCAGGTCGACCAAGTGCGATCGCAATGCCATCAGTGACCTGATCACCGTCCACTCCGAACACATTTACATTGTGTGTGCCATAATCATCAATCTGCTCTGTCAAACACTAACATACCTTTAACAACATCTTTCTCCCTGCAGACTGCAGGTTGTGGTGAACCTCTCACTCTGAACTCAAACTGTGAATGCATTAAGAAGCGATCCACTGCAGATGCTGCTAATGACGATGACACCCGACCACTGTGTCACAAATTCTCGCCACAAAGTCCGCACGTGACTTTTCTCACACCACAGATCACGTGCTTCACCAATATCTCATGCCACTCAGCCACAGACGCGACGCGTAGAGATCAGGTGATAGTCCACATCACATATTATGGTCCAGACCCGTGGATGATACGGTTG